CCTTTCCATAATTCATAGTATTCTGTCATCACATTACCTTGATCTATTTTCATCTTATCTTATAGAAAACCTTAAAGTTTAAAACTTAAATCTTAATTTTTACCAACTTCTCCTAAACCATAACATTCTTACCTAGTTCTTTAGACATTTTTATAAGAGCCAAATAGTTTCATTTCAACATTTTCCTAACATTCATCAATTTTATAAAACAGTCCTAATGATAAAAATAAAAGAAAAAAGCAATCCAGTCTTCATCCAACGTCCCTTCCTCCTGGTCCCGGGTTTTGTCAGTCCTTTTTATCCTATTAATCTAGCACATTAACCTGGCAATCTTATATCCGAGGCCCTCAAGTCTCTTCCATGTCCCTTCTGTAACTCTTCTTTATATTTCCCTTTTATTCGTGGGAACTCCAGCTTGGTAGTGTTTTTGACCCTTTTCAGCAAGACAATCCCTTTTCCATAGTCCAGGATAGGCTCGATGTAGTATTTACAAGCATGCTCCAGATTCCCTTCAAAATTGAGAGCCCCCACAGCTCCAAACATCTGACGGCCCTTTCCAGACTTGAAAAGTCCAAATCTCCTGTAAAGGGGGTCTATCCAACCCCCATTTCCAAACCAAACCAGATTTTATCTTTCCAAGTCAGATTTTTTCCAAGTTCATTTATCAAATCCAAGAGTTTATATTCCTGCTGGGCCGCAGCTCCCTCCGTCTCTGGCGCCCAAGATTCAGCAAGGTCCTCTTCTTTCAGTTGTTCTGTCATGGCATGCTCCTGTTTTGATTCCTGGGTGGGCTCCATATAGTTTCCCACTACCTGTTCAAAGGTTCTGGCCGCATTAGTCATGAAATCCGTCTTCTGACTTAACTGATCCAATAGGGCATTTATTTTACAGAAAGCACCCAACAGTGCTTCTGCAGACATTTTCCTACAAGGTCACAAATCCTTTCCCACAGTTGTAATCAGTGACAGCTGCAAGTTCCCAGGAATTAGTTACAATTTCACAGTTCCCCTCTAGGGGGAAAAACTTCTGGTTGTTCTTTTTCTTGAAAACAATAGCAACAAAGTTTCTTTTTTAAGATATTTTGTCCATATTTGTTCTTTTAAAAGACGAAAGGAAACAATGGAGTGACAATGTTTATCTTCTTTTAACTATCTGTCAAAGACATTTGTTTCTGGTCAATGAGCTTCAAACGTCAATTCTGACACCCCGCTCTAGGGTCAGGACGGTGGAAAATTACTTTGCTTTAGATTCACTTCTGCAGGTTTAAACAGCTCAGAAAAGGTCCCCCTTCTTCCCCTGCTACCGAAGGGGGGTTCAGTGATTTTAAATGATGAAAGTTGATCCTTTAAAAGTGATTTTTAAGGCTCTAGTTTGTGTTGTCTTTGCTTTGTTCTGACTACAAGGAAACAGAAGGCTGACTTCCTGTTTAAACCTTCCCGTTTCAGTACCAAATTAGGGTTAATTTTTAAGTCCAAATTCCTTTTTATTTCGCCAGTTCTTATTTGAAGTCCAAATATTCAATGTTCCAGTACTCACGGTTGGTTGTTTTAAATGCCAAATTGTCCCAGGAAAAAGGCAGCGCTCTCCGGCAACGACTATGCGGCTTCGCTCTGCAGAAAAAGCAATTGACTCACAGCACCGCGCCACTTCCCCCTCTTCACTTCGGAGCCTGTTTGTGGGTTCCTTTGTGGGTTGGGGGGGGCGCTAAAAATTTAATTTTACAATTTGGTCTATATCTGATGAAATCATTATACCCAAGTATTTAATAAAGTCTTTGCACATCCGAAATTGATTATTTCTATACAATGTAGCCCTTGACCCTATTGGTAAAATCTCTGATTTTGTCCAATTTATGGAATATCCCGATATTCTGCCAAAGGTTTTTATTTTCTCCATAATTTTTGGAATTGTATCTTCTGGTTTTGTAATAAATAAAAGGATATTGTCTGCAAATAATACAATAGATTGTTAAAATTCACAGAAATCACAGAGGTCAGTGGGACCAAAATAGCCCTCTGCCCAACATACAGGATTGCCCAGCTGCCAAAACTACCTTCACAGCTCAGTCCAGAAAACTTTGATTGCACTTCGTATTGTATAAGTGAACATGACCAAGCAGGAGTGGGAAACGGTCTACAGATTGGATCATGACAACAAGCGTTCATCATGATTTGTTTGTGTGGTATTTGCACATCTTCCCAATTAATCCTTTGTTCATCCCATGCTTCTCAGTGCATTTCTGTATCACTTTCCTAACCACAAAAGTCCATTAAAAATAAAAAGATGATCCAAGGCAATAGAGCACTTTGTTCCACTTTAATTGCAAAGTTATGGCTGATAAAGAAGGCTGATCACCGAAGAATGGATGCTTTTGAATTATGGTGCTGGAGGAGACTCTTGAGAGTCCCATGGACTGCAAGAAGATCAAACCTCTCCATTCTGAAGGAAATCAGCCCTGAGTGCTCACTGGAAGGACAGATCCTGAAGCTGAGGCTCCAATACTTTGGCCACCTCATGAGAAGAGAAGACTCCGTGGAAAAGACCCTGATGTTGGGAAAGATGGAGGGCGCAAGGAGAAGGGGACGACAGAGGATGAGATGGTGGGACAGTGTTCTCGAAGCTACCAGCATGAGTTTGACCAAACTGCGGGAGGCAGTGGAAGACAGGAGTGCCTGGTGTGCTCTGGTCCATGGGGTCACGAAGAGTCGGACACGACTAAACAACTAAGCAACAACAAAAGTTATGGCATGTGCTTGAATCCTTCCTGCAAAATAACGTACTGACAGTCTGGAGGTGGTCCAGGTATTAAGCCACTCATCTTGCTCTAGTAATAAGCGGTACCTCCAGATGGGGATACATCTAGCAAGCTCAATGCAGCCTTCGCAAGGATCACAACACAGAAGAGAACATGCATTTCTCCCAGTAACACACGTGGTAGGCTGATAGGAAAGTGGGATAGGATAAGTCTGCACCACTAAAATGGGAGCAGGACAGTAATAATTAAAGGGACAAAATAATTGGGGAAATTAATAATGGAATCGATAAGAAGACCATCTCCCCCCATCTGGCAGCATTGCCTCTTGGGCCCCGCTTTCTGACTTTGCAGAGAAAACGGAGCTGCTGGCCTTAGGCAACTCCCAGAGTTCTTGGGACAGAGACCTGGAAGGTCAGGCTCCCAGCAAAAGCGCATGAATGCTGACGTCAAAGGAAGCAGCTGTTGGTTCATTGGCTCTTTGGAGAGAGCATCCCTTCTGCTGTAACTCATCTGCGAAATGTCAACTCAGCCTTGACTGTTATCTTCTCCCTTTCAGCATCTCGCTTGCCTGTTGTGGGGAGATAATCCCACTCGTTTCACAGATATTTTGTGCACGTGTGAGATTCAAAGCAGAAAAGCAGGATGAGGTTCTCCTCCCACTTGGCACGTTGTTGCTTTGTGATCCACAGCCCCCACCCCACCTGCAGCACACACAGAGATATCTAGAGCCACTGGCCAGCTAAAATTTAGCATGGAAACAATCGTTCCATAAGCGATTTTTTTTAATGAAAATCATCCGGTGCCATGATGATGTCAGGTGACTAAGAAGTAGGCATCAACGTACCTGTCAATCGTTGACTCGCCAGGGCCGGGTCTGCTTCACCAGCATGTTTTCTGCAGGAAAGGCACTGGCAAAACAGCATCCAGCAGGCTTGGACCTCTACCATCGGCTAAGGTCACCCAGTGACACCAGCTGATTGACAGGTGGGTGTGGTTTGGGGAAATGGCCTTGCAGGCCATATTGGACCCCCTGACAGACCAAGACTGACCTGGAAGTTTAAGATGCTCTGGGTGTGAGCCATTTTAGATCAGGTTGTGACTGATCTGGGTTCTTCTGTCCCAGAGTTGAAAACTCCTGTGCTGGAGGGTTGGGGAGAGAGTCTAGAAGAAGCTAAAGACAAAACATTACACAAACACAAATTGCACAATTGTACCAGCTGCTTATGTACAGAAACAAACGCAAATGGGAACATTATAACAAGCTGGTGCAATGTATCTGACACATTTACCACTCTGTCCTCTTTGTGGGCAGATATTTGCTTTGAAAAAGCAAAACAACACAAGGAAGAGTGTGTGCGTCATAGCATCACCCATACAAGCCACTGAAAAGTTTGTAGCATACCAGACAAGAAAGCACGTCAAGACATTGGGGCAGCCAGTTTGCTTCCAGCTGATCTGTTTGATTGAGAATTCATCCTGATGTGATGGCATAAAGTTTGTGGACCAATTAAACAACACTGGCTATTTATTCAGCATTCATACTGAATTGTTTGCGGAAAGGTTATACAACGTTGCATCAAGCAGTTGTTATTCCACACTTTCCAGTGCATTTTCCCGTCACTTTCCTTGCTGCAAAAAAGGAAGGGGCTTCTGAGACAGAAGAAATAAGTTTTGCTGCACAAGACTGCCTAGATCAACTTTGATTGCACAGACTGAATATGCCACTGTGAAATGATGGTCTTATGAGCCCCCTTCCCTCTTTGGATGGTAATGGGATTCTCAAGATGTCAAGATGATTTTTGGTCATGATGGAATGAAGGAGGCTATTTGCAATCCTATATTTAACATGATTGCACTTGCAGAAGTTTAAGGGAAGACATACTGCTTCATTTCCAGTTAGTTAACTTCCCTCTGAAACACTATAGTTGTTTATACCCCAAATGGTCCAAGTTAGGGTTATGGTTTTTTGTCCTGCTTTTGTTGCACTGTAGTGCAAAACAGCTCCTCCAGAGGCAGTTGTGCAATGACAATGGGGGAGCATTGCAGCACAACTAAACAATTTGTGGATGGGCAACCAATGCAATGTTATTGCATCAATGACATGTTGCAGAATATCCTCGCAAAAAAAGGCTCCCAATGTGGTTAAATGCAAAATGTGTCCAGTCAACTCTGCTTTGTTTGAGGGCCCTTCTGGTCATTCTGCTGAGTGGATCTCTGGATGTCTGCCCCAAAGTCTTGCCCTAATGGCACCATAGCTCAGTGGTAGAGGACCTGCCTTGAATGCAGAAGGTCCAAGGTTCAATCCCTTGTGTCTCCCAGTAGGACTAGAGCAGAACCTTGCCTGAAAACTTGGAGAGCTGCTACCAGTCAGTGTAGACAATACTGAGCTGGCTGGACCAACTGTCCGGCTCAGAACAAGGCAGTTTCCTATCTTCTTACTGCACCAAGTTTAAGGCTGTAATCTTATACCCACTTACCTGGGAGTAAGCACCACTGAACTCAGTAGGACTCACTTCTGAGTAGGCACATATAGGATGGTGGTGTAATTCTGTTCACCCGTCCATCTGCCTTGCAATTCGTGAGCTCCATTTGCATTGCTTGTATGACTATAATGTGTCACCACTGGAACACAATGGAAGTTTTTTGGGCCAAAACAAACCCTTATTCATGGGCACAGCAGGTCTAATGATGTATCATGCAACAGTCACCATCACATTGTCCTTTTGTTTTGGATCGTGTAAACCACTTTGTAAATTATATAGCTGACAAGCAGCTTTAAAAAACAAAAACAAATGACTCTCGGAAAGTATATAAATAACTGCAATAAAAATAGTGACAAGCTCTTCCCCTTGAGCAAGAATGCTCTATTCTGCCCTACTGGTTAAGACAGCAGTGGGGGTCCTGTGGCCTCCAGGTATTGCTGGACTACAGCTCCCATCATCCTGGACCACTGGCCATGCTGACTGGTGCTGATGGGGCTTGTATTCCAGCAACATCTGCAGGGCACCAGGTTGCCCCCCCCATGTTAAGACCTCTCTATTGTCCCCTTCCTGCCATAAACTGGGGCTCTGCACAGCTCGGGTGCTCTGATGTTGCCGTTTGAGCTGGAGCCCCAGCTGGAGCACCTCTCAGCCTGTGGCAGTGCCCTTGGCTGAATGTTATGCAACAAAAATTGGCTCAGCTTCTTACAGCAGAGAAAAACTCGTTTCCCTCTCTCATAACACGAGCACTCAGGGACAGCCCCCCAAGCAGTTGTTAGGCCTGGTGGGGTGGGGAGAGGTGCAGATCCCATCAGGAGTATGAACTATTGTCAGAAACGCAGAGAAGGGGAGGCCCCATGACCGCTATTAATCTGTTTAGAAAAAACCAATTTTCCAAGTGACACATACAGGCTGTGTATACACTATGCCTTTAAATATATGGAATCCTCAAAAGATTACTTCAATGGTGTCTCCGGAAATTTTTACACATCACTTGGGAAGACAGGCGAACTAATATCAGTGTACTGGAAGAAGCAAAGATCACCAGTGTCGAAGCAATGATTCCTCAACATCAGCTTCGTTGGACTGGTCATGTTGTGTGGATGCCTGATGATTGTCTTCCAAAGCAACTACTCTATTCTGAACTTAAAAATGCAAAGCGTAATGCTGGTGGTCAACAAAAGAGGTTTAAAGACTGTCTCAGGGCAAATCTACAAAAATGTAGTATAAACACTGACAACTGGGAAACACTGGCCTGCGAACGCTCCAGTTGGAGAACAGCCTTTACCAAAGGCTGAAGACACTTGAACTCAAGACACAAGGGAGAAACGTGCTAAGGAGAAGGCATGCTTGGCAAATCCACAACGTGATCAACTCCCGCCAGGAAACCAATGTCCCCACTGTGGAAGCACGTGTGGATCCACAACTGGCCTCCACAGTCACCTACGGACTCATTGTTAAAACCGTGTTTATGGAAGACAATCTTACTCGGCTACGAGTGATCGCCAAAGAAGAAGAATACCTTTAAAGCACATTCAAATGACATTCCCCTCCCTCAAAGAATTCTAGGTTCTGCAGTTTATCCCTCACAGAGGTACAATTCCCAGCAGCCCACAGTGAACAACAGCACCTAGAATTCTCTGAAGGGAAAAATGTGCTTCGTATCCTTAACATCTCATGTTATTTGGACCCAAGCCTCTGTTGACCATGTAAAACCCAGTGGATTTCATGGCTGTGCAGGAATTTGAACTCTGGGTGGGCCTCACCCACTCAACCTTCAACACTCCGTCCATGACACCACAGGTAGAATCTTAGAGACTGAAGGGAAGCAGGCACAGGGGCTTCTCAGTGGTGGCACCCGCCCTGTGGAATGCCCTCCCATCAGATGTCAAGGAAATAAACAACTATCTGACTTTTAGAAGACATCTGAAGGCAGTTTTTAATGTTTAATGTTTTACTATGTTTTTAATCTGTTGGGAGCCGCCCAGAGTGGCTGGGGAAACCCAGCTGGATGGGCGGGTTATAAATAATAAATTATTATAATATTATTAATAATAACTTGGGGTCCTCTAGCAAAAGAGCACCTGCCTTGCATGCAGAAGGTCCCAGGATCAATTCCTTGTGTAGTGGTGGAGCTGAGAGAACCCTACTTGAAACTCTGGAGAGCAGCTGCCAGCCAGTGGAGACACTGCCAAGATGGACCCAGTGGTCTGACTCAGTAAAAGGCAGCTTCCTATGTACGTTTGCTGCAGCTTCCTTGACAGGTGGCCAGCTGAGGGCTTATAAACACATACCTTCCCTCACTCTTTTCGGGCACAATCCAAGCTCTAAAGCTTTATGTCAGAGTGCATCCCCCACCCACGGAACTTCCCCTGTGAAAACCCACTCTTTAAAGCTGAATCAGAGCAAATGGCAATCCATGGAAAAACTGAATGGCCATTTGCTCTGACTGAGCTCTAAAGGGCAGGTTTTCATGGGGAAAGCTCCAGGGCAAAATAAAAATAAAGAATTAAAGCCATCAGATACTTTAAAGCGCAGATCTGTGCCTGGAAAGAGAGGGGCAAAAGGTTAGTGTGGATAACTCCAGAGTCTCTGCTTCAGTACTTCCAGCAGAAGTATTTAACCTGCTGTTGGAATGAGATGCTACCTCAGTTGCTTCAACTTGCTTGCCTTCTTACTTACAAGTAGTCCAGGGAATTGTCCTACCGTCGTTTTGCTCAGCAGCGAGAAGGATGGGGACAAAGGCTGCATTGGTTGGATCTCCCTGTTGAAGGCCTGCTCTGCCCCGTCTGCACTTGACGCTGACTCCAACTGCATTTGGGCTCCTTGCTTTCTGCCTTACCTGTCCCAATGGGCACCAGTCCCTACTGCTGTTTCTGATGCCAGCTTTGCTTTGGGCACTGCGCCTGCCCACTTGCCTGAGAAGCTCAAGATCAGGGGTAGGCAAACTAAGGCCCGGGGGCCAGATGCAGCCCAATCGCCTTCTAAATCCGGCCTACGGACGGTCTGGGAATCAGCGTGTTTTTACATGAGTAGAACGTGTGCTTTTATTTAAAATGCATCTCTGGGTTATTTGTGGGACATAGGAATTCGTTCACCCCCCCCCCAAATATAGTCTGGCCCCCCACAAGGTCTGAGGGACAGTGGACCAGCCCCCTGCTGAAAAAGTTTGCTCAAGATACTCAGACAGTAGAGAGAAAGGAAAAACGTTTGGCTGCTGTAATTGGCTTGTTCACGGAGCTGCTTAAAAAGCATGGCAACTCTGCCAGGAAGGCATCTGGCAACCTTCAATGTAGGAAAACCAGCTTAAAGGGTTTGGGGTTTGTGCAGCCTGCCCTCTGCCCTCTTGCGAGATCCACGCCTCCCACCTGCTTGCCCCCACCGCAAGCTCATGAGGCGATGGGTTTGGCCTTGGTGTCAGCCAGCCTGCTGTAAGTGATGTCTTTTCTTATCTCTCTGCTGACAAACCAGCATCCTTCACTGGCTATTTAAGAGCAGAGGGGAGAGGAGACACCAGCAAAACAGCAGCAGAGGCGCTCAGAGACACAGGGAAGCCAGGATCCTCCGCAACTCTTTCAGACTTCTGTGATGCTGCCTGCGACTTTCAAGCTGTGTGCCGGCATTTCCTACAGACACCTGCACAGCACAATGGGTGAGTACAAACCAAACAACATTACTATCATCTTCAGAATCAGAATCTTTTTGAGGGGAAAAATGTGCTTCAAACATGAGTTATAGTGGGTACACAGTGTAAATGTGATCAGATGAATCTCCTACAGTTTCTTTTAAAGGTAATAGGAACTATTGGTGTGTGTTTGGGAGTTATTCAGATCACATCCATTGTGCAGGGGCTGAACACTTTGCCTCCCTGCTATTTTCCAGATTTAAAAGTTGTTTCTGTATGTTCTTACTGTGGCACAAACAGAATTTAAATCAAGGGAATGATGAACGGCTCCTCTCCCCTGGTGCTGCCATTCCAGCCTGAACGGCTGCAGCTAGTAGCTTTTTCATTCCTTGTGTTGCTTTTCAACTTTTTCTAGCAAGCCATCTTCTGGGATTCAGTGGGTGAAATATTGATGTATAAGTGTAAAGAACTTTAAAAGAGCAATTTTTGTTGTATCGAATAAAAAGTTATCATGGATGTTTCTCGTTTTCTGGCTGCTTGACATGTTGTTAATGGCTAGCCTGGGAAGCTTGCGGTCTTTCGCAGTGAGCTCCCGTATTTCTGCCCTTTCCCTCTTCTTATAACTTTTCTTTTTTTGGGGGGTGGGGGTACTTTGCTTATAGTGGGAGGGTGCACTGTAATGTTGACCCTAGCTACTCAACTCTCCTTATTTACCAGTGGCATTGGTGCTTGTGCATTAGCCTATGTACATTTCATGTAAATGTGTGTCATGTGCCTTTAAATAACCCAGCCATGCCCTTAGATGCATGCAGAAATGGAAAGCTTACATTTTGTAGTTCAGGGGAATCTAGTGGTGGCTGCTGCCCATTGAGACAAGTAAGGCGGAAAGCAGGGAAACCACCAGCAGGGAGAGCCAGAGCCAATGACAAGCAAAGCAAGGAATTCTAGTTTTGTCTCCAATTACCTCCCTGCTGAGTTCCACTGGGAGAACACTGAGGCTCAAGAGGAGACTACAGAGGCCATGCAAACCCTTGGACTGGTTTTGAGGAGGAAAAGCAGGCAGGTAGAGATTGGCTAGGGGCAGGCTGAGGATGGTGAGAAAGTACTGTACTCCATTTCCTCGAAAAAATGGCCAGCCTCTACTGGTTTTAGATGAGCTCAGCTGCAGCATACAGAAGGTCACAGCTTCCATGTCCAGTTTTTTAAAATTATTATTAAAGATTTTCTTGTTTTACAGAAGTAAGTGTAATGTCTTGTATTTTTTCCATGTAACATTTTTACAAATCAGTTTAATTTTTTGAGGCATTAGGGGGAGAAGAAAAAGAAAAGAAAAAAAGGGGGGTGGAGGGAGGGAAGACGGGTGGGGGTGGGGTCGGGTGGCGATGTTTCTATTATGTTTAATGTATGTAGAGTTTGGTGTCAGCGTTACTTGTGCTGTTCACTTGTGTTCCTTTGGTGGTGAGAGAGGTTGGGGTTGGCCTAGGGTGTGGTTGTTTGTTTGTGATTGGCTGTGGTGATCTTTGTTTTCGTGTGTGAGTGGGGTGGGTGGGTGTTTTGGATCAGGTTAGCCATATTGATTTGTATGCTATTGGTGGATTATTGTCATTGACCTGTTGGGCTGTGTATGTGATAAAGGGGAGCCATACCGGGGTGAAGGCGTCTTCTTCTGCTTGTCCCCGTGTCAGTTTCAGTTTATTGGTTAATTTTTCTAGTAGGGCTGTTTCCCATACTGTTTGGTACCATTGGTCCATGCTTACTCCTGACAGGTCTCTCCAATGTCTGGTTATGGTGTTTCTGGCTGCGCTTCCATGTCCAGTTAAAGTATCTCAGCTAAGGGGGCTATGAATGTAACTAGGGCGTACTTTCCCCTCCTCAGCTGTAGAGAGTTTAAATCAGGGTTGGAGAACCTGATGTCTTCTAGATGCCGGACTCCAACTCTCATCGCCCCAGCCAGAATGCTCATTCCTTTTGGGAATTATAGGGAGAGAACTACCCAAACTTTATAGAAATTTATTCATGTATGTGACTACAATGGCAATAATGTTACTTGCCCCAAAATGGAAGAAAGTCCAAGCAAAAGAAGAATGGCTACAAAAAACTTATGAAATATGCAGAAATGGTGAAACTTAACCGAAAAAATAAGAAATCAAGATAACAAACTTTTTATAAAAGAATGGAAATGGTTTATTGAATATTTACAAACTGTAAACAAATAAGAACATTGCCAGGATTCTTGTAATAACCTGCAGTTCTATAAGAGTATATATTTAAAGTAGATGAATAAATGAGCAAATTGAGTTAATTTGGATATGCAGGAAATATTTTTTTAAAAATTAAGGAACCGCAGAAAGAGGGGGTAGGAAGTCAAGTTTTGAAATGTTAAAATGACTGTAAAATTATTTACATGTATAAAACTGAAAGTCATAAATAAAATATTTAAAAGGATGGGAAATGCTCATGGATGATGGGAACTTTAGTCAATTAACACCTGGAGGGCCATTACTTCACTGAGACTTGAAGGGGTTCTGCGCCTTTCAGGACTAGGTGTTTTCAGGCAAAGAAAATATATTTCCTCTGTTTGATCTTTCAGATATTTAGTTCCTAAAATACCTATACAGTTCTAAAAAGCAGCTTTTGATAGATAGCATTGGCTCATGTAAGAAGGAAAAAAAGGGTCAGGAAATTTTAAAAATGGCTTTTGGTATAAATGTGGTGGTAACAACTATTTGTATATTTTCTGCATTCTTAGCAATTAAATATCAGTGGTGAGGAAGAAAAAACAAACAAACACCTGGAGGGCAACCGGTTCCCCACCGCTGGTTTATATTGACACGAATTCTGTTCATGCTCTTTAAGGTTTTTCTAGGGGGTCAATGGAGTCAGTTTTCATATGATGGTTCCTTGTTTCTAAAAGCCTTTATAATCATAAGTCTGTGTGCATGTTTGTAATGCATCCTGATTTCTTGCACAACTCTGATAAATTAAAGTCACTTTAAGTGCTTTCTTTGAAGAAATAAGCAAGAGATACAGAGGTACATAATTTACCATGTAAACATGCCTTTACCAGAATTTGTGCAATGTTCTCATTCAAATGGAGCAGAGGGGAAATCAGTTCGGCAGCTTTGTAGTAAATTCAGCAGAGTAGTGTTTCTACTGTACCCGCAACCCCAGAAGGCTGCCTGGATTCCCATCTTAAGCTAAGAAGGCAACAAAGGAACTTAGAAATGGAGAACTGTTCAAGCAGCGTTTAAAACAATCTTGGGTCCCCAGATGTTGTCAGACTACAGCTACCATCATCCCTGAGCTGACCACTGGCTAAGCTGGCTGGGGATGGTGGGATTTGTAGCGCAACAACATCTGGGGAGTCAAGAACTGTTTTAAACAATAAAATGCAAACAGGACTCCTGACACAGGCTGTCACTGCTGATTTAGTTTTAGGTGGTTTTTTTTTACAGCTGGAGGTGCAGGTGGGTTCGGGGGAGGAGGGTTGCGTGAAGAACCACTGGCAGTCATTCTCTTCAGGACTAATTGGGGTGCGTGGAAGAGCAGTTAAGTTCAAAGGGCTCAAATCTGTACACTAGTTAATTTTTTGGCATCTGATAAGTTTCACAACTTGTTTTTACTGTGTGTGTATCAGTTCAATTTACAGCCCTCAGTTTACAGCTGCAGATTTAAGCAAGCAAGAGATTAGACTTAGTAAAAGATTTCTCTCTGTGTGTGTTAACTGACCAAATCTTGTCACACACTAAAGAGTTTAAAATATTCATAAATATTAATAAAAATATATTGGTTCTGGTGGCACAAGAGTAGACTATGTTGAACATGTCCTCTCAGATCAGCTCACACTTTTGGGTGCTTTATTTTATTTTTCTGTGTTGTCTGCGTTGTTGTTTTTTTAATGATGGTTAGGAACCTCGAAAGCTGGAAGTATCCCAGGCCTCTCTGGACCTCAAAGGGCCTGCTTCTGCGGGTTCAGATATGGCTTTTAATACCACTGTTATGCTTTCCTCTCCTCAGGCTTGAAGAGGCAAGCAGCTGCTGCGATTGTCCAGGAGCTGAATAAATTTGCAGTTACCAGGCCTGGTCCCAGCAAGTGGATCAATAATGTGCGCAGAAGGAGCTCTTTGCTAAGTAAGTATAACGAGGCACAGCTCTTGTTGGGCGTGTTTTATCCTTGCATTTTGGGGCTGCTGAATTTTTGGTGGCATTGAAAATACAAGCTTTCTTTTCTAAAATAAAAATAAAATTAAATTAAAACCTGCTCCAACCTCCAACAGGTTCTAGACTGGAAGAGAATCTCTTCAATGAAATGGAGATGTCCTACATCAAGCAAGGAGATGAGGCGCTCCAGAAATCACTTAAAATTCTTGGAGAGCAGGAGGGCTGGAAAACAGAGACAGTGATGGTATGCATGTTGCATTGTTCATGGGGGTCATTGTTTGGTGTTCCCTTCTACTTTGCTTGCAGATGTCAGTTGGGGTCGCCAACTTTGCAGCCTTCAGATAGAGAGCTGAATTTTAGTTAGGGTCAAGATATCATTTCAAATTCACAATTCAAATTCACAAACCAAGGTATCTTTTTAAATATTTTTTATTAAGTTTTCTGTTTTACAATTTCAAATACACATTTTACATCCTTAAGCTATCAGTGACTTCCCTTCTTCCCTTTCCATGGTTCAGGTTTAAACAAACAACTGTTTTCTGAGTTTTGATGTTAGGAGGAACTGTGGTTAATATAAAGCTGGAAAGGGTTCCTTCTGATCTTCTCACAAGTGTAAAAGAAAAAAAAAGTGTGTCATGCAAGCCGGTGGCTTATTGCAGCTGGTCCTTCTAGTGGAAAATCATTATTTTGCATCGAAATGGGCCTAATTTTCTTCATGCTGCTCACTCTTCCACCCCACCTGCATCTTTCTACCATAAAAAAGGAGCAAATATTGTGGTCCTACTGATGCAACTTTTATAGACCCTAATCCATTGATTCAGGCATAGTCAAACATGGTGTGTTCCAGATGCTTCTGGACTTCAGCTCCCATCACTCCTGACTATTGGTCCTGCTGGCTGGGGCTGATGGGAGGTGGAGTCCAACGTCTGCAGGACATCAGGGTTCCCCATCCCTGGTCCACACACCAACTGGTGGTAGCTCTCCAGGATTTCAGACAAGCCTTACCTAGAGTTTGAACTTGGGACCTTTTGCCTGCAAAGCATGTGCTCTACCTCTGAGCTATGGCCCTTTTCTAACATTAGCCATCCCCCTGGCTAGCACATTCTGGGCCAGTTGTAGCTTCAAGGCCAGCCCCATATAGAGCACATTGGAAAAGCCCTGTTGCAAGGTTATCACGTGGGAATCGGGCTGGATGCAACATACGACCTAATAATACTCTTAGCTCTCATGCTTTGGGTTATGCAAGCCAGCGATGCTAACAATTTAGACCCCCTTCTGCTTTTTTCTGCAGGCCAATGGTGACAAAGTCCTGAGCAAAGTTCTCCCGGATGTGGGGAAGGTATTCCGGCTAGAGGTGGTGGTTGATAAACCCCTGGACTGCGTCTATAGCGAGTTAGTGGAAAGGATGGAGCAGATGGGAGACTGGAACCCGAACGTCAAAGAAGTCAAGGTAAACACACACAGAAACGCATTCTTGGTGAAAGGAGACTGCACCAATGGCTTATGCATTCAACTCTCCAAGGAGTTGTAAAGCACGTTGCTTTGCCTGATCAGTGATTTTTTGCGTAGCTATTAGTAGAAAAAGTATATTGTAGAGGAGGGATGGTCTGAAGAAAGACTGGGATCTACTGAAAGATCCCTGGATGATTCACAGTAAATCCCCAAGCGTTGCTTGCTCCTTGCGGTGCAACGACAACAAATTAAAATCTCAAGTCTTTAAAACAAATCTCAGCATGGCTAACCAATGTCTTGATCTCACTGTTCTACACCTGTAAAACATGAGCATTAATGAGGTGTTTGGGCAGCTCTGCTGGCCAGTTTTAGACTCTTGTGTTAAGCGTCTCAGATCTGTAATCATGCAGACATGGGTGCATTATGGTATTTGTGGGGTATCTCCATTGTAAGGCTCGGAGGCCACACAGGCTCGTGGGGAATTGGCTCCCTCCTGCTCCCTCCTTCAAAGGACAGAAGAAAGGCCCCCTCATGATTCCCACTGGAGGCAGAACCTAGTCATCATGGTTAGTAGCCTTAAAAGCCTTATCTTCCATGAACTTATCAAAACTGCTTTTAAAGCCATCCAAGTTGATGCCATTGCTACATCTTGTGGGCCACCATTACGCACCCGGCTGTGGCTGGTGACCTTTACACTGTGTGCTTCCTGCCCATGTTGGTAGCACCGATCACATGTTAGGAACAAAGGGAAGTCTCCTTCTGCCTCTTGTCTCTCCCTTCCCCAAAGTAATCAGCACTGCGCTCCTTCCAAAAGTGAGTCAGGAAAGGAATTTGTCGGCCATAGCAGGAATTGCATCAGCTACCAGCAAGGAGGTGCAGTAAGTATCCCTGTATGAAAAATGACAACCCTTTGTTTTCATTGGCGATCTTTCTCCAGATCTTGCAGAAGATCGGCAACGACACAGTGATCACTCACGAAACTGCAGCCCCAACCCCTGGCAACATAGTTGGGCCACGAGACTTTGTGAGTGTCCGTTGTTCCAAGAGGAGAGGCTCAACCTGTGTCCTGGCTGGCATGTCCACCACCTATGCAGCGATGCCTGAACAGAAAGGGGTTATTAGGTAAAGAGTCGTCCCCCTCTCGATTACTTTCTCCTTGATTGAATTTGGGGGGTACTCCATTTTTTGTGTAATATGCTAACATGATGCTCTCCTGTCCTCCCCCAGAGCTGAGAATGGCCCCACGTGTATGGTTCTTCGGCCTCTCCTTGGTGACCCCTCCCAGACCAAGTTAACCTGGCTTCTCAGCATCGACCTCAAGGTACAGGCACACGGCGGACTGAGCTAAATCACTGCATCCACTGGTTTTGCCAGAGATCATCCTCTTGCCATGATTTGGGTGGTGCAACTTTCATAAACAGCTGTGCATTCAGCTCTGCAGGGAGTCGTCTCAGGTGTCACTAAGAGGGATCCACTTTCTGGGGCTCTTAAGAGGGTATTTTTTAGTTAGATGAACTGTGCAAGAAGATACATAGCGCTGTGCCAAGGATTCCTCCTGCATTTCCCGCCTGCCACTCTCCATCATTTGATGATAAGATGAATTGCGGCTGCATACATTTAAAGCACAACAATACCACTTTAACAGTCCTGGCTTCCCCCAATGAATCCTGGGAGCTGTAGTTTGTTAGGGGTGCTGAGAGTTGTCAGGAGACCCATACCCCCCTCACAGGGCTATTATTCCCAAAGTTCCCTGGGAAGAGGGATAGACTGTAAAACTGCTCTGAGGGCTCGTCTACACTTCTGCTTGTCTCTGCTTTCTAGGCCTGGTTCCGAGAGGATTTTCGTTTGCTCAGCCACTTTTCCTGAGAAAACCCGCTATTTGCTGCTGAATTGGGCTTCCTGTGGATTGATGCTTATGGCAAACCAGGGGAAATCCTCTCGAACCCATGCCTAGGAAGTGCAGACAAGCAGGAGAAGCAGGAAAAGTGTAAAAGGGGCTGAGCCCACAGAGTCCAGAAAGAAAAATAAATCCTGATACCACTTTACTGAGGAGAACTGAGGGGGGGGGGGGGAACGGGACGAACAGAGAGGTTTTGCCTCTTTTTTATTACATCAGACCTTGTGCATAGCAGGGAGACCTTCACAGAATTAACCCTTTAAGTTGAACACATAATGATGTTGCTCTTTCCCCCCCTTCTCTCCCAGGGATGGCTGCCCAAGTCCCTCATCAACCAAGTCCTCTCTCAAACCCAGGTGGATTTCGCTAAACATCTGCGCAACCATTTGAGCAGCAATTCTGCCTCCATGCAGCAGGCCGTGCGCTGTTGAAGTGGCCGCACACACGCAACACACTCCTTGTGGCTGATGAATCCCTTTCCCAGTTCATGGACCACTCGCTCAAGGCTCTTCCCCTGGCAGCTGAGGCTCCTGCTCCAGAAAATGGGTACAGGGACATCCATCTTTCCTGCCAATAGAACAAGCTTCCTGCCTGCTCCGAGGCAGCTTTTTTTAACCTCTCCCCAAAGCAAGAGTGGGAAATCTTCTTGGTGGTTCTTGTGCTCAGGGGTGGTCTGTTGTGGGTCACATTTCAGCAGTGGTCATTGCCAGAGCCAAAAGGCAGAGTAGGCCACACCTTTGTCTCCCTCCTTCATTTCACTCCCCTCTCTTTTCTCACATCCACACCATACATTGAAGCACTTACGCCGTTTTCATTATCATGGCTTCCCCAAAAAATCCTGGGAACTGTGCTTGATTAAGGGTGCTGATCTCACAGAACTTGACTTCCCACCACCCTTGACCAACTACAGCTCCCAGGATTCTCCTTCAATATTAAAGTAGCTGTGATATGGCGTAGCTGTGATCTCTCTCTTAAGCTTGCAAGGGGAGGGACAAATCACTCTTCTCAGAGGTTCAAAATGATTGCTTTCAGAAATCTTTTGAAATTAGGCAGATGGGCTGAAGGTTGCACCCCCCCACCCCCAGTTCAAAGGATTGAACAGCAGAAAATTTCATCCTAGGTGCTTCACTGATCCTTTGATGACAAAGTGCAGGACTAGATTTTGCAGCCCCGGGTTTGTTAAAGAGGTTTCCTTTTGAAAGGTGTATTTGAAATACCCCGAAAACAGAGCCAAGTTAATTGAGCTCACAGAACAACTTAAGCTATGATCTTACTTTTTAAAAACCAGTAGAATTTAGTGCCATTTATATTTTAATTTAGTGCATTTATTGTCCCACCTTTTGTTCCAAGAGCATGGGGTATGCATGTTCCCCCCGTTTCCCCCCTCCTAATAAGATGGTGGGTTAGGCTTGAGTAAGGGCTCCTCCATTGCAGCCTGTTTATTGATTTGCTTGCACAAAGTTTACCAAGCATTCCTCTAGACTTGTTTATGGGGTGGTGACAGTCAGCATTCATCCTGATTTAATTCACTTCATTGGAACAAGCCTGAATTCCCAGGTATGCACTTGAATCCCTCCTACAAAACAGTAACAGCCTGGAGAAACCCCAAGAGGTAGCAGTTGGCCCAGGGTCCACCAGAGTGTCTCAGAACTGCATGAGATTTGAAGCAGGGTGTCTGCAGCCTAATCTGGCAGCGCTCTACCCACTGCACTGCTTCTCCATGCCTGATTTAGAATCAGTCTGCTTGGGCCAGTTCGTGAATCTGTGTTTATGCAACACCTCCGATTTTACACTCAGCTGGCCTCTGCTGAACTGACTGGTTGAGGGAACCTCAGCTGGGTGGCAGAGCTGCTGCCTTGCATGCAGAAGGCCTCCTGCACTGTCCCTGGACCTGCCAACTAAACGAGAAAGGCTCAGGGAGCAGGTGACATGGAAGACCGCTGCCCAAGATCTCAGAGAAGCACTGCCAGCGAGAGGAAAGAAGGCTAGGCTAGTTGGACAAGTTATCCGCCTTACTGTGCAATGGAAGGGCGTAAGGAAAGCCCTCCTGGAGCAGGCCAAAGACCCATCTAGGTCTAGGATCCTGCTGGCATGGCGGTGAGCCAGATGCCCCTGGGAAGCCTGCAAGTAGAAGCTCAGCGCAAAAGCACTCTCCATACTTGCAGTTCCCAGAAGCTGGCATTCAGAGGCAAGCTCCTGCCAACAGTGGAGTCGGAACTCCATCTTAGCTGCCTATGTTCCTAACTCTCTCTTAAGTATTGTGCCCATAGTGACAGCCTATTGGAAAGCCTTTGTACATGGGATCAGAAAAGAGCCAGTGCCTGTTCCAGGTTCCCAGGGAGACCTGTGCAAGATGTTCTCCTCGTCTCTGCATGTGCCTCCCACCCTGAGTACACCTACTTTCTCCAGTGTCACTACTGCCTCTCCCCATGTGTCTCCCCCCCCCCCCCCCGGAAGGCCCTTCTGCACCAGAACAAGGCCTACAGAGGTTGCTTTCTCACAGGGAAAAAGGCAGCACCAGCAACCAGGAACAGCAGGGCAAAGTATCTCCAAGGATGGGACATGGGCGTGAGCCAAACAATGCTGGCTGTAACCTATGTCCAACACGCAAGTACAGTGGTATCTCGGGTTACAGCCGCTTCAGGTTACAGACTCCGCTAACCCAGAAATAGTACCTCGGATTAAGAACTTTGCTTCAGGATGAGAACAGAAATCGTGCAGTGGTGGCACGGCAGCAGCGGGAGGCCCATTAGCTAAAGTCATGCTTCAGGTTAAGAACAGCTTCAGGTTGAGAACGGACCTCCGGAATGAATTAAGTTCTTAACCCGAGGTACCACGGTAGATCAATGCAGTTTGAACTCACCCTTCATCTTAGTAGGCTTGGTAGCAAGGCGCTTGTTTTGTTTAGATGTCCGTAACAGCAGGCCGTGCATTAAAACCAAGTGACTAACTGCTAACCATCCTTTGTAGCTCTGTGTAGCCACGGAGCAAGACCCTGCTGAATAAAAATAGTGCATTTGTAGCATCCCTGTTTCCCCACCAGCCTCTTGGCTCTCCGGCCAAGGCCCTTCCTCCTTCTCCCTGTCCACATGTACGAGCTTTGGTTGACTGCACTGTATTCACCCCCTTGTGTTTTAGGGGAAGAGCAATAAGCTCAGTAGGACAGCATTTGCTTTACATGCAGATAGTTCTACATCTAATCTAATTTCAGACTTCTGTCTGAAATCCTGGAGAGCCGCTGCCAGTCAGTGTTGACAATATGGAGCTAAGAGGGACCAAGGGTCTGGTTCAGCATAAGGCAGCTTACTATATTCTTCAGGACCATAGCAGGCGAGCAGTTAAAACACACAAACACAAATCTCAGTAACTAGCAGCCTCACACTGGTCGATGACTTACTTTAAAAACAAATTAGTTTCAATGCAAATATGTATTCCATATTGTTTGTTGTTAGGCTTAAAGTAAGATAGGTATGCTCCTAAACTCACTTTATGAATCTGTGATCCCCAAAGTCTGACCTCAGGCTTGGCGTTGGCACATTATCCAGCCTCACAATAGATTTTACCATTTCAGCTACCAGAACCCTTGAATATGTCATTACTCATAACCAGTTTTTTTTTTTTTTAAAACAAACTCTGTAGGTATCTTCTTCCCTTGTTTGCAATTGGACAAAGTGTTTATTTAATATTTATTCAAGTCAGGTATATTAAACATGAAAAGCCTGTTCTGTTTTACTCTTGCATTCTTGGTTAACATCTTTTCAAAAACTGGCAGATCATGCAGTGTAAAGATTTTGTGTGTTTAGACACTGATGCCAGGTGAAAATGAATAACAGCTTCTTTGATCTGAGACACTGAAAATTGTATTTAACAAGAGTAGCAGAAAACTGTGCTGAAAGTTTATGTACTTCTGAAAATAAAAGTATGATTTAAAATGTTCCACGTCACTGCTCTCTTTTTTGGCTACAGGATTAAGACTTTTGAAGCTCATGTAACTGAAAAGGTCTGCCCCTGATTCAGGGATGACCCAGGCAGTGGATTAGGACAGAGAGGGATAAAGGAATTTTATTTTGTATGCTACAGGAATCTGTGACCAACCAGATGTTATTGGACTCCAGTTCCCATCAGCCCCTGGTAGCATGGACAACTGCTATGGAAGATGGGCTCTGGAGTCCAATGACAGCTGAAGAGCCACAGGTTCCTCATCCCTGTTCTATAGCTTGCAGCTTCTGAACGTGGATGGCCAATGTACCATCTGGGTCCAAAGCTCAGTGGCAGAGCACTTTCACTTTGCAGGTTCATCCCTAGCGCACGCTTTCGCAACCTGCCACCCTCCAGATGTTCTAGACTACATCACCGCTGCCGCCAGGACCGATGGCCAGGCCGAAGGGAGCTGTTGTCCACAGCACCTGCAGGGTAGCAGTTTGGAGAGGACTAACCCTGCCCCTCTAGTTAAAAGAACAGTAAGCTAAGAAGGCAATGGGCAAGACCTCTGCCAGAGTTCCTGGAGAAGCATTATGGAATGGGGAATACTGGAGTACATGGTGTCAGGCAGCTCCTTATCTCCCAAGGCAAGCAAATAATGCCATCTCCATGACACTTCAGTGGTAAAAGGGAAGAAGAAGAAGAAGAAGAAGAAGAAGAAGAGGAGTTTGGATTTGATATCCCGCCTTTCACTCCCTTTAAGGAGTCTCAAAGCGGCTAACATTCTCCTTTCCCTTCCTCCCCCACAACAAACACTCTGTGAGAGAGAATTAAACATTTGTAAAAGTGCATATTGTGCCAGAGTGAAAAAACTTGTTTTACAGCAACCTCTCTCAAATGTTATCTGCTAGTTCATACTGCACAGCTTGTATTATTATTATTAATTAAATTTATATGCTGCCCTATACCAGCAAGTCTCAGGGTGGTTCACAAGATAAAACTACAACATAAAAACACAAAATATATAATCAAAATATAAACAGAGACAGCCAAATAACCCCTCCTGCCAAAACACACACACGTAAAAATAGTTTAAAACAATTTTTTAAAAAATGAAAAACTACAATTAAAAAGCAGCTTAAAGGAATGTAAACAGAATGCTCTGCTGGGCAGCAGCAGTCCTTTTGTAGCCTGTCAGGCCCCACACTAGGCCTGGTGGAGGGAGGCAGGAGCAGGACCCTCAGATTCTCAGCAGGAATTCTCAGCATTCAAGAGTAGTATTAAAATCATACAAGTTCCTCCTCCTCCTTTCCTCTCTACTGCGACTTCACTTTGCAGCTCAGGAATTTATGTCTGAGCAAACCACTGTTGTTCTGACTGAAGCATGTATCCACGTCTGATAAACGGGACCCCTCTACTGCCACCTACAACTGGGACTCGTACCAAAGCCTTGCCATGTGTGCTATGCCTGTTCAAGATTCCCACCAGCCAGCTATGTCCCTTTTCAGGATACTCCATCTCCCCTCCCCATTTTCAGCCAGCATTCCACTGGAGGTTTAAGAGAGCGGCAATTAGTCCAGAAATTTAAAAAAAAAACCAACCCAAAATTTATTTCTTTTCCACTTTACATCAAGTGATACTGTTTATTTTTTTGTAAAAACAAAACAAAAAAAACCAAAAAACCCAATATATACAATGTCTTTCAAGGTTCCCAAGGTGGACTGCGCCTCCCGTCAACTTCTGTTTCTACATGGTAGAGGACATCTGCCAGTGTGTGTTCCACCACAGCGACCCAGCCCATGTCACTGATCTGTGGAGAAGGAAGGGGGGTGGGTGGGAGAGAAGAAGTCAGCAATCTCAGGGGACCTGTCTTCTTGCATTACAACTCCAAGCATCCCTGACCATTAGCCATGTTGGCTGAAACTCGATGGAAGCTGAAATCAAATGTCTGGAGGGCCACAGCTTCCCCATCCATAGTTTATTTTGAACTTTTAAATTCTGCCTTTCCATTAATTAAGCATCTAATGCACATCAACAACATCTAATTAACCAAACGTTCTGGTGAAAGTGAAACTACAGATGATAAAAAAGCAGCAGCAGAAGACCGATGGGCCATCCATTTCCAGTGCTATTTAGTATCTGTATGAAGGCACTAAAAGTGATCAGCAGGAGAACTGGGGCAAAGGACCATCTGGTGACTATCAGCTCTATTTTTCTGCTGCTGTATCTCCATCAGAATTAGCCCTGGAGGCCTTGGACCAGGGTCTGGATGCAGAAAACAGAGGCTCTGTGGGCAAGTGGCTCCTACGACTGAGAAACAGGCCTGTTGCAATGGGGATTGGAAAGAGTAATGGAGATGAGTAGTATTTTGGCCTGCATGCTCCAGGTTTCTGTATCAGGTGCAAATAACATGTGGTCCTGCAGATCTTGCAAGTTCCATCATTTCTCGATGAATGGGTTATGCTGGCAGCAGCTAATGGGAGGGCCACCCATTCCCAATTCCTGTTGCACACCTACCCTGGCAAAGCCCAAACTTTCCCCCCGTCAGGTGGTAACTGAAATGGGATTCTTAAAACAATCGTAATCCAAGGAGTGTTCCTCTAAAACAAGCATTGAGAATCCAGATTTTTCTGGACTCAACTCCTGTTGGCCAGAGCAGTCAGGGACAGTGAGAGTTGAGGTCCAGCAACACAAGGAGGGACCTAACCCTACAATGAAAACTGCCTGTCACAAACACACACTCTTTGGGGTCAAGGAAGGAGCTGGCCTGGAGTGTAACACCTAATCTGTGCTTCTTTTAAAGTGGCAATTCAATCATAATCCAGAGCCAATTTTGCTCAGTGTTTCTGAAGTGAATGAATTGTATCCAACTAACATTTACTCCAACTAACATTTACTCAGAGCAAAACTCACTGAAATGAATAGGCCTACCTTAGCCATACATTTCCATAGGTCTACTCTGAGCATGACTGCATCTTTATGTACACACAGGAATTCTGCATGGCTGAGTGAGTTATTGGCTAAAGAATCTGGCAACTGCCACAAGTCCTTGGAATCAAGCTCCAATTATAGGTTTCTAGCTCTCATGACAAATGCTTAGGAACACGACATGGTGTGGGATATTGTTTCATTTATCACATATTCCTTCCTTCATCCCTGTAGCTCAACATCCTTGGTCTAATTCTCATATTTTACTCCTAATGCTGAAATTTAGGTTTCTGGGTCAGTGAATCTGGATTATTTTTTAAAAAAATACACAGAATCTTAGACTCTCAACACACAAAGATTTGAAGTTTCCATTGCCCAAGAAAGTCATTTGCCAAAATCATTCTCATATTTCTACTTACCGGGCGGTAACTGATATCTCTTGGTGGATATTTGAAGTAGGGTCCAAAGTTTATAGAAACCTATAAAAGGAAAAGGACCTATTAGTTTAGTGCTATTGGGGGAAATGGTGCTATGAAAGACACCCAGTTGATAAGGATACTTCATAGAAATTTTAACAGGCTCGGTGAGTCTGGGTAACTGCTAGTAAAATAGGAAAATGAAGAAATTTTTTTTTTGGGGTGGGGGAGCGCAAGTAGACAATTACCGTATTTTGCGCCCCATAGGATGCAACGGCCCATAGGACGCACCTAGTTTTTTGGCTGAGCCCGGGACTGCAGGCAGCTCTGCGTGGCCATCGGAGCCGGTCTCCCGAGGGTTGCGCAGAGCTTCCTGAAGCCTGGAGAGCGAGAGGGTTCGGTGCACCGACCCCTCTCGCTCTCCAGGCTTCAGCGAAAGCCTGCATTCGCCCCATAGGACGCACACACATTTCCCCTTCATTTTTGGAGGTAAAAAAGTGCGTCCTATAGGGCGAAAAATACGGTAAGCACAATTTAAATACCTCCTTTAGGGAAGCTGAAGGAAAAAAACCAATTGAAAATGAGTGCTAGTCTGGAAGACATAAAGTGACAAAGATCTCCATGCAGGCCAGAGAACAGGCTGGTAGAGGAACAGGGCCCTCCCACTGGCGTAGAAACCAAATGGGCAGCCAGAGGAGAGAGTATCCCGGGGCCAGGCCCCTTAGCCCTTGGCACTGGTGTAAACAGGTGGTGAGGAAGAGAGGCCAGGGAGAATCTGGCACCTGCACGTTAGCACCTGGACCTGTCAACTGTGAAAAGCTGGAAACACCTGCTTACCACAAGCACACAGCTAACGTTCATGCCAGTGTGGGCCTGGTTTTTGTTAAGGATCCAGACGACACGCTTTGTTTCAAATCCAAGAGTTATCAGATGAACTCATGATCAGCCTCCCACTGGTACATACCGTGCAGCCTTTATACAGAGAGACGGCAGGGAAATAAACACCTTCAAAAATATCTTTGTATGCAACTCCTTGGCTGGCACCATTTTTATAGAAGATTATCTGAAAAGAGACAGACAGGGATCACACGAGGAGGCTTGCAGTTCTCCTTTATTGGGCAGGGCTTGCATGCAGGCTTCTCCTTCCAAACGCCAACTTACTTGGCTTCCGTGAGCTTGTTTTAAACTCTTCTCAGCTTTATCCACAAAGTCCTTCTCTTCGAAGTACAAGTAGCTTTTGAACTTGATCAAAGCCTAAGAAGGTAAGCAGTGGAGTAGGACAAACACCTAGTCAAGGCACAAAAACGCAACTAAAATAGTGAAGCACAAACACTGGCTATTGAGGCAGAAAACCTCACGCTTGCCAAATCCTGTGTGGAACTCTAGACACTTCAGTGAGTTGGTCCTTGAGACTCGGAGGCTGAGGTGGTAACACCAGGAATGCACAATGGGACTGTGAGAAAAGCAAGGCAAGGCAAAAACGAAAAGTGTGTGTACTTGAATAGATGGACCACCAAAAAATGCTACCTTCTGTACCTTTCCCATTCAGCCTTTTTGCCATGAAGCGGAAGGACTGGAACTACCTAGTCCAAATATGTATTAGAGCTTAGTAAGAGACCCGAGGAGTCTACTATAATAGTTTATTATAGCATATGTATTCTCAGGACAGATCACACAGTGATCAAGGTCAAAGATTGGCTCAAGTCTCCCCTTTAAAAGTGCACACCCCTTCCTTACCTTATCTTTGTAAGTATCTGGTAGCGATTTGGCAGTTTCGGTTTCATCTGGAAGGCTGATATAAAAACCAAGCACGTCTCCCTGGCCGTAGCTTGAGGAATAATGTTTACCAATTGACTGGTGGAACTTGGTGCCTTTCTTGCTGCGCCAGGAGTAACTAAACTTGTCGTAGCCAAGGGGAGCCTGAAGGTTTCCTGCAGAAAACCGGAGGTTCACAATAAGGTACCTGCCTGGACTTACATGCTATCTATATATAGTCAGAGGTCTCCTGGGAAGGGGGAGAAGGAATGACGACAAAAGTTTATCGCCAATTTCTACCTGGGTGGGGAGGTGGCAGTGCTGGCCCAGATTTCCTTGCCTGCAGTGATGTACCATGGCAGCCCTGCTGTGAGGGCAAGCAAGCAGGAAGAGTCATGCCTCAGTCCCCAGAGGACTGCCATTGTGTTAGCTGCGCTGATGCAACAGCCCTTTGGAGATCCTAGAATGGATCCCACAGCAAGGCTTGAAGGCGTATGATGCAGCAACCTTACTCAGCAGGCCTGGTAAGCGCCAAGATGGGGGACTATTTGGGAACCTTAAGCACAGCCCTGAGTGCTCACTGGAAGGACAGATCGTGAAGCTGAGGCTCCAATACTTTGGCCACCTCATGAGAAGAAAAGACTCCCTGGAAAAGACCCTGATGTTGGGAAAGATGGAGGGCACAAGGAGAAGGGGACGACATAGGACGAGATGGCTGGACAGTGTTCTCGAAGCTACCAGCATGAGTTTGACCAAACTGTGGGAGGCAGTGGAAGACAGGAGTGCCTGGTGTGCTCTGGTCCAGGGGGTCACGAAGAGTCGGACACAACTAAACGACACAACAACAAAGCACATTGCCTTGGAGTTCTATGATGAGAGAAAGGCCAGGTACTAAATGTCAGTAAATAAAGCGCAGGGCCGGCGGGCTTACCTAGCGGCTGAGACCAACCAAGTCTGGCAGCTGTTTCAGGAGGCATCTCATCCACAGAGATCTCAAAGTACCAGGCTCCTTTCCGCACCCCATGTGAGGCTCGTACCATGGAGTAGCCTTTTTCTCCTATGACTGTCAATCTGTCATCTGAGATCTTCAATTGGGGAGCTGCAGTTGTTGTAAATAATTAATAATAATAAAAAATTATTTGTACCCCACCCATCTGACTGGGTTGCCCCTGCCACTCGGGCGACTTCCAACATATATAAAAACATAATAAAACATTACACATTAAAAAGCTTCCCTATACAGGGCTGCCTTCAGATGTCTTTTAAAGGTTATAATCTCCTTGACATCTGATGGGAGGGCGTTCCACAGGGTGGGCACCACTACCAAGAAGGCGCTCTGCCGGGTTCCCTATATCTTCACTTTTTGGAGTTAGGGAGAGAGGAAGAATACTTAAAGCCTTCTGCGTGTTTAAATTATCAACTGTGAGCAAGTGAAGCAAGCACCAAGGACTGAAATGTTCTAAGATCTCTTCTCTGTTGCATCTGCATCATCATCATCATCATGATGTCTCAGTGCGGGTTACAACAATTATAAATTCAATATTAAACTCAGTGAAAACCAACTGCAGTCACAGGGGTAAGGTGGGTTCTGAAAACACAGGTCTGAGGTCTATTCATCAGAAATGATATAATGAAGGTGCCAGGCACACCCCTCTGAGGAATTTCACAATTCCTCAGGAGTTTCCACAGAAAATGCCATCTTCTGGGCCACAACAACCCCTTAATTTCTGATGGTGGTGGAATTACCAATAAGGCCCCCTCTACTGATCTTAACACCTGAGAGGGTCTGTAGGAAAGGATCTTTCAGTCATTTAGGGCTTAAAACGCTGAAGAGAAATGGGTTATATGAGTTTCAAAAGGACCTCCTGTCAGTAATCTGTCTGCTGTATTTTGGACCAGTTCAAGTTTCTTCAAGGGCAGCTTTTAAAATTATGTGCAGAGCACGGCTGTTTGAGGCCGCAGTCTTATCTGTGCAACTTGAGTCTATTCTTGTTGTTACTTGCAGACGGGTAGGGAGGCTGCAGATACAGAGCTCAGCACCCATTCCTCTGCACTGGGTAACAAACTAAACTGCAGCACACTGTAGACTGACGCTGTGGAATGAGATTTAAAGTAATGTGTGTGCACACAGACATCCCAGGGAGACCTTTGCCTCTGTTACAGGATGCCATTTTGAATCCTTCAGCTTCCTCTCAATGTGGGCCACACCACCTCTCCAGCTTGGATATTTGAAGCAGAAATAGCCAGGGGATGGGTGCTGACTTGTGACACCATGTGGAGTCAAGTTAGGCATGCTGCCATTATCAACATCATCATTGTAAATGTCACCATATAAGCCATAAGGGACCCCTGACCATTAGGTCCAGTCGTGACCGACTCTGGGGTTGCGGTGCTCATCTCGCTGTACTGGCCGAGGGAGCTGGCGTACAGCTTCCGGGTCATGTGGCCAGCATGACTAAGCCGCTTCTGGTGAACCAGAGCAGCGCACGGAAACACCATTTACCTTCCCACCGGAGTAGTACCTATTTATCTACTTGCACTGTGAAGTGCTTTCGAACTGCTAGGTTGGCAGGAGCAGGGACCGAACAACGGGAGCTCACCCCGTCATGGGGATTCGAACCGCTGACCTTCTGATCGGCAAGTCCTAGGCTCTGTGGTTTAACCCACAGCGCCACCCGCGTCCTGTAAATGTCACACAGACATGCAAAGTCTGTGCAGAACACTCTTGGTAGCCTGTAGCAACACAGTGGTTAAGAAGTAGAAAATCTATCCCAGTTTTGCACCAGTGCTACATCTCCTGCAGCCTTGACCTATAAGTGTGGAAAGAACTCTATTCCGTACCTCGGTCATGCAGAGCCAGGAGGACTCGTTCGTACAGGCAGGCTCTGTAGAGATCTCCAGGAATAGGCTTGCCTGCCCAGCAGTCTAGCTCTAGCTTCTCTGGGTCAGGGGCATGAGGGTCAGGCTCAGCCAAAATGTAACGGTATCCATCTTTATTAAAGGGGTGTTCCAACGGGTACCCGTGGGGCGGAAGACGCTGGGCGGAGAACATAGGATCGCTGGGAAATGGAGAAAGAGGAATTGAAAATCTATGGAAGCACAGCTGATGGGAAGTAAGAAAAAAAAGTTGGTCATTCAACAACATTTCTCTTCCCTGAGCCCCTGCCCTGCTTTTGCTATTACTTATATAGATGTAAGAAGGAAGCCCCCTCCCCCCCAAAGAGTGCATCATCAAGTATTTGGCTTTTCGTTTCAGAAGCATGCTCAACACTGCAGGATACTTCCCCCCAAATTACCAAGCAAACAACTGCAGCAAAGGCAGGCACGAAACAGAGCATATCAAACCCCAAAGATCACCTAAGAAAATATATACGGCACTTTTAAATTTGCAATGAATTGTACAATCTTTAGAATCACAGAATCTTACGAGTTGGAAGGGACCCCGAGGGTCATCTAGTCCAACCCCCTGCAATGCAGGAATCTCAGCTAAAGTATCCATGACAGACGGCCATCCAAGTTCTGTTTAAAAACCTCCAAGGAAGGAGAGACCACCACCAGGCCCTGGAGATCTGAATACATTTAAAGTAGCTAGGTGTTCCCTTACTACCTCTTTTCCTATCTTGGGCTGCAGCTCCTTCCTTGCATCATTTATTGTGTTATCACCAGGTTGGGCATTGCTTTCCTTTTGGGTGAGGCAAAGTAGGTGTTGAGTAGTTCTGCCATTTCTCTGTCACCCAATAGCAGCTGTGGGGCCACCACTGAGAAGGCCATTTCTTGTGGGCTTGCCAACTCAATTTATTTTACAGTGGGCATACAAAGAACCTCGGGGCAGATATTAGATCATAGGTAAAGGTAAAGGTAAAGGTAAAGGTAAAGGTACCCCTGCCCATACGGGCCAGTCTTGACAGACTCTAGGGTTGTGCGCTCATCTCACTCTAAAGGCCAGGAGCCAGCGCTGCCCGAAGACACTTCTGGGTCACGTGGCCAGCGTAGCACACAGAACGCCGTTTACCTTCCCGCTGGTAAGTGGTCCCTATTTATCTACTTGCACCCGGGGTGCTTTCGAACTGCTAGGTTGGCAGGTGCTGGGACCGAACGACGGGAGCTCACCCCGCCGCGGGGATTCGAACCGCTGACCATGCGACTGGCAAGTCCTAGGCGCTGAGGTTTAACCCAGATCATAGGCAGTGCCAAATTGTGGCAGATGGTCTTTATGGGAATCTGGCCTTATCACAGTCCAACTGGTTCAAAAGTAGTGTCACATATTCAATCTACTGGCTGCTACTAGCATCTAAAGGTAAAGGTAAAAGTAAAGGTAAAGGACCCCTGACAGTTAAGTCCAGTCGCGAACAACTCTGGGGTTGCGGCACTCAGGTCATGTGGCCAGCATGACTAAGCCGCTTCTGGCGAAACCAGAGCAGTGCACGGAAACACCGTTTACCTTCCCGCCGGGGAACTCTACTTGCACTTTGACGTGCTTTCGAACTGCTAGGTTGGCAGGCGCATGGACCGAGCAACGGGAGCTCACTCCGTCGCGGGGATTCGAACCGCCGACCTTCCGATTGACAAGCCCTAGGCTCAGTGGTTTAGACCACAGCGCCACCCGCGTCCCTGCTACTAGCATTTTGGGGCTGCATTTTGCACCAGCTAGAATGCCTGGCATTTTCTTTTATCACAGACTTTCCCCTATTTTCTACTGTTTAAACTGAACCATCTTGTGTAGTTTAGCACAAAAGTAATATACAACAGTAGTCAATAAATTATTTAAAAAGTTACTCCCTTTCCCTGATTATCTGCATACTAAAGACAATCTCCTTCCTTCTTACCTCCTGGTTTTCTTGGTTGCACCTGTAGTCCCTCCATCTTGCTGCTTGCGTTTGGCACCTCTTCCTTTCCCACTAGTTCCTGCCACAATACCCCCTTGGGGAAGAAAATGCCACAAACATGTCTGTCATTTGAAGATACAACTCAAAGAGAGAGAGAGAGAGAGAATGAATCAATTCAACATTCCCTGGATGCGTTTGAATCTCAACAAAACCAGACATTTTTCAAGCAGAAGCAGAATTTTCATATCTAAAACTGTTTACATTTTGTTTGCTTCTTGGACTGTACTAAGTATAGCATCAATCAAAGCGGCATTTTGACTAAGAAAGAAGAACCTTAACACATCAAGTGTCACCAGGCACGTATTAATTTAAAAGCCAGTCATTGCCATCCCTTTCATGGAGATTCAAAACACATAAAATGAAAAAGGGAATTGAGTCAGTAAGGGAAGAGGAGGAGGAATAAATAAGCTACAATCAAATTGTCATTCATTTCAACACTACACAAAATCAGTGCTCAAATCATGGGGAGAAAAAGTCAGGGGATCCTTAATGAAACCCACAACCCTTACACCATGACGCCTTTCAGGTTTTGACAAAAAAGCCTTCCCATGACCTGGGCAATCTTCTAAAAACAATTACAGTGGTGCCCCGCAAGACTAATGCCTCGCAAGACGAAAAACTCGCTAGATGAAAGGGTTTTGCGTTTTTTGAGTCGTTCTGCAAGACGAATTTCCCTATGGGCTTGCTTCGCAAGACGTTTCGTCTTGCGAGTTTGTTTCCTTTTTCTTAAAGCCACTAAGCCGTTAATAGCCACTAAGCCGCTAATAGCCGTGCTTCGCAAGACGAAAAAACCTCAAGACGAAGAGACTCGCGGAACGGATTAATTTCGTCTTGCGAGGCACCACTGTACTATGGGGACCAACACAAAAGGTAAGATGGCCACCCGCTCAAGTCCCCCTGTAATTTGAGCACTGCACAAAATAGTTAAGATACACTTGGACACACAATCTCCGCATCAACTATAAGCATCCGCCACTCAAAGACAGCAAACTAGAAAAACCAAAAGCACAAGATGTTTCTCTGCAGTGTTAGAAACCGATCGTTGGTGGTACCAACTGCTTGATAGTCCATGCGAGTCTCCCCCCGCCCCTTCTTGTGCTTGCTTATCCAAGGGCCTTGCAGGTATGTATGCACCTGTGTGTGCGCCAGTGAAACGACAGCATCTACTTTGTGGGGGAAGCATTTGCAGCAATATTGGAGATGGCGGGCTCAGACCATTTAGGACTTGGAGAAGGTATAAACAGCTGTATACACTACAAAAAGCTGCTAGCAAACTGAAAGGTGCCAAAGAAGATTGCCAAAGGAATCATACTAAAAATTATTTAACTGTTGATTACCTGTACCATAACATATTTTGGGGTGGTTTTTATGAGAAATGAGACAGAACCCATGTCCCTCTATGTGAGGCTATCAAGCCTGCGTGCTCCCAAAAGCGTGACTCAAAAAGTACATGAGTACACGACAGTAGTCCGGAAGGAGCTCAATCACAAGGCCAGGCCTGGACAACATAACAACCAAACGTTGGCTTAGCTCAGTGAAGACGCAAAAAGCAGCTATGTGCTCCTCTCTGAGACCCTGCAAGTTTGTGACGTGGGAATCAAGCCATCAGTTTCCAAACTCGTCACAATCGTGACACATTGCATCACATGGAGGAAATTCACTGTTGCCACATGCATGTGACTGTCTCTTTTAATACCAGTTTTGTACTGAGTCACTGGAATGGAAGAAGTGACTGCTCAAGGTTTTTTTCCCCATGCTTATGTTCAGAGGGCGATTCCAATTCACTTTAGATGACTCTGAGTGTTGAACTGTTCTGGATTCATTTGAAGGGATGTGCACAAAATATGAGCATCAACAGTAGACGTCTCCATTATGTACGCTCCCTGCTCCTGATGAACCCAGAGCTAAAAGTTTTTTGTACTGCAGACAACCACCTTCAAATAGTAGCATAAGTTGCCATAACTACAAGTGTAGCAAGCTTTGAAATCAGTATCTCTCTAGAAATGAAAGAAAATGCGGCCTTTGAAGGTTGTATTATATTTTGCACAACCATGACTCAAAATGCTTTTCTAGCTTTCTAAATTTGGGTGAAAAATCAAAACAGAGACCTTCCACTTTCTAACTATACAGTGCCTCTTCTCAGTGTGAAACCAGGGAACCAGTTCTCTCTCGGCACGGCAGAATGGGAACCTCTTAGAAAGCATATGACTGGCTCCTATTCTAAAACCGTGAAAACAGAAACAGCTTTCATTTTAAAAACCCCAAACTGGACTTTGGAATCAACATCAGGTTTGTACTCCAGCCTTCCTTCAATGAGCTCTGAGCAAGAAACACTGGGGGTATGAATTTTAGCCTCAAGACAATCCTGAGGAATAGGCTAGGCTAAGAAATTGGGACTTGTCACACGGAGCAGTGATTTCAGCCAAGGTGTCCTGAGCCTAAGAATAACAAACTCTTTCTCAGGACAACCTAGTTTACACTGATTATAGCAAAGCTCATCAAATAAGTAAAGTAAAAACTGGTTGTCTGAATCCAAAAGTCAGTGTTAGCACAAGCTTGGTTTTAGTTGTAATTGTTTTAATACCTCTAATTAGGCAGAAAACCAAAAGGTGCAAATGTTCAAATCAATTTCTTAAAAGCCATTTTCCCCATGCATTTCTTATTTATTTATCCTTACAGCTCGACTGTTTCAGCTCAAAATGGGCATCAGCGTTTCCTTGCCCTGAAACAACCCTGTAGGGAAGATTATCAGTATTCCTATTTTACAGTTGCTGAGGCTGAAGAGCCAGGGACATCTCAAGGCCTCCCAGCAGAGGCCAAGTGAGCAGAATAAAATAAACTTGGAGAAAATGTGGTTTAAGTGACGAGTGAAAGGCAGAATGTGACCTTTAAAGCTTTTGATGCTTCACGTTAATGTGTAATTTGATGTGCCCTTTTAACGGTTACTCCCATAAATGTATATGACAGCCTTGGGATTAATTATTTTTAGCATGTAAAATGATTGGCAAACAAGAAAGGAAGGAAAAGAGAAAGAAAAGATTTTGTGAACCACAATACTTAAGTTTTAAGAAGCTGAAAAGTAAATATTCACCTCCCAAAGAGGCTCCACCTGAAAGAACAGAAGTTGCACCATGTAGTTGTCAAGTTTTAATGAGAGAAAAAAAGAAAACACCACAGCATGAAATGGAGATAAAAACACTTATATTAGCCCTGCACATTACCAGTCTGCAAAAGTTATTTGCCTGATTTTCATTTCCCCCCTGCTAACTTCTACCAAGTGAGCTGATAGAGGAGGGAGGCATCTCTGCACCGTGAACCTCTTTGCTTTCTGTGAAGGCAGCAAATCAAAGGGTTCACTTTCCCTCTGTGGCCAGTATGGAAATGCAGCAAACCCACAGGCAACAGACAAGAGGTTGAGTGACTCCTCCCTCTTCCAGCAGCCCATCCACTCGCTCGCACAGAATTCCGGCTACGGTAACCAGGCAAGTTGCTAAATATCAGAAAACGACACCCATCTATATCGAAGATCCTGAACAAGATCTGCAGTACTTTAGGCTCAGCTTACAGGAAGCACAATCGTCTGGAAAGTTTGCCTGCACAGCCTGCTCTGGGATCAATGGGAGATGTGCAAGAGCACAGCCATGCTAATTTTTTAAAAAGAGAATCCAAATCCGAGTTGAGAAATTTCTAGCTTTCAGCATTTACAAATTCTTGAAAACATAGCTGCATGCAGTGAAATACAACCACAGATTCATTTTGCTAAATTCTGGGGGGCCAAGTGGTCAAATTTAATATTCTAAGGGTATCTCTCAGTTAGTAAGACTTCTAGGGTATCTCAAGATTAAGCTAGTTATGGCTGCAGTCCCATGGACGCTACTGGAGAGTTGGCCCTATTGAATATAGTGGCACTTTCAAGGAAACATGCCATGTAAAGGCGATGCCATTTGAGCAATGAAGAAGCTGTTAGGGCTTGAGAATTTAAAATGTGCCATTCAGATTTCCCCACTTGGAAAAGAAAAGGAACTTGCCATTCAGACTTCCGGTGGTAGATACAGCACTGCTCTGTTTCTGGTTATCATACGCAGGGCCAATATTAGCAAGATCCTAAAAGAAGGAAAAATCAAATACACACCATTAAAAGTTACATGCCTTGGGCTGTTTGGATCAAATCTCACTGCTCAAGATCTGAGCATTTCGAAGATAAAGCAGGTCTTTTAAAGCACAATCCCACCAAGCGTATTGACTCTGAAGGAAATCCCACTGTATTCAATGGGGTTATTCCCAGGTTAAGTATGCTTAGGACTGAAGTTGTGCCAAGTAAATTTGTTAAATGTAACAATACAAATGATTTCTGTCCGACAAAGGGCCTCATCTCCCCAAGTGTTCAAGTTCCTGTTGTTCAATAGATCATTAAAGCAACCTGCTCAAAAGCATTGACAAATAATAATTCAGCAATATTTTGAAATGATCAAGTAACTGAGATAGCAAACATCACTATCCTGAAACTGCAGAGCTGAAGGGGGGGCAATGCTGACCTCTGTCACCAGTCAGAAGCCTAGGGCCACTGAGAGGCTGCCTCTCAAGAATATCATCATGGCAAGGGGGCGGGGAGCAACCTGGCCGTATCTCTCAACCAAGGAAAGGCACAGCTGCTCTAAGACTCACTTTCTTCTTCCCTCCCCAACCGTTTTTCCTTTCATCTTGTATCAGTTGGATTATCACTCTGTGCGCAGGGACTATTTTTTGAGCATTTAAAAAAATCTTAGGATACAGCAAGCCCACAACTTGAGCACATTTAACTTGCACGCATTCAGTTTTATGAACTTGGCCAAAAAAAATTCACAAAATTTAAAAAGGGGTATAAAGGGGCCATGCGTCTGGGACTCTGGAAATCCCACTTGCCAGTGTATTTTGACTATACATAATTCTGGCTTTAGGAGCAATTCCCATAACATAACCCCCACATAAGTTGCAGGCATACTGTGCTTTAAAAATGCATAAACCTTACTCACTTTATTCCCATGACATACCTGGTCTAAGAGTCCAAATTTGGGGTAATCTTCCTCTGGATCTTTGCTTCCTGGGTCCGGATGCTCTTTTACCAAAAACACGTCCCTTTCTTTACACTAGAGTAGAACATTCAAACAAAATCATGTGCTAATGGCATAGTCAAAAGTACCTGGGATGTTATGTAGTGGGGTTTTTCCTGCCATAAAGACAAGCGCTTATGGTGGTTGAGATAAAATAGAGGCTGACATGATTTTATTTTAAAAAATTAAAGGGTACAGTAATGCAACAGGTATATTTTCAAACCAATGATTTTTTTTAAAAAAAAACCCAGCTGCTTAACCAAGCTTTAATAAAAAGAAATTTGCAATTTTGTTATGTCCCACTTCATACATATGTTTGAAGTAGGCTTCCGAGCACAATTCAAAGTGTTCTTGCTGACCTTTAAAGCCTAAACTGTCTCGGCCCAGTATACCTGAAGGAGCATCTCCACCCCCGTCATTCAGCCCGGACACTGAGGTCTGGTTCTGAGGGCCTTCTGGCGGTTCTCTCACTGCGAGAAGTGAGGTTACAGGGAACAAGGCGGAGGGCCTTCTTGGTAATGGCGCCTATGGAACGCCCTCCCATCAGATGTCAACTATCTGACTTTTAGAAGACATCTGAAGGCAGCCCTGTTTAGGGAAGTTTCTAATGTTTGATGTTTTATCGTGTTTTTAATCTTCTGTTGGGAGCAGGACTGTGGCTAGGGCATCGTGAGGTGGGCCCCCGCCAGGGGCGCAGGCGATGGGGGGGGGGCGCAGGAGCAAAATAGGCTAAAAATATGTCCATAAATATAAATATTGATTACTGACTCATAAGAAATGGTTTTAAATAGACGGTGAATTGAATGGGTGGAGCGGGGGGTTGGAGGAGAGGCAGAAAGAAGAGCTAATTTGTCCATGGCTAGGAGGTGCAATCTGGACGGTTCTGCCAGGGGTGCAAAATCACCTAGCTACGGCTCTGGTTGGGAGCCGCCCAGAGTGGCTGGAGAAACCCAGCCAGATGGGTGGGGTATTAATTATCATCATCATGACTCACCATTGTTTTTACAATATTATTCGGCCAAGTCATCTTCCCTGGTCTTTGTCGTGTCGTCATACACTCCCAATACTTATCAATGAATGGTATAATATCCTGTTTGAAATCAAAGGCAAAAAAGGCAGAGTATTTTATTAAACAGATAAAATGGGACTTTGGGAAGAAACTTGGTAATCTATACCAGTGGTTCCCAATCAGCTAAGTACTGCAGACCCCATTTTTCAGAAGTCAAGCCATGGACCTCCTACTTTGGAAAATTCTGATATCTCTATGGTAGTTTTTGTTATGTGACTGGTGCCACAGACCCCCTGGGTGGGTTACACAGACCACCATTTGGGAATCACCAATCTACATGATTATCTACTTATTTCTAGCATTTAAGCTACTGGACAAAATATATTAGTGGGCAAAGTCTAAAGAACATGAACTAAATTCACCAAGGTACAGTTCCATGAAAACTTACTGCAGTGTGCATAACTTGCAGGGTATAATCTGTGTTTTCCAACGCAAAAAGCACATTACTGATGAAGGCACAGTTAAGAACCAAGGCCTTTGACAGTTTCCACGAACTAAAATAATGGAGATAATTTGAGGCTCTCTGTGAGGATAGCAAACGTACATACCAAATACAGTGGAACCTCGGTTTTCAAACATCTTGGCTGCCAAACGTTTCAGAAGCCGAACGCTGAAAACCCAGAAGTGAATGCTTCCTTTTTCGAATGCACCTCTGAAATCAAATGGCTTCTGAGGCATGTTTCTCATCCCCCCCCCCATTTAATTTGCCAACAGCCCTTTGATCCTCAGTTTTCGAACGTTTCGGAGGTCAAATGGTCTTCCGGAATGGATAATGTTCAAAAACCGAGGTTCCACTGTACAAGGATACGGTTTAGTTTTCACTGATATGGCACCCCTGTTTTGAACTGTACCATTTCATATGGAAGATAAGGGGTTGCATAACCGTCCTCCACAGGCAAAAATTCCCTCTGGTATCTGCGAGATGAGTTCTATCTTAGCTGTCCCCTAAATTCTTCCACGTGCTTGAAAGCATACAGAATGGCAAGAGCTACAACTGTGACAATTACCCCCTACCTTATCTTTTGAAAACATTGTTTTCGGGTGTTCATCTTGGGTCCTCGATTGCCAGGTTAAGTTTGCCAGCGCACTAAGACACATTTCCTTCAGATCTTCAGGGAAAGAACAGATACAGAAATGAAGCAGGCTATCTTTGGCTGCCCTGCACAAGCAAAACATACTACTATTATGGAAGCATCAGGTGATGAAAAGGCTTTTGGTGAATTGGGAAAGATGTAGAGAGCTGGTGAAATAGTTTGACAGGAAGGGAGCAATTGGGTGGGCTACACATCTTATAGCTCTGGAATTTCTTCCAAATGCAGCAACTACAATGCCGGGTCAGATGAGAAACGCTTCAAGCTCTCTTTGCTTTTGGCAATTAGCTCGATGTCTCCCGGAATGTCACACAAAACTCACAATGGAAGATTCGAAATTGTTCAAAATGGCATAAAGGCCGGACATAAGGGCCATGGCTCATTTGACTCTTCCTGTGAACAATTTTTATATAAAATCAACAAGGAGAGAAAAGGTAACCAAAACACTCAATATTTAAGTGAAATCAGAGTTTCTAGTGGCACAGCTTTAGACGAATTTGAAAACTTATTTTATCTGGTCCCAAATGAAAGCATGAGGCATTTTAGAATCTGCTGCATTTGGTAGAGACTTCAAGGTAACATATTAGGATTGGGTTATCAGCAGCTTTTGGCAACATGGTCTTTGATTCATATCATAAAACCTTTCATCATGGTTAACTGAAATTATCTCTAGCCAAGGATTTTTGAGATTCAACAGGTTAGCATTTTGCCATGAAAGAGGATATTCTCACAGTTATATTGAAGACTGTCATATACATAATGAGAAAAGGTGAAATCATGATAATCCCACCTTTTGAAGGTTATAGATTTAGAAGTATAGGAACAAATAAAAGACAAGACATTTTCCCCTTGCTTGCTTGCTTACTTGCTTGTTTTCTTAAGAAGTATGTGTTCCCACTGTGATGACAAATATTGCAATGGAAACTGTAGTTTGTCATAAAAGGCAGGCAGGCTCTGGAAAACAAAAATGCAGTGCTCTTTTCTTACTTTAAAATAAGTAACGAGTACTGGCTTCTGACAGAGGAATAAAATCCCCATCAATTTTATAGAATTAGAGCTAACAATACTAAAGGATTTAAGATGGAAAACTACCTTAAAGCCTCCCCATCCTATTTTTAACCACTCTTGAAGTTTGGGTTCTAGGGTGAGTTTGAAGTGTCTAGAGAGGCAGAACTAAGAAACAAAATATATCAAAATTTCATGCAACCTTTCCACAAAGACACTGAGATATAGCCTAATCTATGCATAATGCTCTTCAAATTATGACCCATATTCAACCTCTTCCCGTTTTAGCCAAATAATCCCACCCCCAGATTCTTCTAAAAACAGCAGCTAAGGAAGCCATCACAAAAGGTGAATAGGCTGACTGCCCGCACCCCAACCTCCCTGTAGGTCAAGCACTGATCTACAATCTACTTAAGATAATGTACCTGTATTTAAATATTCCAGATATTGGGGAAAGGCAGTAGCTCAGTGACAGGCTCTGCTTCATGTGCAGAAGACCCCGGTTTCAGTCCCCGGTAACTCCTGACATAGCCCCTGCCTGGAGTGTTGCTACCCAGTATAGTCAATACTAAGCAAGTGGTCCAATGATATAAAGGCAGCTTCCTGTGTTCTAGGTCTAAGCAAGTGCCAAGTCAGAATGCAGCAAAGAATTCCCACCTCAACCCCACAAGAGAGACTGTACCTTGGGGGTTGCTATCTTGCAACACAGCCTGCAGGCTGGCTCACTTGCTTGAGCCACCTGAAGCCCCTGCTTGGTTAACATCACTTTTTGTGCATGAAAGTTGCTGCATTGCAGTGCAAAGTTGGAAAAGAATGGCTTCAAATGATGGAGTTGGAAGATACTAACTTTGTGGGACCAATCTTTCCATTTCAGATCAAGTGAGCCGAGTAGACGGCCTACAAATCACAGCTTTAAGACCAGTTCATTAAAATTCACATAGCTACAAAAATATTTTTCAAGCCCCACTTTGTTTACTGACTCCATGGAATGTTGCAATTCAGCTCAACCTCTTTGGATCCTTTTATTTAGAATGAGCCAGCAAAATAGCCTTTGCTCGCTCAGTTTAAGCCAAGGTTGTCAGCATTTCAGGGAAATACCAGCAAGCAAATAGGAGTTCAACTTTTCATGGAATTAAAAAAAATGTAAACATCCAGGACTTTAATTCATAAACAGTATACTCAGGATAACTGAAATAGATGGGTTTTCTCAAATTAAGTAGGTTAAGGACTGCAGCTCCACAGCGTTGTGTTTGGCACAATTTGTTTTATTATCACTTCACAGTTCTATGTGTGCTCGATGCTACACAAACACAGAGAAGCAAGGTCACTGCCACAGTTCATTATGCAGCAAGTTCATTAGGCAGCAGAATATTACTTAAAGAAATCATAAAACTAATGCCTATTTTACCCAGCAGTCCTATAAAACGTTTGCCGCTTCACAGATCACACGCCAGCTAAGATAAAACCGAGGTTTTAGCTTAAGATTAAATTAATTGAAAATTTATAAAAGAGTGGATATTGTGTATTTCTTTCACAAGCTGAGAGTTGGAAGAATTCTTGGGGAAGCCTGCAGTTTAACCACTTGATATTTACTGGTACCATGAACTATTCAATAATGTTCAGCATGGACAGCAAGAAAATGACATGCAAAACTCAACGAAACAGAATCAAAGTTTTGTCTAAGGGATTATTATTTCTGTGTAGAAAATCAGTTGCTACTGTGTTGTTGTTTCCTCCTTTTATTTTTTACAGTGGAAAAATCATTTATCATATATTAGTCTTTTGGTGTTTATGTTAAGAATACCTTGCTGCACACGTATTCAAAAAAAGCTATAAAGGCATATGGCTAAAAAGCAAGAGAGGGATTCAGAAATAGAATTTCTAAAGCCAGCATAACTCAGTGCATGGCTACTTGGGAGAAGGATCAGTATTTTCAATGGAGCTTTCTCGCAGGTAGGTATAGGACTGAAGCCAATGAGCAGTATTCCATGCCGTACTATAATTGTTCCAATTATATTCATTAGCATTCATACGCTGCGGCTCTGAGCTCCCAATACTTCACCTACTCACGCACAAAACTGGTACTAAGAGAGCTGAGTGGGGGGTGCTCGTGTAATCTCACTGTATACAAGTTGTACAAGTGACAATAAAGTATTTAAATTTCAATAATGAACATTCCATCTGCACAAGCATTGCAACCTGCCAGACAAAACAATCTCCCCTCTCCTCCCCCCCCATGCACTGTTCTGGGGGAGCTGCCCCAGAGCCAATTTGGCGGGGGGGCATGAGAGCCATGGGGAAGCCCTATGATGCAAGCGGAAGTCCTCACACAAGACCTGTTAGGTGAATCCTGCCCAATACCTTAGGTAGCATTTTTCTTTGTGGCTAGCAGTTTTATAAGCACTGCTTTGAGAGAAAAAACTAACACTGTGCTGTCATAGAAAATTAAAGCCCCAGTGAATTCAGTGGTGCTGACTTCCAAGTAAATACATTTAGAAAACGATTAGGTAGCTGAGCTCATACTGCCCTCTTCTGGAATTACAAAACTTTTCATACAGAAATTGACAGAACATTTAGAAAGTTCTTTAAGATGTGTCTATTAGGAGGACCAAACTAGAATCCAAGTACAAACGGGAATCACATGGCTCAAAAAGGAGGAAAAACTGCAAATACTACATACGTGGTATCAATGCCAAATGTTTCTGCCGTAAACCATTTGGTGCAAATTCCACACTGCAGCTCTATTTCTCCCAGCTGTCGTCCGTTCTCTTCATCTACTGAGCCGGTCTGATTATCCATAACTTCAGAACTGTCGCCAACACCCTCCTGTAACAACATCAGTGCAAGTGTACCAAAGGAAGAGCTAAGAACAACATCTATTATGCTTCTATCCCACCCTTCCTCCATGGAACTTGAAGTGGTACACACAGCTCTTCCCCTGCTTTATATCCTCACAACAACCCTATGAGGTAGGTTGGGCTGAGAGATCCAAACTTATTTCATGAACTGTATGGCTGTGATTTCTACAGTCCTAGTCCAACACTAATGGACACATTTCAATGCCTTTTGCTAGGCTAGTTTTGCCAGAATGGAAGACACAAGTTATGACATTCATCTCATTTAAGAACAATTGCAACAAGTGTAGGCTTTTTTAAACATTAGTTTTCCATGATACAGAAAGAGATCACTTCTACATCTTGGTACAATAAGCTTCCTTTTCCAAACTTTCAGAACCCTATAAAAGCTGCTGTTTTATGTATTAATTTGATCGTTTAAATTCTGGTTTTTAACAACTTTGTAGCTGTAAAAATTAATTGTAAGTCGACTAGAGACTGCCCTGTGTTAAGATGCAATTATTTAATTTTCTAGTCACATAAGTGTATAAATTGGATGGAAAACAAACAAACATAAAAAACAAACTATATAGTGATTTAAGAGAAGAAAAGTTTGTGGGTAAACTTTGATCACACCAACCCTACAGAGGCTCAGGAATTCACTTTGTCTAGGTTTGCATTAGCATGCCACATTGAAATAATTTTCCACCTTGGGATAGGAATACATGGATCCACTTTAGCCCACTATCCAGGAGCAGTAAAAGACAAAGATGTTGCACTTCATAGACAGGTGGCCAAATTTTACCTTAGGGTGCTGTTTTCAGAGTTAACAAAAAAAATTTGGCAGATGGTTTTTAAAAACCAGTACAAAGCATGTTACAATAGAAAGTGTTAGAAACCCCACCATGAACAGTGCATAATTCATCTGATTCATCTGTCCAGTGGTAAGCAATGTGGAATCTCAAACCCTCCCCCCGCCCCAGTATGCTGCTATCCTTCTGGTTAAAAGGCAATCTGCCAATAAGTCAAAATTCTCACCTTTAAAACCTTCTCATCTTCTCCCATTCCTTTATAATAACCATGTTGTTCCTTTGCAACACAACACATCAGCAATCCCTAAGTAGCCTAAGAAGTGCATGAGATTTGTGCCATGAATATTTTGCTTTACTTTTGGAGAGCTGAAGAACATGCCTTCCTTTCCTTCACTGACTACAAAATAGTCTAGCAACAAACATGACGACGACTGGCACTTTAATCATGCCAGGGGCTCCTTTAACAGGCTTTGTGGATGCATTACTGTTCTGTGGTGCCCAATATGACATCCAGGGACTGAAAGACTACCTCCAAATCCCCAAACAGTTCATTCACAGGGCACATAGCTCTCCCCATGCATGTGGTATCCCAGCAGAGTAGACTCAGTTCACGTACCAGTGCATCCTTTCCACTGGAAGATTCGGTCTCCATGGTGGCGGTGACATCGGCCAGGGATGCATCCCCCCTGAAGGACACAGCAAGTAATCATCATGTTTCGTACACTTTTTATGCATTATAGAATCACAGAGTTGTAAAGGACCTGGAGGGTTATCAATCCAACTCCCTGCAATGCAGGAATCTCAACTAAAGCATCCATAACAGATAGCCACCCAACCTCTGCTTTAAAACCTCCAAGGAAGGTTGATATGCAGGACAGCTATGAAAAAGAACATACATTAAAAAAGCAAGGCACACACAAAAACCACACTACTGTCCATTCAGCCATTCTGCATCATTCAAAACTGTGTAGTTAATCCATGGGTAGGCAAAGTAAGGCCCGGCAGCCGGAGCCAGCCCAATCGCCTTCTAAATCCAGCCAGCGGATGGTCTGGGAATCAGCGTGTTTTTTACATGGGTAGAATGTGTGCTTTTATTTAAAATGCATCTCTGGGTTATTTGTGGGGCATAGGAATTCATTCATATTTTTTTTCCAAAATATAGTCCATCCTCCCCCAAGGTCTAGGCAGGCAACAGCCCCCTGCTGAAAAAGTTTGCTGACCCTATCTGACCTTAATCTATTGTTAACCAGAGATTAACCCTGACCTGACACAGTTCCACAAAGTGAAAAGGAGGCCTAAATGTAGAAGTGTGCCTTTATTCCTAGAACAGAAAGCTTCTTCAACGAAGTTTAAAAGAAAAGGAAAATCTTGAGCTATCTCAAGTTTCTCTGTCATCAGGATCCTTCTCATACTCAGTAGTCAGATGCTTGTCCAGAGAGCACATTGAGATAGGAGTCTCACTCAGCTTTGGTACCTTGGTACAGTTTACTTGGCTGCCTCCTGAGCAAGAAAGCATACACAGGGGCCAGGATAGGAAAAAGGAAACTGCCTTATACCATGTCAAACTATTTGTCCATCTGACCCAGCACTGCCCACCACGACTGGCAGAAGCTCGCTGCTAGTGTTAGGTGGAGGTCTTTCCCATCACCTATCAACTGAATTGGAGCCTGAACCTGGGATCTTCAGCATGCAAAACATGTGCTCTTCCACTGAAAAAAAATTGCCCATGCACATCAAATCTCTTGTCCTTGCTTCTGATCTAGGAAGGGAAATTGCACTCACAAACTTCCTTTTACACACGCATACTTGCTGAATCAGGCATGCACAACAGCATTACGTTTATGCCCTGTCTTTCTATCACGGCATTCAAGGCAGCATATATGTAAGTGGAGAAAACAGGCTGTCATGCAGGGATGGCTGCTCCACTTGAAATCCTGCACCCTCCTGCACTAGGAGCCTTCAGGACAGAGCTAGTAATGGAAGAGGGTTTCTGATCTTCTGCGTTTAGGCATAAACATTTTTTTGGGGGGGGGGGAGAGACTGCTCACACTAAAGACCGGGTGGGGGAAAAAGGGAAGTATTTACCTGGGGTCAAAAAATGTTGGTGAAGGTGTCAGGTGGACTTCATTGGATAAAGCATTCCCCACACAGGGAACCACAACTAAGAAGGCCCCCTGATTTGTCAACATCCTCCAAGCCTCCCTTACTAATTTTTTATTAGTGTTACTCTACTACCGCTTTATTTTCTACAAACTGCTTTAAGCGCAAAAGTATCTGTGGAAAATGTGAAATAAACTGGCTTACTATATGGTTCCTCACCCTGATTTTATTCTTACAACCCTGTGAGTTAGGCAACACAAGAGATAGTTATGCGACCCCCGAGCAGTCGCCATCCATCGTTCTGCCCAGACGCTGAGGTCCAGCGCCAAGGGCCTTCTGGTGGTTCCCTCATTGCGAGAAGCAAAGCTACAGGGAACCAGGCAGAGGGCCTTTTCGGTAGTGGCGCCCGCCCTGTGGAACGTCCTCCCACCAGATGTCAATAAGATAAACAACTACCTGACATTTAGAAGACATCTGAAGGCAGCCCTGTTCAGGGAAGTTTTTAATGTGTGACATTTTAATGCATTTTTAATCTTTGTTGGAAGCCGCCCAGAGTGGCTGGGGAAACCCAGCCAAATGGGCAGGGTACTACTACTACTAATAACTATTATTAATTATAGTAACCAACCCAATGTCCCCACCGAGCTCCACGGCCAAGTGGGAATTTGCAGTTGGGTACCTCCTGCCCCACCCTGATGCTCCAGCCATTACATCACACTTGATTATGCTTGGAAACAAGTGGCCTTAGAATGAATCAGAACACAGGCCCACTTAGCTAAGATAACTTCTAAATCTAGAATGAATGGCTCCGGCTTTTTCGGGTTTCTGTGGAAGGAACTTTCTCACCCATAGGTGGAGATTAACTTTACTGTTAATTCTCTGAACAGGGCCAAGAGAATGGCAGGGTGAGCACATGCCACATGGATGACAGAGCATGCTCATTTCCCGCTGCTCCAGAGGGCAGGACCCGAACCGACAGATTCAAATTGCAAATAAGGAGATTCCAACCAAAACATTCTGACCCATAGGAGATGCTCCATCAATGTGGAACCAACTCTCTAGGAGCGTGGCAGGCTCTCCTTCACTGGAGGATTTTAAGCAAGAGGCTGGGCGACCATCTGTCCTGGATGCTTTCGTTAAGATTGCTGAATTGCAGGAGGGCTGGACTAGATGACCCCTGGGAGCCCCCTTCCGACCCTGCAATTCCATGGCTGAACTCTCTTGCTCAGGTACAGCCCCATTCCTAGGGCGGGGGGAGGCAGTGCAGAAAGCTGGCGTCTGCAGGCAGCATGAACCCCGGCTGGGAAGCAGCAATGGGTTCTGGGTTCAAGAACAGCGCCTGCGAGAAAAGCACAGGGAGAATCGCTGCAAGGTTGGGGCGGGCACAAAGGCGGACGCAGCTGATTGGGCAGGACGGCACCGCTCTGACCAATGAGAGGAAGGCCCGAGAGCCCCGACCAATAGGAGCAGGCGGCGGGAGCCGAGGCTCCCTAGCCAATAGCAGCGGCGGTGCCCGCTTTTCTCCCTCAGCCGTTATCGCCGGGCCTCACCCGGTCTCGGAGTCCCCTGTCCCCTGCTCCGCTGAGCCCGAGGCCTCCCCGGTCGTAGATTCCGGAGCCGCCGGAGGAGTAGCCTCTTCCTCTCCTCCCTCGTCCGGCGCTGGAGCCGCCGCTCCCGCTGCCGCCATCTTCCCGCTGGAAACAGGTTCTCGCGAGAATTGCTGTCTGAACTCTCGCGAGATACTCTCTCACGGTAGCGCTTCCTCCCTCCCCCCTCCTTTATATTAAAGGGGCAATGTAACTCTCGTTTTCTTAAACGGGCGATGCGATCCACTGCGGGCTTGCTGCGAAGTCTCTGGACTTGGGATGCCGCAGCAATTAAACTATAGCGAGGGGGCGGGCGAGAATGTATTAATATTATATATTTATTAATATCCCGTCTTTTTCCCTGTTAGGGACTCAAGTCGGCTTAAAGAAAACAATCTGAACAGCTAAAAAACATAAAGGGGAGGGGGGAAATAAGCATTAAAAGCAATTAAAAATTCATAGAATTAAAACTACACACACAACGCACACGTATTTTGTAGATATTAAAAATCTATTAAAGCCATACCAATAATTACAATAAAAACAGCACCCCCTTAACGTTGCATCTGGAGCTGAATGCAGTGATTAAAACTTTTCCCCTGATCCTGGGTCTAAGTCTCATTGAACCCAACAGGACTTAATTTTCTGTAGACCTACCTAGAATTGCGCTGATTCATAAGGAATCAGCTCCAGTACTGCCATTCGTGCCATCAATTTTCAGCCTGCTGCACGAACTCAATGGGATCTGATTCTACACGTTATCTCAGTAATTCTTGCAACAGTGGAGGCGAATATGTGGTCCTCCAGGTGTTCTTGGGCTCCAGCTCCCATCAGCCGAAGTCAGCATGGCCAATCTGAGAAGAATGGGAGCTGTGGTTTGTTTGGAGAGCCACAGGTTATCACCCTTACCTTGCAACAAGTCTGCAAAGTAGCTCCCATATATTTTAGGCTGTGGTTAAGGCCAGTAAGTGATCTATTTTATTTTTATTTATTTGAAGAGTTTATTTTTGCACTGGTGGTTTCAAAGTTCAAACAGCAAGCACTGGACAGGTTCTTACTACAGTGTTAGACTTCAGACTGCAGATGGAGGCTCACTACATGCAACGTTTTTCTACATTCCCCATTCCTCCAAAATTCCCTGCCACCCAGAAAACTGGACAACAGGGGAGAAACTTTCTAGCTTATGTCCCATACTCCTGAGCAGGCCTTTTGCTCTTAAGGCAGCACCTTTCAGTTTCAAGGGAGTCAGGTAACAGAAGCAGCTAACTGCCCACTGAATCTCCTAGTCCTCTGCTTTCTTTTTCATTCCTTCCCATCAAATGGGGGGGGGGGGGCTTCTAGAGATTAGAGGATTCATTGAACCTCCGCATTTTATTCAGTTCCAGTATCAATACGTAGCTGTATTAAAAATAATAACATTTATTTTCATGCAGTTTTCATAAACCAGAGATTGTATAACAATGTTTTTAAAGGTAGATAGATGGACTGCCTCGATAAAAATACAACCACTTTAGTAAAATAACAACAACCAGAAGAGCCTATTTAGAGCAAAGCCTAACTGTAACTCAAATTGTTGTTTGGGGTTATATCCAGTGCTAGCCCAACACAGAGTCTGCCTGTTGAAATTAAGAAACCCAAGGCAGCCTTGTTCATTAACTTCAGTGGGTCTACTCTCAATAGGACTAGTATTAGATACAACTCTGTGTCTTTATTGAATTGGGAATTCTGTAGTGCTTAATATTTGGATGTTTAAATAGATCATTTTGCTTTTTTTACTTTTTTTAAAAAAAACATAGAATATGGTAAGGTATGTAGTAAACGACCTTATAATGAATCAGACCCCATTTAGCTCAGTACTATTTACACTGACTGGCAACTGGAGATGTTGAGGAGTCAACCTGAGACCACCTATATGCAAAACAGATGTTCCTCTACTGACCCACGGCCCTTCCATTTTTTAAGAAAAGCCATACACCATTATGGTATCAAGATGTGAAGATACGGTTTCTAGGGTGTAGGCAGGAGAAATCTTGGATTTTTAAATTATATTTTCAAAGATACCTCACCCCCCCCCCCCGGGGAAGTGACTCATCCCTACAGCTTGGTCTCATAATCTTACTAGGAATATTCAGTCACTAGCAGGCAATCATCCAATAACAAATGTATTGCCTCTGAAAGCAGCTTTCGTCTTCAAATTGCTTCATTTTCACTAATTCATTCATACATTAGGCCTCTCTTTGAAGTTACTGATAACTACCATTGTTTCTGAGTCTAGAACATTGCAGGAATCTTTTGAAGTACCAATTCATTATAAAGACTAAGTTACTGAGGTGCATTGAATTGATTATGGCTGACTGAGGGTAAAGTGGGACAATGGCATTAAATGCATCCAAGAGTCCCATATCTTTTCTTTTTTAAATCAATGATAGCTTCTGTGGGAGGCTCAGAGAGTGGTGACAAGGGAGAGGGCCATGCCCTCCTCACTTTCTTTGAAGTCCTTTTGGCACCAGATAAAAACTTACTTTTCCTCCCAGGCTTTTGATCGACTGAGATGCTGCTGTTTTGCTATTACAGTGGTATTTTGGGTTAAGAACTTAATTCGTTCTGGAGGTCTGTTCTTAACCTGAAACTGTTCTTAGCCTGAGGTACCACTTTAGCTAATGGGGCCTCCCACTGCTGCCGTGCAATTTCTGTTCTCATCCTGAAGTAAAGTTCTTAACCCAAGGTACTATTTCTGGGTTAGCGGAGTTTGTAACCTGAAGCGTGTGTAACCTGAAGCGCCTGCAACCCGAGGTGCCACTGTAGTGCTGCTCAAACTTCCTGTGGCTGTTTTGGTGGGTTGTTTTCGGGTTATTTTTGTTTATTTATTTGTGTTTTTAACAGCATTGTAAGTTGCTAGGAGACCTTTGGGTCACAAAAGACTAACAAGTCTAATAAATAATAATAATAATAGCTGTGATGGTTCCAGTCCAAATAGGCACTGTTCTGAAAGGAGGGGGAGAAGATAGTAGCAATGCTTTAGAGGAAAATAGCAGCTTGGGTAGGGAATTGTCAGCAGGTTAATGGTCTGGGGAGAGGATTAATCCCCTGTGCACATTAATTCAAGGCTGTATTCAATGCTAGTTCTACTCAGATTAGACCTATTGAAATCAATTGGCAAAAGTAACTTAAAGCTATTGAGTTCAGTGGGTCTGTTTTGAGCAGGGTTAACACTGGATACAACCCTAAGTGTCTTCTGAAGTTTTCACTAGAGCTTCAGATGCACCTTCTTTTAGTCTTTTATGCATTAGTGGGAAGATGGTATCAGAGACAATTACTGTACTCTTCAGCAAGAGGAACTGATTCCCATCATGCCAAACACCTCCTAATCCACCCAGCGCCTGCTCTGCAGCTCACTGGGTGAGAAATAGGAGCCAAAGGGCTCAGTTCCAGGCACATGGAGCATCATTTGGAGTTGAATCAAGTTCCTTGTAGCCAGGGATCTGTCCATGGTCCTGCAAACCTTGTACCTGATGCTCCATCTCCTGTTGAACTTCAGACCCATATTGGTTGACTACACTGGACTGCCTTCTCTTTGACATAGATCTAGGGCAGTCAACCTTTGATTCTCCAGATGTTGTTGGACTTTTAACTCTCATTGTGGCTCACGGTTAGGAATGATGGTTATGCTGGCTGGGGCTGATGGGAGTTTGAATCCAGCAACATCTGGAGTGCCACAGATTCCCCCTTCTAAATATAAATATTTCCAAAGAAGAAAATCCAGAAAGTTATTAGAATTCCACTTGTCACTGTTAATAAGTTTTCCACTACTGGCATATTGCTAGTATTAATTAAAACCTGGTGATTATGCACACTCCTATAATCAAGATGTTTTAAATGTTCAACAACAGAAAGACGTTAGCATGAGAGGTAGCACCACCAGTTTCCTCTTGCCTAACCACCACATGTGAGCACATTTGGTCATGGAAAACTCTTCCATGCTCCAGAGTAGTTAAAGCTGTTGTCAGTAGCTATTGTGGTGCTTGATCACATTACACAACATCCCCAGAGAGCATCCCAGAGGCAATGGGACTGAGATTTAATAAACAGAAATAGCAACAACACAAATATTGACTGGAAATATTTGGTGGGTGTTGTTGTTTTTTTTGGTGGGGGTTGGTTGGTCTTGGGTCAACTCAGGCAAATTACTGCAAGCTGGTCTAGGGGTGAAGTGGTGAAATCTTCACACATTTTTGCCAGGAAAAGGAAGGAAATTATTGAACCACTTGGTGGCAGTAAACATATATCCCATGAAAGTTTAGATCTAGGAATACAGAAAGTGCAAGGGGTGAGAGCAGGAGCAGGTTGTATATTTAGAGTTGAAGCATGGCTGAGTGGAAAAAGAGAAAGTACTGTATCTTCTCAGTAGTTCATTATAGAATACCCTGCCCCCTTCCTCACTGTTTTTCACCAATCATGGCATGCCTTTTTAATCTGAATGGCTTTTATTTTATGAGAAAGCAATGTTTTTAACATTTTTTTTAAAATAAAAAAGCTCTTCTTTATAATTGTTTTATAAAAGTGCAATGTTTTGTGGTGCGAGCTGCCCAGAGTGGTGTATAAGTATTGCATCCCATACTAGTTACGCTCAAAGTAGACCCGACGAAATTAATAGACATGGCCAACTTCTGATTCATTAGATTTCAATGGCTCTACTCTGAGTAAAAGATAGTTTGATACAACCCTAAATGCATTTCACAAAGGAGTTATTATTATTTTTAATTTCCTTTAGTAAAAAAGAATCCATAAATAACAATACCTCTGCTCCTGTTTCAAAGGGAGAAGAAGAAGAAGAATTGAGAGTGTGAAGGAGGGTCTGCAAACTGTCTTTGAGATATTCTGGGACCCACAGAGCCCCCTCAAATATTGCTGATCTGTGTACCATTTGAGCTTGAATCTTCCTGTCTCATAGAGAAAGAGGCTTGTGTGTCCCCCCCAGAAAAAAGCACTGCTTATAGTATTGCTTTCCTTCTGCATCCTGAGTTTGCCTGGTATCACCTCTGTATGGTTCATGGCTGCGGTGCAGATAGGCAGTTACTCTGTTCTCACAGTGGCCAACCAGATGCCTGGGAAAGCCTGCAAGCAGGACTCTTAACGCAATAGCATTCTTCCCTCCTCTGGTTTCCAGAAACTGTTATTCAGATGCATACAGTACTGCCTCTGAAAAATGCCGGAACTCCTGCTTTTTATTTGTTTAGAAAAGATTATGAAGCCATTCAGTACAGTGTAGAAATGTAAATCATCTGTCTCTCCCTTGACTGAGCAACACTTGTGTGTCAGTAATTGCTCCTTGCCATAATTCCTGTTACCTGTGAGTCAGAGTTAAGCAGTCAGGCGTCTTCCAATTTTTCACTGTGACCTGTCAAGCTGCCGATATCCTAAAGCTTATTAAGTCTTTGGGTTTACTGTAGCAATCTCATTCTTTTCAGCTCACATTCTTTTCAGCTAAGGCAGCTGAAAGGTATTGTCTGTTAGGTTTAGGTGGTTACATTAATTTCATGAAATACTGTGTGCCACTGGCTTATAAATCCACCAAATTCACGAATCTCTCTGATTACATCCTCTCCAGCACATTATGAGTATGCATGACTTGTCCCAGCTTTACCAGATTACGTAGCATCTTTTCAGATGTGTGCCCTTAGGCTTGTGCCCAATGTAGTGATAAGTAAGCACCCCAACAGTGCAACGATTTCTGCTTGTGCAACAGAACTTTCTCCTCTCTCCATCTCTCCATGTGCACCCCAAGCCCTCCCCAAATATGCTCTGGTGGATTCAGGGGGAAACCCAGGCTAGATCTGGAGGTAGCACAGGGATGGGCATGGGGAAGGGGGAGGAAGTCCTCTTGTGCAAGTGGAAATCTTTGCACTGATGGGATGCTTAAAATGCTACACCAGATACAAGCCTAAATGTGTGAGGGTCTGAAGATGCATTGGGGTCACAGCTGTCCTCATCCACATTTCAAGCACTTGCTTGTTCAGACAAATGTCCAAACATGGTTTAGTGTTGTCCTTACACTCAATTCATCCATGGGCCATGGGTGAATTTTCCTCAATTTGACAAAGTAACCTGTTTTGATTTTTACTAGAACCAGATCTGGGTGCAAAACACCAGCTCTGCTTAGACAATTGCAAAGAATTAAGGAACAGGGTATAGGGATGCGGGTGGCGCTGTGGGTTAAACCACAGAGCCTAGGGCTTGCCGATCAGAAGCTTGGCAGTTCAGATCCCCATGACGGGGTGAGCTCCCATTGCTCGGTCCCTGCTCCTGCCACCCTAGCATTTCGAATGCAAGTAGATAAATAGGTACCGCTCCGGCGGAAAGGTAAACGGCGTTTCCGTGCGCTGCTCTGGTTTAGAAGCGGCTTGGTCATGCTGGCCACATGACCTGGAAGCTGTACGCCGGCTCCCTCGGCCAATAAAGCGAGATGAGCGCCACGACCCCAGAGTCGTCCGCCACTGGACCTAATGGTCAGGGGTCCCTTTACTTTTATCTTTAAGGAACAGGGTGCCTCTGAGCACATGCTCAGGCCAGAAATCTGTGGTCGGTGTTGGAAACAAGCTCACAAGTCCTTCTGCACCAATATCCACTCCTGGTCCCCCCCCATTCTTTTTCAGCAACTTCATTCTAATATTGAAAGTTTTGTGATTCTGCCTACAGGATTTTATCAGCAGACTTCATCTGCTCGGCTGGGTCTCTCTTTCTCACAGAAGCTACTGGAACCAACTGCCCTGTGAGGGGGAGCAGCTGGACCATCTGCTCTAGGGTGGGTGGCATCATCTGTCCCCACCTGCCCCCCCCCAATCCCCAAAAGGCACCACCTTCCAGCTGCATCACAGCCACTCCCAGGAAGCTTGTGATGCATGGGTATTTCTTGGAGGTTTGCCTGTTTTGAACTGGGACCAGCCTGTGACAGCTGGCCCATCTGTTCTGGCTGGGCATGTGGTCTCACCTGGACCCCCCAGTACTTCCTGGAAGGACTGACCAGACATTGTCAGATCTTTGCTCAATATTCAGCTGCCCTGAAGCCACTTTTGAGAAAGTGCTTCATCTGTTGGAAGCTAACCAAATATGAAACTCAGAGCTAGTGCCCCGGTTCGCATTTTTCCTCCTTCCTGCCAACACCTTTTCATTTTGTGTCATGCCTTGTAGACTGTAAAGCCTGTGTGCAGGAATATTTCTTGGGAAACCCTTGGGGTAATAAAAATGCTCAAAATGAATGAATTAATAAAGAGTATGTGTGCTGTGGGTGCCAGATAAGTAATTTGCACAGCACAACTCCAGTTGGCGGGACTGGGTTCAGAATGGGTGGTCTGATGGTGTTATGTTATCAGCTGGGATCAAAGGGAGGATAACAGAGTAGATCAATGCAAATCCATTGTTTCACCTTGGGATTTTGCTTTTGGAGATGAAAGGACCTGTCCCAATAAGAGGCAGAAAGCTCTTTCAAGCTGTTGAGCAGGTTGATTGCAAAGTGACAGGTTGCAATCCTGTGCACACTTACAGGGGAGCAAACCCCACTGAACATCGACTAGGCTTGTGCTGTAAACTTCCAGACATTTAAAACAAGGGAGATCCCTTCTTACTGAGAAGAACAGTAAGGAAGGGGAGAAACAAGAGCTGCCAGAGCTTCTGCTGTTACCTGAATATAGGCAAACCAGGAATGACCACAGTCCTCTCTGCCATCCTAGAGGGCACCTTCTTAAGCTCCAGTGTGGTGTAGTGGTTAGAGTTCGAATCCCTACTTGGCCATGAAGTTCAGTAGGCGAACTTGGGCCAGTCATTACCTGAGATTCCTGTATTGCAGCGGTTTGGACTAGATGACCCCTGGGATCTAAGATAATGTGATCAACTCTCAGCCTAACCCACCTCACAATATTGTGAAACATGACAAAAGTTTGCATTATATGCTTAAAAAACAACAAAAACTGGCTTTGGGAGCTACTTCAAGGAAGTAACTCATCCTGTGCTGAAGATTGTTGAATGGTAAGCAATAATTTGTCAAATTTAATACTTTAATACTAGTTTTCTAACCTCACATTGCTCTTTGGAGTACCACCCACAGAGTCTACATCAGGGTGACTAACCTGTGGCTCTCTCTAGATTCCAGCTCCCATCAGCCCCAGTCAACATGGCCAATAGCTGAGGGTGATGGGCAACCTCTGTTCCCATTCGTGTTCTAAACGAACTCCTGGTCAAGCTTCAAGGGTGGCTAACTCAGGATGAGGTTGCAGAGAAAGGAAGCCTTGCATTTCAGAACAAAGGCATATTTCTTTCTGCTTAAAAGTGTTGGCCTTAAGGAGTACACTATACACTACACAGAAATGCATGTGATGGAGTTTTGGTGGTATGCTGCTGAGAAAAGCATCCTCAAAAACCTCTCTCCATCTATAGCATTCTTCATAACATCCAAGCAGAAATATGGCATGGGGTGATGAATTTGCTGTTATTATATAATAGGTTATATATTATAATAGGTTATTTTCCCCTTTCAAAGGCAGTCATTCTGTTTCTGTTGTCACCAGTGATTTAAGATTGCATCACCTGAATAAATTTCCCTTTGGAGGAGAAGGTCAAAATATACAGGTTTTTCCCTTGTACCTTTTTGCAGTGTATAGGAAGGAAAGGAAGTTAATTGTTTTAACAGTGCATACTGTACTCAACACTTACTGTCTCATAACAAATGCAACTGATCTGCAGAAAAGACTTTACAACCTGAAAAAGGAGGCAATGCGCATACTTTTGTAAACCAAGAAAATCTTTAATAAAAATTATTTTTAAAACAACAACAACACTGCAAACTGTCCTGAAATCATATAGAAAGGTGGAAGGAAGAGAAACAAGTAATATTTTATTTATTTATTTATTTGGCTTATTATTACCTTTTCACCCTAAGGTCCCAGGGCAGATTTAGAATACGACATTAAAGACAGTTTAAAAGAAATTACAGTCACAAACTGGCCGGAGGGGGGGTGTCCTAGAAACGTATGAAGATTTGTAGAGACAAACGCCTCATTTCACAAGCCCCCTCCCCCGATTAAAAACGATCAGAACTCATCCATTGCCACCCAGATCTCGACTTTCTCAGCAAAGTGTCAAAGATGAAGGTATTAGAGAATCAGGATGCAAAGACTGAAGGAGGGGGTCGGATAAGGCGTTTGGGAGGGGGGGGGATAACACCCGCCAGGGGGATCTGGCTATCTTCAAGCATCTGTGAAAAAGAATCACTTCGCTCACATTCCACGTTGAGGCTGATGTCTAATGAGAGAGCGGTCATTAATTGCCTGTTTCTTTCCTCATTGGAGGGCGAGGGAGAAGGTGGGGGAGTTGCATGAGAATAGGGACCAGAGGAAAAAACGCAAGAGAAAGTTTGACAGCTTGTTGACATCAAAGACTCGCAAGATTAGGCAGCGGCAGGTATAAAAGTGCTGATCTCGAAGAAGGAGAGAGGAGCATTCGGAGCGAGCAGAAGCGGAGTAAGGGACTTGAGCAGACACCCCCTCCGGGGAGAGGGAGAAGAGAGAGGAAAAGAAAGAAGCAAGAAGACTTCTCATTTAGACGAGGGTGAAAAAGAGAGGGAGAATGGGAGCGAGACAGTTCTGACCCGATTCAACCCTCTTAAGTTCCCTGAATTCGGAGTCAATTCGAATCTGAGCACAGGAGAGAGAGAGAGAGAACGGGGATTTAGGTGACACAAGATAGAAAACAGACTCTTAGGTTAGAAGTTGAGAGAGAGAGAGGGAAAGAGACTTCGGAGCAATCTACGCAGCGATGCCTCCCAGGACCACCTCGATCTTGGAGCTGATGTCTTGGGCGCTCGCCCTCCTGGGCCCAGCCTGCTCGCAGACGGTCGAGCTGCTGCAGGAGGCCGCCGAGGGCCAGCTCCGGCCCGCCGCCTCCTCTCCGGCCGGCCTGGCCGCAGCCCCGGCCCGCCCTCGCCCGCAGCCCCCGGCGCTCCGCTCCCCGGTGTACATGCTGCAGCTGTACCGGGCCCTCGTCGTGGGCGGCCCCCCGAGCCAGCCCAGCGCAGAAGCCTCCGCCTGGAGAGAATCCGACACCATCCTCAGCCTGGGGGCGCGACGTAAGTCCTGCTCCTTGCCTCGGTTGACCCCTTTCCGTCCCCCGCACCGGCACAAAAAGCCTCCCCTCACCCCTTTCCATTTTGAGTTACTTCCATTCTGATTTCCTGCCCAGGGTTTGTAAGGACATCCTTGATGGATGGATGGATGGATGGATGCTTATCAGCATCCCTGGGTGGTGGTCCTTCTGGCCTTAAGTCAACCCGCCTCCCGCCTCTCCTTCCCGGGTTTCTTTTTGTGGATTGTGGCCCCAGACGTCTGCAACGGAGGGAGCCCCCCAAGAGAGAGATGCAATCCACATCCCCTTTCCCTTACTACTAAGGACATCTGGCAGGAACCAGATGGGAAAGCGGGGAGGGGAAAGAAGCGAGGCTGGGGGTGTCGCATGATGCCCAGGAAGGGTGCAGCTAGAGGTTGCCACGCTCCAGAAGCTGCCTTACACTCGGGGAGGAGTGAGGCACCTGGAAATGGCCAGCGGAGGAGAAAGCGGCGTCTCAACTTTCCCTGGAAGGGTATTGGGAGATGCTATTGTCTGAGCTGCATTCAAAGAAAGGGAAAACAGGTGGAGAGAGACGGGTGGGGGTGGAAGAACAGATTTCGGTGTACAGACTTGACTGTTCTCCCATTATGGCTGTGTGTGTTCTGTCTGATCCAGCTGCACACTTTGCTGTGTCCGTGGATGTTTATGGGGTTCAGGAACTCTAGAATACATTTATACACCATGGCTGGTTTTTATTCTAGGGATTAGAAACACCACTTATTTACACTGTACCCACGTAGGACCATAGGAAGCTGCCTTTTATCAGGTCAAATTAATTGTGCATTCAGCCCAATATCGTCTACACTGGCAGCAGCCAACCCTCACCTCCCCCCTCAACCCCTGGAGCATGTTTGCAAATGATGGGCAACAGTCATGGCCTCTGCGGTGGCGAATTTGTCTTCCTTTTCTTGCTTTTCCATTTCAGCTTTTTGAGTTGGACTATAATTTTATACAGTCAATACCAACTGTTTCCCCTTGGTCTTTTGTTAGCACTTCAAAAGCAGAAAGGTACTTTTTAAATGTCCTAATTAGTTATCAACACTTTCAAAGAGTGGGCATCAAAGGGTCTATGGGTGTGAGGAGTACAATGAAATTTAATGAGCTACGTGCCTTTAGTCTTTGAACTTCCATAACCCAATCAACCACTTAACTAGCTGATGCAATGAGTTAATAGCTGTCTTCAAGACAGCAGGGCCAGGGGAAGATAAAATGGACAGCTGGAGCCTGTGCAGCTAATCTGAAAGTGATGTTGTTAGGGACACACATTAAGGAGAGTAAGGATTCTAAGATACCCATATCTTAGAAATGGAGAATTATAATACTCAGCTGTTGTATATGCAGATGAGCCTCAGGGTCCCTTCCAACTCTACAATTTTATTATTCTATATACAGTACCACTCTAGTTTTCAACAGCCATTCATATAAGCTGCCCTGTAATACTTACAACAACGCTGTGAGGGAGGCCAGTATTTTCCCCGTATTGCAGATGGGGGGGGAGGTTCCTGGGGAGGTGAGCTGAAGCAGATAGATGTGGCTTCATTAAGGAAATTACTAATTCATATCCCACTTTCTTTGCCACCATAAAAACCAGCTTCATGGTACCTGGATGTAAAGGCTAGATTTTTCTTCAAAATAATTGAGTTCACTTAGCACTCATTGATATTAATGGAGTTCAGATAATTTCCTGAGCATCTAAGCTTCGTTTATGTGTCTGTTAATTTTCTATGGTCTTTCTTTCTCAGCAAGAAAGTGAAGTATTTTTATTACTAATTTTTAGTAATTAATACATTAATATCCTGCCTTCCCTCCAAGGAACTCAAGGTTTCATCGCCCCATTATTTCCTCACATCAATTGTGTGTGGTAGGTTAGGCTGAGAGATAGTAACTGGCCCAAAGTCACCCAGTGCACTTCCTGCCTGCGTGGGGATTTGAACCCTCATATCCCAGATTGTAGTCTAACTGCTACACCATGCTGGCTCATATCCTATTCTTCTAGATATGTTCCTGGCTGCTCCTGGAAATCCCCTCTTCCCAGTTTGAGAACAGCTCAGTCACTGCTACGCTCAACAATATACCAAGAATTACAGGTCCATTTCAAATTTACCATTGTAAGAACAAAGCTTATTTGATTTGTCTATCTAGCTTATTGTTATCTACTTTGACTTGTAGCAGCTTTTGAGGGAGAGGATCTTTTCAGATCACCTGCTGCATAATTCTTCTAACTGGAGATGCCAATGACTGAATTATATGCCAAAACAAAATGCTTAACCAATGTGCTGTAGTCCCCCTCAGTTCTCTTGGACCCCTGTTACTCACTTGTTTGTGCTGTTTTTTTCTTTAATAATAATATGACAACCCCCCCCCCTTTTTAAAGAATAAGCTGAAAGACTCCAGGGAAAAGTGGGTGGGTAGCTTAGTGGCATGAGAGGTGCTAGCCAATCAGTACTGCACACAGGCAAGTTCAGCTGCAACAGACAGAAGTTCAGAGGAAAATTTTTGAGTGAAGAAAATGCTCTTGCAATGGGGGGCACAGTTCTATCCTGGCCTTCATAGATGCTGTTTTATTTTCCCACCCCATGTCCTCTTGTCCTGCCCTCTTCCCAATACTGCTTTTGAGAGTCTTAGAGTTAAGAACCTTTAATATTTAATGGTGTTCCTTTGTTCCATTCATCCCAACCAGTGCCATTCTTCTGCCTTCCAGATTATTTCCAGTTTGAGGACCACTGGGACTTCTCTTTTGACTTGACCTCCATTTCCAGCAGCTCTGATGTGAGGCTGGCAGAGTTCCGGGTCTGCCTGACGTCTTTCCCCCAGTACAGGAGTGTCACTTTGAACATCTACCACAGCCATGAGCGCACCTGTCATGGGAACCAGACCTGCACAGACAAGATCTTCCTTGGTTCTTTCATTAGCAGGAACTCCAGCCACTCCTCCTGGAAAGTCTTCAATGCCACCAGCATACTCCGCTTCTGGCTCCATCAAGGGGTATCATTTGGCATGGGTGCTCCAGATGATCAGGATCGGCACTGGGTGGAGGAGAACCTATCTCAGGACAATGAGGGAAGAGTAGCCGGTGGGTTCCAGGGAAAATGTGGGTGCAATGATGATCAACAGGCCCACGTATTGACCCATAGCATGACTGACAGAGTCCTACTGGTTATCTTCTCCAAAGATAAGGAACTGGTGGAGCCTTCTCAAGGCCCAAGTCTCATCAGGACGGTGGAGATGTCCAAGTATATCATGATGGACAACACTTTCAAGGAGACTGGGGGCCGGCGGCACCGGCGGAACAGGAAGCAGAAGCAAAGGATTAAAGCGGCTAATATTTCCACCGCCAACTTTGGCAAAGAAGGGAGATCTCTGTGCAGGAGGGTAGATATGATTGTGGACTTTGAGCAGACTGGCTTCGGAAGTTGGATTGTGCACCCCAAGAAATACAATGCCTACCGGTGTGAGGGAGAGTGCCCGTTGCCTGTTGATGAGACCTTCAAGCCAACAAATCATGCATATATTCAGGTTTGTCTTTATGTTTGCATTTTAGGGGTCTTGGAAACGAGAAACTGGGTCCAATGCAGTATATCCAACTGCACAGTCCAGTCTTATATGCTTTATAAACAGCACATTAAGAATGGTGGAAAGTGAAGCCCATATCTATACACCTGCAAAAACCTTTCTTTTTCTCCTATCCATTAGTTGCTTGTATGCTCAGCTCTTAGTTCTGTATAGAACAATGCATTAACTAACACTGGGGATCATTTATGTATAAATACTGGTGATGATGAAGAGAAAGAAAAGGGCATGAGGAGTCAGGATATTGATCCATGTAGCTCAGTATTACTGGCACTAACTGGCAGTGGTATAATTTTAAAAGATCATAAGGACAGCTGAGGCAATAGGTAGCATCAGTGCTTTTTTCTGGGGGTATTAAGGGGTACACATACCCCTAAACATTTTGTGAATCTAAGTATGGCCTCATTGAGGAGCAGTATTTCAATATGAGTAGGATAAGGAAAGTACCCCTAAACATTTTTTTTAAGGAAAAAAGCAGTGGGTAGCATCATTTTAAAAAGCCATCAGTTACTAATCTGCAGGGCTGAGGGGGCATGACTAGTCCCACCCTAGGGCTTCCTCCAGGGGGACCATAAGAAGGAGGCCTTATCCCACCAAGAATTTCAGCGACTGACATAGCACTGGGCTACGATTGTGTCCTAAGGCTCTGACTGTTTCTCTCCCCACCCCATAAGGAAATGTCAGTCCTGTTTTATTCCCCTACTGGCTTTTTGGGATGAATTGTTAACATTTTTGTTGTTGTTTAGTCATTTAGTCATGTCCAACTCTTCGTGACCCCATGGACCAGAGCACGCCAGGCACTCCTGTCTTCCACTGCCTCCCACAGTTTAGTCAAACTCATGCTGGTAGCTTCGAGAACACTGTCCAACCATCTCGTCCTCTGTCGTCCCCTTCTCCTTGTGCCCTCCATCTTTCCCAACATCAGGGTCTTTTCCAGGAAGTCTTCTCTTCTCATGAGGTGGCCAAAGTATTGGAGCCTCAGCTTCAGGCTCTGTCCTTCCAGTGAGCACTCAGGCCTGATTTCCTGTTAACATGTTGTTAGTTAATTACTGTTTTTCTCCAGCTCTCTCTAGAAGTTCAGGCTTTGGTCCTAAATACTGTACATTTACCTAAGTTCAGGCTGTCGGAACTGGGGATGAAAAGCCAGCTGGCTCGGTCCCAGCTGGAGCGCCTCTCCTCTCAGCTGCTGCGGAGATCCATCGACCTCTGCTCCTCCGACATTCGTCAGTGACTCAAGCTGCAGTGCATACTTGAGCACACATTACTCAGCAGTGTAAACTGCGCAACAGAAGAGGCGTAGATACAATACTAAGGCTATGCATTTATTATACATATATCAGGACAAAGAAAACATGGCTTCTCCCCTTGTCAGAGACTGAAAAACAAAAGCAATACAGAGCGGAAGTTCTGCTCAGGCCAGCAACCTGTGCTGGAACGTAAACAGACATGTGACATGTAACAATCCCACATATCTGCAGCAAAAGGTGGAACAGAATTCCCAACACAGGCTCCACTGAACTCACTGGGGCTAACTTCTGCATGGATGTGGTACGGGATTGCACTGCACATCTCTGCCCCCAAGGCTATTTGCCCCCAAAGGTGCCTTTTGGAGAGAAGACAAAAGCATCTCTGGGAGCACATATAGCAGCGGGGGGGGGGGGTATTTTGGTGTGGAAATAGTGCGGGGGTGTTGATCAGGACCTATCAATGCCATAGGTCGCTCGACCCAAGGACCTATCAATGCCATATGTAGCTCGATCCAAGAAGTCCACCCATAACCGACACCTTCCTTACATGAAGAGCTTCCTTGATTTACCCTTTGAGCTTTCTCAGCAGCCTGCTATGCTCACAGCTAAAGTGAGTGGGGTTTGGAAGACCTTCACTTTGACCAGTTCTTGCAGGCTGAGGAAGCTGTGGTCCTCCAGATGGTGCTGGACTACAGCTCCCTTCACCCCTCACTGTTGGCTGTGCTGGCAGGGGCTGATGGGAGTTGGAGTCCCAACATCTAGAAGGTCACAAATTCCTCGGCTTTGGTTTGAACAGATTCCTCCACCCCCTGCTCAATTCTATAAAGAGGTTGTCACTGTTGAGGAAGAAATTTCACTGGCTTTTTAAAAGCCTTGGATTTTTAATTTTTAAGCAACAACATTCCAAGTGGGGGGAAATTAATGCTCCTTGTGAGCTCGTGCATTCCTTGGCCCTGAAATCCCCCCAAATGGAGGTGTTTTGACCAAGCACAAGGCACAAGAATGCCCTAGGCAGGCATGGCCACATCACCAGAGAGAGCTCCAAGTTAGCAGCTTGCTCTGATAATCTCTGGAGGCTGGAGCTCTGCCAAGGCTATATATCCCTCTTGCGGCAGAGTGGCACTCCTTGGCTCCTTCCTGAAGTATGGAGAGCCTTGAAGAGGAAGTCCTCCAGCCCTGTCAGCAATCAGCAAGTTTCCTTTGGGTTCCTTCTTTGCTCTTGGGTTTCCTTGATGTAGAAGAGGCTGGTCCCTCAGAAGAAACTAGCCTAGGGGGTGTTGTCTCTGGGGTTCCCAGTTTGGGGGCCTGTCACAAGCCCTCAATATCAGGGGCCTGGGTCAAATCCCTTCCATAGTTTATTGCACTGGTCTTTTTGATTGGGCTGGCCGCTCCTCCTCTTAGTCAAATTCCAGACTTTTCTGTATTTGGGGTGGGGTAGGGTAGGGTGTCACAAAATATTTGCACCAGATTCTGCCGGGTCATAATTGGACATGGTGGGACTGCACTGCTTACCTGGCTGCCCTCCAGCCGAGTTGCTCCTGCGTTCTGGATGGAGAGAGGTGAGGCGGTGAGCTCAGTGCAGTGCAAACACATCATCATAGACAATCTGGCGCTCCAATCTGCAATTGCACTGCAGTGACCTCACCACCTCACTTGCCCCTCTCAGCTAGGGAGGCCAGGTAAGTGGTGTAGCCCCACTGCGCCCTGCCCTACTGCCCTTAACTATACTGTGTCAGTTCTGGATATGATGTTTTTCTCTTCCTTCTTTCCCTTTCAGAGCTTGCTGAAGTTATACCAACCCAACCGGGTGCCTTGCCCATCTTGTGCCCCGGTCAAAATGAGCCCGCTGTCTATGATGTACTACGAGAAAGGGAAAGTGAGGGTCCGTCACCATGACGACATGATCATCGAGGAATGTGGCTGCAACTGATGCACATGAGTCTTAGCTACTTGGTGGATGGGGCCTCCTCCAGATACCAGCTCCCTAAAACTCAAAGCGCCTTTCCCTCTTGCAGCAGAAGCCCAAAAAGTATTGACCTTAAATGGAGGAAAAAGACTCCTCGCCACTTGGAGATCAAGCTGTTTCTCTAGGGTGTTGTCTATATAATCCTTATCAAAATGGGGGAATGGAATAGGCAGAGGATTATGACAGGGGTCATGCTTTTCTTAGGGAACTCCCTAAGCAGAGGGTCCTCACAGAAATAACCCCTCTCCCACACCTGGGGTTGGTTCCAGGTTTTTGGGGTCCCTTGGCAAAGTAATATCAGCTGAGCCCCTTTCTGTGTCAACAGGCCTCCCTGGTGGGCTTGTCTGGTGGCTTGGAGGCCTCGATGCTGCCATCTTTTTAATTTCCCACAATGCCACTGATGTAATGTTAGTTCAGGGAATTGTGGGAAATTAACACAGAGCCAGCTGCCCAGTGCAGAGGTTGGTTTAAAGGGGCCTCCAGAGCAGGAATCAGTTGTGGTCCATGCTGGCTCAAACATCTGTAGCTCTTTCCAAAAGTCCCAACTGTGAGAGATTATTTTTAAACAGAGCCCCTATCAGCAAAACACAGGTCTACCAATTTTTTCTGAGATCGGTGGGATGATAGGCGCATGCTGAACCACTAGTGAAGACAGTTGTTTTGTACATGTCTGTAAAGAGCCTTCTTGACTGGTTTTGAGAAAGTAGTGATATATTCCTTAAAAGGTATACAGCCCTCCTTTCAAGGTATGAAGCCCCATCTGCACTATTATGTTTAAAGCACTATTACACTACTTCAAACAGCCATGGCTTCCCCCAAAGAACCCTGGGAACCGTAGTTTGCAAAGGGTTCTGGGAGTTGTTTGGAGACCATTATTTCTCTCTCAGAGCTACAATACCCAGAGTTCCCTTGGAAGTGGAATTGATTGTTAAACCACTCTGTCATGTAGGTCAATTCAATGTGCATTTATTTGGAAGAAAATTCCTTCGGCTTCAGTGAGGCTTACTCCCAAGTAAACGTGCATTAAAGAATCCACAGTTTGTCATACTGCTGACCTCCAGCTTCTTTTTAGTATTAAAGAAAATAACTTCCATTCTTTCAAACCTCATCTGTCTTGTGTGATTATTCTGTGAAGTTTTAAAAGTTTATATGAGATCATAAACAAATTTCTGAGTTAACATTTTGTAATACAGATTTCCCGCCCCCCTACAATGTAACTGGGATTTAAATGCATAATTTCAGCGTAGATCATCTGAACTAAAATCATAGGGTACAAAGGGAAGTGTTGTATAGCAGGTCAGACCATTTGGCTATATTGACTGGCAGTCAGCAGCTCTTTGTGGACCACCTTCCCTATCAGCTACTTTGCTCAACTCACTGAGAGCTATGGCCCTTCCCCATCATGAGACGTAACTGAACAGTCAATCTTCTATGGCGGCCGTGCCAATGCGGAAGGAGTGACCTGAGAATTCCCTTGGATCGCCACCATAGGCCCCAATGGCCTTATGGAGGACGGGGAATGTGTCTGGTGTCTGCACTGCCTCGGGTGCCAGTTAGTGGAAATGCTCCATCACCGCTTGATTGTCTGGAAGAAACAAACCCTGGAATTTCTGAAATGATTTCCCCAAATGCGAAGGGCAACGGCTTTTGATGGGGGGGGGGGTGCGTTCTAGAAACAGGCGAACCGAAACAGGAAAGTGGCAACCGTTGCGAAATCCAGTCTCAATGTATTTTTCTGCCTCCCTGTTGGGATAAGTTTCCAACAGGGTCAGCATGGCTGGAAGAGAAACAGGGGAGGGGGCTAGGGAGGAAAAGGGGGTTACTTCTGCGCAGTGCCTCTTGAGTGCTGGGCTTTTTATTGAAAAAGGGGGGACGGTGCCAGTAATCACCATGGAGATGTTATAATAAGTGCCACATGGCTTAGTCACGCTGGCCACATGACCCAGAAAAACTATCTGTGGACAAATGTCGGCTCCCTTGGCCTATAGAGCGAGATGAGCTCCGCAACCCCAGAGTCGTTCGCGACTGGACTTAACTGTCTGGGGTCCTTTACCTTTACCTTTTATGTAACAACCAAAGATCTTGGATGGTATGGTTGTCATCAATGCTTCAAATAAAGACAATACAGAGATGAAAGGAGGATTTCTGTGTTTTGTTTTCCGCCTGTTTTTGCATCTCCGTTGCAGTACCTAGATTGTGCCCCATTCTTTCTAGGGCCCAAAATTCAGCAGAAAACAAAATTTTACATATGAAACAATCAGTGCAATTGCCCTTGCATTCTGAAATCAGAACATTTCAGCATAGCTAAATAGGCACAGCTGCCTTTAATTTACAATCATTATCATGTTTTGTCAGTTTTGGGCTACAATTTGCCAGGGAGATCTTGCTCCAGTCTCATTCATTTGGGCTTTTCTTTGTTCTGTTGTCAAAACTGGGTATTTCATTTCAAGTTAGAGCACCAAGGGAAGGAAATAAAAACCAGGGCTTACTGAACACGGTGTATGGTTTTATGTTTTTACATTGTTGTAAATATATTTTTTATAAATAAGTAATAAAGGCCGAGGGGGGTGTGGATATGGAAAGGGATGAGGTTTGTAATTGGACTGGACAAATGGCTCCTGCAACAAAATGTTGCAGCGTGGAGTGCTCCTCTGCCAGCCAGCCACCCATTCTCTCTTCCACAATCGTCCCTTCTATTTCACCTGCCTGGTTTTCCACTTCTGAGGATGCTGGGGATTAAATCTGGGAGCTTCTGCCGGTGAGGCAGTGGATAAAAGTTCTTTCTCCCTCTCCGTGCTAAAACTTGTGGACATCCAATGAATCTGAATGTTGGTAAGATTCAGAGCAGCTAAAAGAAGGCACTTCTTCATGCGGCACCTAGTAGCTACCAATTTTAAAAAGATTGAACAAATTAATGGAAGAGAGGGGTTGCTGCTCTACTGCCACAGTTGGAGGCAGCACTGCTTCTGAGTACCGTATGTATTTTTGCTGGAAAGCAAAAGACGGGCGAGGGCTCTTGTGCTCGATTGCTGCTTCAGGGTTTCCACAGGCACCTGGCTGGCTGCTGTGAGCAGGGGCAGACCTTGGCGCCTCAAATTTCAGTGGTGCCCTGTGCCCTGGAGCAACCCCTCCCCCAAAAATATTCTATTGGATGTCATAGTTGTGGTCCCTGCTGAGGCGCCCTAGAAGCTCTGTCCCTGGTGCAACCAAACCAGTCACACTCCCCTAGGAGTTGTAAAGACTGCGGAGAGAATAATTGGGTGCAATCTTTCCACCTTGGATCAAATCTATGCTTCCAGGTGCCATAAGAAAGCTGCAGAGATAGCACAGGATAGTGCGCACCCCGGAAATGATCTCTTTCAGCTTCTGCCTTCTGGAAGAAGGTCCAGGGTTATAAAGACTAGGACTAGCCGCCTGAGAATCAGTTTCTGTCCAAATGCGATTTTGGTTTTAAACGCGGTGTAAGGAGTCTCTAGGGGCGCGGGTGGCGCTGTGGGTTAAACCACAGAGCCTAGGACTTGCCGATCAGAAGGTCGGCGGTTCGAATCCGCGCAACGGGGTGAGCTCCCGTTGCTCGGTCCCTGCTCCTGCCAACCTAGCCGTTTGAAAGCACGTCAAAGTGCAAGTAGATAAATAGGTACCGCTCCAGCGGGAAGGTAAACGGCATTTCCGTGTGCTGCTTTGGTTCACCAGAAGCGGCTTAGTCATGCTGGCCACATGACCCGGAAGTTGTCTGTGGACAAACGCCAGCTCCCTCGGCCTTTAGAGCGAGATGAGCGCGGAACCCCAGAGTCGGTCACAACTGGACCTAATGGTCAGGGGTCCCTTTACCTTTTAAGGAGTCTCTAGGGACGCGGGTGGCGCTGTGGGTTAAACCACAGAGCCTAGGACTTGCTGATCAGAAGGTCGGCGGTTCGAATCCCCGCGATGGGGTTAGCTCCCGTTGCTTGGTCCCTGCTCCTGCCAACCTAGCAGTTCGAAAGCATGTCAAAGTGCAAGTAGATAAATAGGTACCACTCCAGCGGGAAGGTAAACGGCATTTCCGTGCACTGCTCTGGTTCGCCAGAAGCAGCTTAGTCATGCTGGCCACATGACCCGGAAGCTGTACGCCGGCTCCCTCGGCCAATAAAGTGAGATGAGCGCTGCAACCCCAGAGTCAGCCACAACTGGACCTAATGGTCAGGGGTCCCTTTACCTTTACCTTTACCTTTAAGGAGTCTCTATGGGAGTATATTGTATTTTAAAGTGGGGTATCAGAGTTTTTAGGGGGCTAACCAGGTTAGGATAGCTGGGATAATAGGCTTGTTGGTTTTTGAATGTCTTATGTAGATTTTTTCAATTTCGTTGTTCTGTATGGGACAATGACAATAAAGATTATCGTATCGTATCGTATTATAGATCTGCTGTGAGAAAAGGTGTGCTTGGCTAGATGGACCATTGGCCTGATCCAGCAGGGTCTTCTTACATCCTTATGTTTATCCAGGCACCCCTCCAAACCTGCAAAACATAGGGCAGTGATTTACCAGGGGCAGTAATAAAAGAAAAAGAAAAGAAACAAACCAATTCTGGGCAAAAAGGGGGAAACTGCAGTTTATGATCTCTTATTTTCAAGCCAAGCCTAATCCTGCTCCCTGTCCTCAAGGCTAAATTCCACCCCCCCTTTCAGGATACCATGCAGAAGACTGTGCTATGGGTCATGCCCTTTGATCTTAAGTCTGGGGTCTTTTGTATAGTGGATGTTTGTGTAACTGGGAAGAAGCTGTTTCCCCAGGGAGTCTTGTCATCCTGGAAAGTGAGAATCCAGACACCTGAGGGAGGCTGAGCTCTGCAGCAAGGGGGAAAGATCATTCATGCTCATAAACAGCTAATCATCACCAACCCCAACCCCCGCCCCAGACGAAAGTTGAGTTAAGGGTCACTTCCCATGAGAGAGCCAGTCCAGGAAGACCATTTGAAATATGCTTGCACCCTTGAGTTGTTCAAGCCATGACTGTACTAATCTGCCCAGTTCTGAGCATGTTTTAAAGAGGACATTGACAAACTGGGACAGAAGAGGACAGCCAAAATGGCAGGTGGTCTGGGATCCAAGTCCTGAGGAGACAGTTGAAAGAATTGGGTCAGATTATTTTTTTTAAGATGGTTTTCCAGTTGTACAAATTCCCCATCAGACACCTAAAAAAACAAAAACAAAGTGTGCTTTGCCCCTTGTTTACCCCTTGCCTAAAATCAGTAGCAGCTTCTCCCTAGTAGTCCGTAGTTTGTATTGACTGTACAGTGATGGTTCGTTGATGAACCTGCCTTGGTTCAGTAACCAGCAGTACTCAAAAAAAGTACTCAGAGAGTATACTGAGAGTACATTGGGAGCCAGTGTGGTGTAGTGGTTAGAGCAGGGATTGGCAAGTTTCACTCCAGCGGAGATCCCTCCATGGGCCGGATTGCACGTGCGCATGAGCAGGCACCCCCACGATTTCCGGTGTCTGCGTCTGAGCAGATTGTGATTTCCGGCGCCACGGAAGTGAGTCCCCGCGCCGCACTGCCGCCGGTTTAGCGAAGTGTGCAGGGACTCGCCGAGTGGGCAGCTCGGTTTGGGGGTGGCTTGTTGGCCAGTAAAATGACCCCTGTGGGCCACTTGTGGCCCATGGGCCTTAGGTTGCCTACTCCTGGGTTAGAGAGTCCGACTAAGACCTGGGAAGATGAGGGTTCAAATTCCCACTCAGCCATGAAGCTCACCCTGGGCTATTCATTGCCTCTCAGCCTACCTACCTTTCAGGTTCATTGTGGAAATTATTTGAGGAGTGTGTGGGGGGGAACCATGTGTGCTCCCTTGAGCTCCTTGGGAGAACAAGGTGGGATAAAGGAAACAAAATGAATAAATGAATAATACTGTAGTGGTATTTGCAAAGATGTGACGAAACTTTACCTGCCCTAAGTTAAAGGTGATGAAGAAGGGGCTAACTGATCCCCTAAGATCCCTTAAAATTCTGTGATTAGCCATATCCACTCCACACAGTTTAAGCACTGTTCTACTGCTTTAAACAGTCATGCCTCTCCCCTGCAAGAATCCTGGGAACTGTAGTTTGTTAAGGGTGCTGAGACTTGTTGGGAAACTCTTATTCCTCTCACAGAGTTACAGTTCTCAAACTGATTTTAAAATCATAGCTTCCTATGTTCCTTTCATGCCTGATCATTGACTGTTCTGGCTGGGGCTGAGGGGAGTTGGCATCCAACGTTATCTAGAGCAGGCTTGTCCAACTCCCAAGAGACTGTGATCTACTCCCACAATAAATCATCATCATCATCAATCTTTATTACGGTCCAGAGACCCAACAAATCGTTACAAAGCAATACACAATTCATACAGCCTACCTCCAGGTTAAACAAGCATTTTGTTCAGAATATAGGGATCATTGGTTCTTGCAACCACCAATAAAAACTTTGCCACTGCTAATGTTCTAGCGTTTGTCCGGTCTTCCAATAGGAACCTGACATAGTGAGCCTCTGATTTTCCCGGGAAAGGTACCAGCAAGGGTAGTATCAGTTCAGCCCTGGCTTGCTCATACTTTGCACAGAGCAACAAAATATGTTTTATGGAATCGATGTCTTGAGCACACGAGCAAAGTCTGTCCTGATAGGGAACTCCTCTCAACCTGCCATCCAACACTGCAGAAGGAAAGACGTTTAGTCTGGCTTTGGTGAAAAGCCTTCGATAGTTTGGTACTGTCAGGTTTTTGATGTAAGATGTTAACTTAAAGACATACCCATATTGTACTCCTACTGCCAGCGGACTACAGACTGCGTGTGATCGAGATCGCAAGTCACTGTGTGCATCATACCATAATCTTTGCTTTAATATCTTTTGGGCACCTTCATAACTCAGGTAATACAGTTGGGGGGGGGGTGACAGACCATTAGAGATGGCTTTTTTAGCCATGGTTTTCTGCCATTTGCTGACAAATTCCTGACAAATTGGTCAGCTGTTGGTACTCCCACAATAAAAAAAACTGGCGGATCTACTCACTGGATTGACCAAAGTTGTTGAGCTTTTTTTAGGAAAACATATTTGTTGAGCTTTTTTGGTCTAGAGAGCCACTGTTCCCCAAGCCAAGCATTTCTGTTCTGCTAGTGTATGGGCTGAATTTGTGACATCACCACCTTGCAACCCTCAGATTCTGAGAGTTCATGAGAAGGGTGGGTGTGTGGGTGTGTGGGTGTGTAGCAAGCAACATCTGTGGCTGGATAAAGGATGAACATTATAGGACCAATCAATCATAGAGCCCAGCTCTCAGTTTCTCCACCATGATCTGCACTGGCCCCAAATTGGAAAGGGGGGGGGGATTAAAAGGAGCAAGCCTTGTGAGAAGGAAGGTGCTGTTTTGTCACTGCCTCCCCACAAATCCACCATGTTTTTCAGGCTGATTAGCTCCAATCCACATCAGCCTTTGCAGATAAACAAAGCGTGTCTGGTTCTCACCCCTGAGGCCTGCCTGTCAGCACAAAGGAGAGAGTAACATTGCTGCATATTCAGACAGCAGTTTCACACTGTGAGCTTCTAGCAATTGAGGAGTGGCTAGAGGCTCATTTGCAAGAGCTGTTACCCAAAATGACTTCCCAGAAAGGAATGAACCCACTATTTCCCCCTCCTTCTTCCCCAAATCTAGGAATTGAATTGTAAACCTCAGGGGTAGGCAACCTAAGGCCCGGGGGGGGGGGCAGGATGCAGCCCAATCACCTTCTCAATCCGGCCCGCGGACGGTCTGGGAATCAGTGTGTTTTTACATGAGTAGAATGTGTGCTTTTATTTAAAATGCACCTCTGGGTTATTTGTGGGGCATAGGAATTTGTTCATTTCCCTGATCTACCACAAGCAAAGAGATCCAATGGGGGTTGTGTTGTGGCTTCCTCATAAAAAGGAAGAAGATTCAACGGACGCTTTTGGTTGATTGGATTCACCAACATCTTCATAGGTAATACAGACAGATGTTGGAGGTGTGATTTATTTTTCTTTGTGGTCCAAAATAGTTGTCCACATTTATTTTGTATCAGAGAAATCTTTGGTATTTGCAGATGGCCATGCACTTTTAAATTATATGCTTGTGGGACAGGGAGCAACAGCAGGACGATCAAAGTGGTTTTTGCAAGCTCTTATGGTTTCCAAGAGACTTCTGATTCAAACCTGGAAGGACAAACACCCACCATCCATTTTGCAATGGTTCCAGGACCTCACTGCCCTTTGCTGCTGCTGAACGTACAATATTTTGTTTCAGTTTTGTTCAGATATCTATCAAGACATTTGGATGGCAAATGTTACTTATATGTTGACTTACATGTTTAGGATGAGATGGATGATTAGATGGTCATTGCATTTCTAATGCAAGCAAATGTTTCCTTTCCCCATTTTTAAAAATATTTTTATTAGTTTTTATATATATTTTCCAAACAAAACATAACATCTCCTCTCCTCTTATACAACATTTTGGCTATAAGCCTAGGACTTATAGCCAAATCATCAACCACATCTAATGATTTTCAACCTTCATCACTTAGCCTTGCATTTCAATATTTTCACTATTACTTTAATAGTCATAACTTAAAGTCCCTTATCATAAATTTTACTGCAATATTTCATATAGTTCTCCTTACAAAACCTCTTGTAATCCTATGAGCGTAGTCAATTTTAATACAATTGTTTTTTCAAATAGTTTGTATATTTACTCCAATCTTTCAAGCATTTCTGGTCCTGCCGGTTTTGAATTCTCCCTGTCATCTTATCCAGTTCTGCTTAGTCCATTAATTTCGTCTGCCACTCTTTTTTCCTTTTCCCATTTTTTTGCTTCTCCCCTTTCTGTTTTTGTTAAACTAGATAGATAGATGATAGATAGATAGATGATAGATAGCTGGATGCCACCCACCTGAGCAGCGCAGCCTTAGTAAGAGCCTGTGTCACACATGTGACCTCCCCATACATTCCTCCTATGCATCTAGGGTCCCCTTTCCCTTCAGTGTAGAAGTGTTAGTGACACCTGCCACTCTAGCTGGCTTCAAGCAGCTATGCTGGGGTGCACAACATGAGACCACCAGTCTTATGGGAAGCAGGGATTGGCAGACTTCCACTGCTATCCTTATTCTGCCCATAGCCTTATGTTTGTGGCCCACATCCATGGACCATGTAGGGAAACAGATGTTGGCTAAATGTTAGGAGAGCAAGATCCCAGTGGTGAGAGCTGTTTGACAGTGGAACAGACTGGCTCGGGGGTGGGTGGGATCTCCATCTCCAGAGGCATTTAAACAGATGCTGCAGAAACATCTGGCAGTGATGCATCCTGTGCTGCTGATACATCCAGAGGTTAGAGCAGATGACCACCATAGCATCTGTGTTTCAATTCTTATGAAAGCACACCTGCTCAAACTACTGCCTACCTTCAAACAGTTATTGGAAGGTCAAAACAGACTCAATAGGTATACAGTGGTACCTCGGGTTAAGTACTTAATTCGTTCCGGAGGTCTGTTCTTAACTTGAAACTGTTCTTAACCTGAGGTACCACTTTAGCTAATGGGGCCTCCAGCTGCCACCGCGCAATTTCTGTTCTCATCCTGAAGCAAAGTTCTTAACCCTAGGTACTATTTCTGGGTTAGCGGAGTCTGTAACCTGAAACGTATGTAACCTGAAGTGTATGTTAACCCGAGGTAGGTAAAGGTAAAGGGACCCCTGACCATTAGGTCCAGTCGTGGCCAACTCTGGGGTTGCGGCGCTCATCTTGCTTTATTGGCCAAGGGAGCCGGCGTACAGCTTCCGGGTTATGTGGCCAGCATGACTAAGCCACTTCTGGCAAACCAGAGCAGCGCAGGGAAACGCCGTTTACCTTCCCGCTGGAGCGGTACCTATTTATCTACTTGCACTTTGATGTGCTTTCGAACTGCTAGGTTGGCAGGAGCAGGGATCAAGCAACGGGAGCTCACCCCATCGCGGGGATTCGAACCGCCGACCTGATCGGCAAGTCCTAGGCTCTGTGGTTTAACCCACAACGCCACCCACATCCCTGTAACCCGAGGTACCACTGTACAGATGTATGCTGGTGGGGTCTTAACACACAATGAGATACCCTGCTTTTTGGCTTATAGAGCCAACATGCATATAGGTGTCATGTAAGGCTCTGTTTCCACCTTGTGATAAATGTGTTGCTCTTCCATTTCGAGATAATGGGCTGTATCCAACTCTATTGTGCTCAGAGTAGACCAACTGAAATTAACAGATCTACTTAATTAATTAACCTAAGTTAATCATGTCCATTAACTTCCATGGGTCTACTTTGAGTAAGACTAGCCTTGGAGACAACCCTGAGCATATTAAGCAGTATTTAGTTATTTAGTCAGTTATAGACTAAATAAATAAGTCAAATAAATATGAGAGACAATGATAGTGATGGCCAGTGCTTTTTTTCTGAGGGTATGTAGGGGTACGCATACCCCTAAACATTTTGTGAATCTTTGTACTTTTGTCCATTTACTGTATTTATTTTCCCCAATTTGAACTATAAAATGGTGATTTTCTTGAGTCAAAATGAGAGTACCCCTAAACATTTTTAAAGAAAAAAAGCACTGGTGATGGCTTTGAAAAAGAAGAAGTTGCAGACGTACCACACAGCAGGCATTGTTTTCAGAATGAACTGGAAGCAGCATCAGAAAACAATGGCATGGAAGAAATATACATTTGTTATTCCAGTGCAATTCGAATCCTGCTGGTCCCTCACCAGGGAAATTCAGAAAAATAAAGGAATATTCAAAATACTTAGAAGGGACTAGCACATCTAAACATTAAATCTGCATTTCTCTGAGGGAGGAAAATAAGGGTTGTTAGATCAGATCATTAGAGAGATATCCAACTCAGCCCACCTTGTGCTTCTCTTATTTCTGCATTCTCATGTATTGACATTCTGAATCCAGAGGAAGCCATTTTTAAAAATTAGCAGTACACTTAGGATTTGGCTATGATGACTTGATGTGGTATGATCCTCATCCACTTCATCAATAATGAGCCTAAATCTTACACACCCAGACAAGGCAGATTATTTTGAGGATTAAGGGGCAAAGGCCTGACTAGCTTTGATGCAAATGTTCCCAAACTGCGCTGGACCTTTAGCATGTAGGAACATGTTTGAAGTGCTGATGATCTGATGAGAGACATTTGCATGTAAATGCACGCAAGTGCCATTACTCTCACTCTGAAGCAGGGATGTGCTAAGCAAAGGCTACTAACCCAGCTACACACCTGCTTTCAAATGCATTTTTTTGAGCTTTGTGCCCCCTGCCAGGGAAATACATGCCTGCCAAGCTGGACTCCATTGAGCACCAGTTAGCATCTTCCTTTCCCTAGAGGCCTTTTTAGCAGTGTTGATTTTTTTCATAAATTGCTGTCACACCTCTTTGAATGCCTTTTGGGCGTGTGAAATGTGGGTCATCAAAATTCTCTGGTGAACAGGAATGCATTGGTAGCATAACATTGCACTGATATGAGGCTGTGTGGTGAATTCAGAAGAAAGCTGATTGACCCAGATTTTCCTTTTTTGGATAACTGAGAAGTAAATGTTCTTCAGATGAGCCTGAGATTTGCATGATTTCCTAAAATTGTATAGGTTTTTCTCTTTGCCTTAATTATTTAATCAAGGATTTGAGGCTTTCTTTCTTTCTTTCTTTCTTTCTTTCTTTCTTTCTTTCTTTCTTTCTTTTGTTTTTGACTTTAATGTTCCTTATCCCATTAATTGAAGACAGAAGTGCCTGGCGTGCTCTGGTCCATGGGGTCACGAAGAGTCGGACACGACTAAACGACTAAACTAAACTAAAACTATCCCATTAATTATTATATCACCTATGCTTGCTTTCTTGCTTAATCATTTTGAAATTAGCCCTTTATAGGGCTAAGTATTTGTGTTCTTTTTCTATCCTTTGCTTTGCAATAATACTAATACTATCCCCCCCATGTCTGTGTCTCACTACAGGCATTAATTGACACTGCATGAGTTATGGGGATTATGCTACCACCAATTACTCTTATTATCTATGTTCAATGAATTTATTTGTTATACATATAAGCTTTGATTGAATACTATCGGTCTCTACTTTTTACGTTTATGACAACTTGACCCTGATGATCACAGCTTTTTACTTTTCTATATCCATGTATAAAGGATGCTTCCTCGTGTGGCTAAGATTCAAACACAATAAATTTGTTCGTCTTTAAAGTGAAAAAAGAGTTGTTATTAGTATTTCATTCTGTGTAGATCCTAATATTGTGTCTTTCCATTTCTCTCCTATGTGAAAGCCCTTCAAACTTCATGGTCTTCCTGAAGACCAAAATTTTAAGAAGGAATGGGGAAAATATATAATTTACCTTAAAAACCATTGCAAACAATTAAAATTATTAGTAGGACTGGAATAACACTTGTAGCTTAATGTTGAATTTTGGGTATAATGGAGATTTAAAAGATTTGAATCTCTATTAGACAGGATGCAGGAGGAAAAGGTTAATATAAGAACCCACAAAGGGGAGGAGGGAAGTCCAGGAGATTCTTCGGAATTCCCTTTCTATGTTGATGGTTTGATAATTGTTTGCAATTTTTTAAACTCTGAAAAACTAAATAAAATTTTAAAAAGAGAAAGCCCTTCAAACTTCAGGTCATATTCTAATCAAATACAGAAACATATTGTGTATGATGTGGCTACAATGTAAATGCACATGCAGACTTTCTCAGTTCAAGAGTGAGTTCTCCTTTAGCGATTTTACTTGAATTTTCCCACAAGCTTACCTATAATATACAGTGGTATCTTGGTTTGCAAAGAGTCTGGTTTGCATACGTTTTGGATTACAAACATGGCAAACCCGGAAGTGCGTGTCCCAGTTTGCGAACTTTTTTTTGGATTACAACCCTTTTTGGGGGGATTACGAACAAATTTTTTTTGGAGGCCCCATTGGCGAAAGCACGCCTTGGGTAACAACCTGTTTTGGTTTACGAACGGACCTTCGGAATGGATTACAGTGGTACCTCTGGATGTGAACAGGATCCGTTTCGAAGCCCCGTTCGCATCCTGAAGCAAACTCAACCCGCATCTGCGTGTGCGCAGGTCACGATTCGCCACTTCCGCTCATGCGCGTAATGTCATTTTGAGCGTCTGCACATGCGCAAGTGGCAAAACCCGGAAGTAATGTGCTCCGTTACTTCCGGTTCACCGCAGAGCGCAACCCAAAAACGCTCAACCTGAAGCTACTTCAACCCGAGGTATGACTGTATAGTTGTAAACCAAGGTACCACTGTACTAAGGACTGTAAACAATTAAAGTTCCTTCAGACTCGTGAGGTTTTTTATTTTTGGTTGTTCTTTTTTTCCAGGTACATTCCACAACATGTCATTGAAAGATTAAGAGTGCTTTAGTGATGGATTTATATACAGTACTGGACAATCCATCCATCATTCTGTTCTGCATCGTTGATCTGCGATGCTCTCTCAATCAGATTGTTGCCATCTTATTGGGGAGGGGGGTGTCACTCTTGCACTATAGTGCAACCAGAGGGGCAATTGCTGCTCCCCAAACATTTGTGATAAATTACTGGATTGCATCAGGAGGCTCTGGGACACGGTCCACTTGGAAATGAAGCAGAGTGTCCACTCCTAAGGTTTTGCAGGTGCTAACAGTAATGGAAGTGTGATCACCGTATGACTGCACTGATCTCATAATGAGCACAAATAATCCATGAAAAAGATTTCTAGAGGGGACCAGAGTTTTGATTAATGATTCCTTTCCATATAGACTTGTTCTTCCTTTTTCATTGCCTGCATTCTCAACTTCATTTAATTCCCGCCCCCCCTAGATTCAAAATACTATTTGTGAGAGATGTCATAGCCCTGTTTGTAGCAAGGTGTGTAGTTATGGGTGAGGTTGAAGGAGTGTGTAACCTGCCCTTCCTACCCAAAGGTGTCTAAGGAGACTAGCGACACAAATCCCAATACAGTTATTATATCTAATTACTGGATATAATAATTTCATTGGCTTTTATGTTGCTAGTCACCCTAGTCACCTTTGGTTAATTAAAATGCTCATGCCCAACAGCACAACCCAAACTGTGTCTACTCAGAAGTAGGTTTCATTGAATTCATTGGGGCTTACTCCCAGGTAATTAGAGTAAGGATTGCAGCAGCCTAAAGTTGCAACTGCAGCTCCTTCCAAAGGCCTAGATGTATCAAAATGTCTTCAACTTCTGCTGGAATTGGTTAATTTTCACTGCACTGTTGCACAATGCTAAACTATAGCCTTGCTCATCTCAACATCATTGAGTCAACAGCATTTGGATTTAAGCCCTGTTAAGTCCCGTTGAATCGGAATAATCCAGTTAAGCTAGTTTGTGGTTCGGATTGATAGTAAATCCCCAGTTTATTGACCACTCCATGCTTAAGTCCCAGTGAAATAAATGGAAGGCGCCTATAAGCCATGATTGGGTGGAAAATGCTTCACGGGGGACAAAGGAGTCCCATCCTAATGCAACACAAGCATTGTTGGTTTGGGGTAAAGCCATTAGCTTGGTGGTAGAGCATTTGCTTTGTACACAGAAGGTCCCATGTTCAATCCCCAGCAGTCCTTGGTAGGGGTAGGGAACACCCCCTGCCTGAAACCCTGGACAGCTGGAGCCAGCCAGTGTTTTTTAAAAAAATAATATTTTATTGATTTTCCAAAAATAACAGAAATAAAAACAAACAAACAAACAGAATAACACAATACAAATACAAAACAAAACAACTTCCCTCTAATCCCTTCCCTGGTTCCATTATTTGTGGTCATACTGCATGTCCATTGTTAAGTTTGTAACATATTTAAATCACCTATTATCCATTCATTGTAAAATTACAAGTACTTTTAAAACCCTGCTAGTGTATTAACCTGTTATTGTTATTATTATTATTATTATTATTATTAATAATAATAATAATTTATTTATATCCCGCCCTCCCCAGCCAAAGCCTGGCTCAGAGCAGCTAACAACAGTAAAAAATAACATAATAAAAAATAAAAAATAATTTATTTATATCCCGCCCTCCCCAGCCAAAGCCGGGCTCAGAGCAGTTAACAACAGTAAAAATAGTACAGTTTACATAAAATCACAATCAATTAATTGAAATACATTCTAAAATCAATTCAGAATCAAATTAATGGCAACCATTGGGCTAGAGTTCCAAGAAGATTACAGAAGGAGACAATGGTTCTGTATATATGCAACAAACATCTTCCATTCTTCCTTAAATTCTTTATCATCTCTGCCTCGTCATTGTCAGTTTTGCCATTTCAGCATATTCCATTAATTTAACTTGCCAATCTTCTTTAGGAGCCAGCCAGTGTTGACAATCATGAGCTATAAAAGCCACTGGTTTGCCTTGATCATGTCTTCCTATAATACCTTGACTGGAACCAAACATTCATCAAGAAGACAGCAAGCTTCCCAGCGAATAAAACCTCTTCATCCCGCTGGAAACCAACAAGCAGAAAACCACTTGTGAGAATGAAATGGGGGACAGAGAAGAACCACATACATCTCCCTTGGAGGACAGGGAGGATAGAAGTGGAGCAAATAAAACAAACCTGAGCACATGCTCAGCGCATGAATTGGTATTCCAAAGCTTGCACACTAATCCTTCCAGATGGAAAGTGGTTGAATGAGCTGCTTATAAATGATGCTTAATATAAAGGTAAAGGGACCCCTGACCATTAGGTCCAGTCGTGGCCAACTCTGGGGTTGTGGCGCTCATCTCGCTTTATTGGCCGAGGGAGCCGGCGTACAGCTTCTGAGTCATGTGGCCAGCATGACTAAGTCGCTTCTGGCAAACCAGAGCAGCGCACGGAAACACTGTTTTACCTTCCTGCCAGAGCGGTACCTATTTATCTACTTGCACTTTGATGTGCTTTCAAACTGCTAGGTTGGCAGGAGCAGGGACCGAGCAACGGGAGCTCACCCCGCCACGGGGATTCGAACCACCGACCTTCTGATCAGCAAGCCCAAGAGGCTCAGTGGTTTAACCCACAGTGCCACCCGCGTCCCTCCGATTCTTAATATACTGCTATGCAATTCTGCAGACTAAATGTTTGCTTTGGATGCAGAGGAGAGGAAACCGTCACAGGGGGTGAGTGTGGGGGCAGTTTCCACCGATTCTGTTCAGTTATTATGGCATTTTGAGATAATTGTATTTTGAAAATGACTTTTGTCCATAATTTTTTATGTTTAAGAGAAGTTTTGTTTTCCTGTTAATTAAATCCTGCTTTAAATGTGGGTTTCTCATCTGACCATTATCTGGAATCTTTTATTTTGATACAGTGGTACCTCAGGCTACATACGCTTCAGGTTACATACGCTTCAGGTTACAGACTCCGCTAACCCAGAAATAATGCTTCAGGTTAAAAACTTTGCTTCAGGATGAGAACAGAAATCGGGCTCCGGCGGCGCAGCAGCAGCAGCAGCAGGAGGCCCCATTAGCTAAAGTGGTGCTTCAGGTTAAGAACAGTTTCAGGAATGAATTAAGTACTTAACCTGAGTTACCACTGTATTATGTAATGCTTTATTGGATGCTTTAATTTAGGTCATAAACTGCTTTGAGGTATTTTTCTTCTTCTAAAAAATATAAAGCAGAGTCAAAATTCTATCTATCTATCATCTATCTATCTATTCCTGTTTCTCACCAACCTTGTTGATTGCAGCAGCTTCATTTAGAAGGGGAGGCAGGCTTTGTTTTTGTTGCCATTGTTAAAACATAGGGAGCTGGAAACCTTTGCAAATCATCCTAGAGTTCTCCCAGTAGATCCCTGATCTGCCTTCTGACCTCCCCTGATTTAGCATACCAACTGGAGCCCTGCATATCTTAGTGTCTCCCTTCCTCATCATCTTAACCCCTTATATTCCTGCCAGGTCACTTTGGGGGAGTCTCTTTGGGTGATCCCCCATGGCTCAAGTGCCCAGATTGTAACTACTAGAAACTGTGTGTTCAGTGTTGTGGGCCCAAGCCTGTGGAACTTCCTCCCACTTGAACCTAGGCAGGCACACTCCTTGATGAACTTCCTATTGCAGCTTGCATTTTAAGTTAGCATTTGATGCGGCTTTGTAACTAATTTTTATTGCTCTTATTCTCTCTCTCTTTCTCTCTGTGTGTGTTTGTAGTTTTATATACATTGCTTAGAAATGTTAATGGTGCTAAGGTAGTTCTAACAGTGAAGTGAATGGAGCCCTGCCCCACCAAATGCAGTCTGCCCTCAGCCAGTGCCCATCTGCCTGTCTTACCAGTCCAAGGAGCGGAGGGTTGCCTTCCTTCTCCTTTGCCTCAGTGTTGCCCTTGTAGACTTCAGCAGGGAGGGGCTCAAAAATAGAAATAGTTGGTTCCATTTGCAGTACTTCCACTTCTCATTAGCTCTGGCTCCCCCTGCTGTTGGCCTCCCTCCTTTCCGTCCTACCAGAACCAATGGGCACCAGTCACCACTGATATAACACATTATTTATACTAAGTCAGCGGTCAGCAAACTTTTTCAGCAGCGGGCCAGTCCACTGTCCCTCAGACCATGTGGGGGGGCTGGACTATATTTTGGGGGGGAAATGAACAAATTCCTATGTTCCACAAATAACCCAGAGATGTATTTTAAATAAAAGGACACATTCTACTCATGTAAAAACATGCTGATTCCCGGACCGTCCGTGGGCCGGATTTAGAAGGCGATTGGGCTGAATCCGGCCCCCGAGCCTTAGTTTGCCTACCCATGTACTAAGTGGTCCTCCCATCCCCAAACCCATCTGTAGGGACCACTATCTTGGAACCTTTCCTAAACTGAAAGAAAGAGGAAAGGGGTAAGAGAACACATGCAAAAAGAAAAAGAGGGGGGGGGGATAAATGGAGAAAATACATAAAGGAAGATTTCAGAGACAGAGGGAAAGAAATGGCAAGATGTTTAAGCTACCAGCCTGTAGTAAATGACTTGGGCATTATAAAATTGCATTTGATGGCTCTTTCAAACAAGAATATTTGAAGTGCAGTGCTGGAGATTTTATGGAAGTTCTTGCAACTTGCAAGCCATTATGTTGCATTCATCTGCCTCAAGAGGTAATTGACTTCCAGGGCTGAAGTCAAACCACTGTGTTAGCGTGGGCAGTGTGTATGGAGGTCCTGGGCTGCCCAGATGACAAGACCCCCTTCTCAGCCTCAGTAATGTGGTCCAGAGGAAAGGAAATACATTTGGCACCAGTCTGACCATTTATAATCATTCATTCTGGCTTAGCTGGCTAAACCAGGTGAGCATAGCCCAGGGTTGCCATATTCTGAAGAGCGAAAAAGAGCACATGTGTAGGTGGGCAGAGGGGGGAGGGAGAAAAATAGTTGTAATAGTGTGCGTGAAGTAAAAGATAAAAGGTGTATTGAAATATTTAACAATGGTAATAAATAATGAAAATGAAAGTAAAAAATAAAAATGGGTGATAATTAAAAGATGTCAGTGAAAGTATAAGAGATGTCAGAAAAGTAGAGTAGAAAGAGAAGGGGAGATATAATTAAAAGAAGGGGATTCCCCCCCCCCTTTCCCTGGAGAAAAGGGGGAAAAAACCCAGTTTCTTTAATTTTAAGTGATGGTTGTATAGCAGAAATCTAATACACTGGATTGATGTCCTGTGTTTATTGAGATTGATGCTAATATTTTATTGTTGCAGCTGCACTGGAGTCTTGGACAAAGGGCAGAATATACGTTAAATAAATAAATAAATATTTTAAATTTAAATTTATTTATACCCCACCCATCTGGCTGGGTTTCCCCAGCCACTCTGGGCGGCTTCCAACAAAATATTAAAATACAGTGGTCTGTTAAACATCAAAAGCTTCCCTAAACTAACAGAACCATCCAGGATTTTGCTGCTAACTTCTTCACACTCATTTACAAATAGCATCTTACTCTATTGTCTTGACAGCTATTTAAGTGTTAACATGCTGGAAGGTTTCAATCTGCCCTTTAGGCAACTGAAATTCAGGACATTTTCACAAGAGAATGCACAAAGGCAGATAGCTCACCTAAAACACACACACATACACTGCTCTTTTTCTAAAAAAATGTTTAGGGGTACATTTTCCTGCTCATATTGAAATACTGCCCCTCAGTGAGGCCAAACTTAGATTCACAAAATGTTTAGGGGTATGCGTACCCTTGCATCCCCCCAGAAAAAAAGCACTGTACATATATATCTGAAAGTTTTGTCAACTGTTGCTTTTTATGCCATTAGCAGATTAGCCTTTCTAAACTCCTTGAAATCTCTTTATTAGACTCTCTCCATTTTTGCTTTTAACAAAGAAAAAAACAGATCACTAAAATTCCATCTCTCATCAGTTACAGGAAACACAATCTATGGTAGCAGAATCATTTAAAAAAATGGCTTATAGAATTGTGCCATTTATAGTGTAGTGTGTGTGCGTGTGAAACTTATACATTTTCCAAGGAAAGATTGATATATTCTAATTCAGGGATGGGGAACCACATTGGGCAAAAGCAGTGTTTGAAACTCCCATCGTTCTAGGAGCATTTTGGGACAGGGAATTTCATTAGCACGAGCAGTTTCTGAGCACTGCGGCAAAGATTTCAGATTAAAACTGCAGTGGAAGGAAAGGAGGACCTTTTCCTGTCTCCCCACTTCCAGCTACTCTCTGAAGACTGAAGAAGAGACCCTCTTAAGAATATTAGGGGGGGGCGGGCAGAGGAAGGGCTAGACCATGTGAAAAATGAACATACTATTTTAGTTGAGTTCATTCATTTTCTGCTTTGTTTTCCTGTTCTATAAAGAAAAGTGCGCCCAGACATTCTGTTGTTGCGCCCATAACCTGGGTTTAAGGTGCCATTTACTGTAGCTCTTAGCTTTCATATCTCAGTTTCTAACACTGGGGAAAATATTCCTGCATTGCATAGACGACCCTGATGATCCCTTCCAACTTAACAATTCTATGATCTACTATCTATGATCCTGTTACCCTCCAGATGCTGACAGATTACACCTCTCACAATTCCCAAGCACTGGCCTGGGCTGATGGGAACTGTAGTCCACAGCATATGGAGGGCAGCAATTTAGAAAAGGCTCTTATGTGTTCTTTGACAGTGTATGATTAGCCCAGGCGCCCATTGGATTGGATAGTTTGTACAACATTACTAATAATGGGAAACCATTTCCTCCAAAGCTTAGAGCAATTGTAAAGTTTTATTTCTTTATTTTTAAAGTACAGTGAATAATGTGTACAGATTTCCATGAATGTGTATGCAGCCCTTTAAAAAGTAAGAAAGATAGCAGGCTACCCACTTTCCCACAGCAATACTTTCTCATTCCAATAGTTTTTGAAAACCCACCTCTCTTTGAAGCGAGTGATCCTGCCCTCTCCAACATATTCAGGATTTTTTTTAAAAGAAGTGTTTCTACCAGAGTGAAACTGACCAGAACCTGCTGATAATGTCTAATTAATTCCAGCATGCCATTAATTTGTATGGTACTAGGAAAAGCTGCTACAGATAAGACAACAGGAAAACCGATTTAACAAGCATGGCTCTCTCTTTTTCCACTCTATTTGTAGAAGTTTATCAAGATACCAGTGCTGGACTGGTGCTTGTGCTGCAAAAAAGCTTAAGGCAGAAAGTTGTTCTGTCAATTTACAAAAACAACTTAATTGTGCACCGCATCCGTTGATCTCATTTCTTGTGAACAGTGATGAGATAACAATTGTAGAGCACATTGCATAGACAAGTGATGTGATTGGAAGAGTGACCCACCACTGTATTAATCCCCTAGATCCAGCATAATTTTATATCTGTCCTTGCATCCAATGCCTTGCTTGGCAGCACAGACATTCACGAACAAAGGCACTGGAACTCAAGGGCCAGAATTGCACAGAGCGTTCCACCTCTCCATGCCAATGCTCCTCACTGGCCACCTTCCCACCACCAACACAGAGAGGCTCTGCCAAGTGTTTTCAGTCCTTATGTAACAGGAAATCTCCTCTTCCTCCCAGAAAAGTAATAATAATTAATAGACCTTCCATCTTGGAAAGCTTTGCAAAGCGTGGGCTATTCTACAAGCCCCACTTGTTTTGGAAGCATCACCGATTTCACATCTTCACTGGAAAAGTGTGTCTATCTATATGCATAGATATATTTCAGGGGGTAGGTTTTCAGATATCCATGTCAAACTGGGCTTCCTCACCTGCAAAAGAAAAAGAAATTGCTGATGAATTCCAAGTTTTGCATATATTAACTTGATGTTACCTACTGCTTAAGTGTCCAAAGATTTAAGGCACCTAGTTCTGGACACAATGTGTTCCTTGAGACAGCTGGAAAAAGGAATGACTTCAAAGGTTGGCAGCCTTTAATCCATTTAATATTTTCAGCGTGACTATGAACAAACAAATGGCATTGCCACCTTTGATAAGGATGGTCAGGTGGTAGAAAAAGTTTTCAATGTTCTTTGCCTGCAACTGAGAACAATGTGTTCTCTCAAAAGCTGATATTCATTTGGCTTGAACAATATTGTGCTATGGGAAAGCAACCTTGCAAGGTACCCTTAACCTTTGCATTTCCAGGTAGCTTTACCAGTTCTCATCTCGATGTGCTGGACTACAGATTCCCTTCATCCCTGACTGTTGGTCCTGCTTGCCTGGGATAATGAGAGTTGTAGTGCAACAATTCCTGGAATGTACCGCATTTGCTACCCCTGCTCTCACACATTTTAACACCTCTATCTCATTTTAATGAACAATTTGAGACCCATTTGGCTCACTCTTTTTTTTTTAAAAAAAATAATATTTATTAAAGTTTCAAAAGATGAAAAATCACATTAATAAAAAAATTAACAATAAAAAGGAAAAATAGAAAAAAAGAAAACACAGTTAAAAACAATTCCATCTTTTCGTTACTTCTTTTACATTTACTTGTTTCCGGACCTCCTCATACCTCCCTCTTTTGTATTCCAATTCAATTTGTTAATCCAACAATTCCTTTCCCTCCTTTTTAATCCTAATCTTTAATCTTGATATATCATAACTTTAAATTTTTACATATTAAAAACCAATTTTTCCATATTCTTTTGTACCTGTACAGCTAGAAACCACTTAACTTCAATCCAACATCATTCTAACATTCATTAATTTTGCAATATTTCTGTAAATAGTCTTTAAATTTCTTCCAATCTTCTTCCACCGACTCTTCTCCCTGGTCACGGATTCTGCCAGTCATTTCCGCCAATTCCATATAGTCCATCAATTTCATCTGCCATTCCTCCAGTGTGGGTAAGTCTTATGTCTTCCAATGCTTTGCAATAAGTATTCTTGCTGCTGTTGTAGCATACATAAAGAAAGTTCTATCCTTTTTTAACACCGATTGGCCGACTATGCCCAGGAGAAAGGCCTCTGGTTTCTTCAAGAAGGTATATTTAAATACCTTTTTAGTTCATTATAAATCATCTCCCAGAAAGCCTTAATCCTTGGGCACGTCCACCAAAGGTGAAAGAATGTACCTTCAGTTTCTTTACATTTCCAACATTTATTATCAGGCACATGATAGATTTTTGCAAGCTTGACTGGGGTTATGTACCACCTGTATATCATTTTCATAATATTTTCTCTTAAGGCATTACATTTGGCTCACTCAACACAGTCCACTGGCCACATATTTGGGGCCTCCAATGGAGCTCTGATAACTCTGCACTTGCCCTTGGATTCCAGGTGCTCACCCAGGCCTGGGTCTCCCTAATTCTCTTATTTTGCAATCCTAGGCAGGCAACAACACACAGGGTTGATGGCGCTCCTGATGGACCACCATAACCGGCTGCTGGGTAAGATCAGTGCAACCTGTGATTAAAACGATGGCACTTTAGGACACAGAAACAGATCACTCACCTAAGCCTGGTTGCTTCTCCTCCTCAGCGTGGATGAGATTGGTCTCGGTCCCAAGGATTTCGACAGCTGGGCTTGTAACACCTGGAATGTCTGGAAGGTCACAAGGTGGTGTTTTGGCAACTGGAGAATTCCGACACTCCATTAAAAATTTGCGGTCGTATATAATGCGTGTACCTAGGAAAGAGAGACACCCACAAATCACTGCTTTCATCCCGGGGAGGAGGTAAGGAAGGACTTTTTGGTCTGGAAACAAATTCCAGAGGGGTAGGCATGTTAAAGTGTGTTCATCATCCAAGTGCTATAGGCCATACTACACTCTTGCATTTCACGGCATCAGGTTTGCACACTCTCCTCTCGAGCACCTATTTTGGCCCACCATGTTCAAAACCATTGCTTATACCAAGTATGGGCATTAATAATAATAGTAAAAAAAAAATTATTTATATCCCGCCCTCCCCAGCCGAAGCCAGGCTCAGAGCAGCTAACAACAATAAAAGTAACACAACATTCTAAGATCAATTCATTTTAAAATCAATTCAAAATCAATTACAGGGAACTGTGGTTAATTTAAAACTGGAAGGAGAGGAGGAGAGGGGTGGGGAACCTTTTTCAGAAGGACGGCCACTTTCCCTTCTGGGGGCCTCTGATTCAGAGGTAAAAGTGGGCAGAACAACAAATGTAAAATATACCTTTGTACTTCTACACAAACTCTATTCAAGCTGGTATGGGGCATTATCAGAGTTCTGTCTTCACCCTTTGACAGCTTAGTGGCATTTAACAGAGGGGTCAGTTGCCAATGTGAAGTCATGAGTTGAGTTAAAAAATGAATAAATATATCCAATAAGTTGGCTGATTCATATGGTGCAAATGAGATATTTCCCCCATCTCTGATACAAATGCAATTAAATGTCTATCTTCTGCCATGTGGTAGAGATGGCAGTTGCTTCCAGAGAGAATTAAAAGGAGGCATATCTATAAACAGCAGCCAAATCTCAAAACGTGTACTTAGGATTGGATGGAAGAAAGATGACCCCAAATACAGTTTTAAAGAACAAAACACACTCTCCAAAAGCCACCATCAGTCAATGAAATCTTTTTTCTGGATTGACTGTCAATACCTAGCAACAGTTGGTGCAACAATTGTAAGTGTGAGCCTTGAAGAGCCCAATTCAAGTCTCACTTTGGTCCTAGCTACACTCCAAATAGGTGAATAAAGGCGAAGACGACAGGCAGGAGTTGAAGCAATTGGAGCAGGGGAAACTCAGCGTCTTTTCTTCCTTCTCGCTTCTCCATTCAAAAATCACCCCCCCCCACACACACTGAAGCAGCTTTCCCCTTTACTAAAATAATAAAAAAGATCATCAGGGTTTTATTACACAAATTTGCATTCAACGTGCCAGAAATGCTCTCAGCCAGAAACCTACTCAGTGGACTTTAGGCAAACTGCTACCTGCTCCTCTTGTGAACTGCAGGCTGTGAGAGCCAAGAATTTTAGACTATTAAGGGGGTGCAACCCTCCAAAAATTGAGGCCTGAGTGTGCTCAGTAGCTATGGAATGCTGACAGTCAGCTGGAGAAGAAAAACAGAGAAGTGGGATAGAGACTGGCTACCCTGAACATCCCATTTGGGGATAAGGATAAGGAAGTAAGGGAAGCCCTGCTGGATCGGACAAAGGCCCATCTAGTTCGACATCCTGTTCTCAGTGGTCAAACAGATGACCCTGGGAAGCAGGACATACAATAGGTGATAGGACATAATGCAATGCTTTGTTGCAAGTTTCACTTGCCAGGAAAATACTGCCGTACTTTGCAGCGCTGTTGCAAGGATTATTGATGTAATGAACATGAAGTGCTCCGAACATTATAAAGCACCATGTGTCTGCTTTAGCCTGCTCAAAGCATAGTGTGTGGGCTAGGTCCTGGGAGAGCTGGGTTCAAAAGCCAATTCAGCCATGAAGATCAGTGGATCTCAGCCTAACCAACCTCAAAGGGCTGTTGTGAGCATGAAATGGGAGGGTGAACCTTGTAGTCCATTTGGAAGAAAGGAGTCACTTCTGCAATTCACTGAGCCGAGTGAAACAGACCTCTTCAAACAAAACAGAGGCTCTGTGTGTACGTGTGGTGAGGAAAGGCTTTTCCAAACTCAGCACGGAGGAACTGGTGCTAAATAATCTTCCAACTCAGTAGCAGTATTTCGAAATCTGGCTACTATCCGCAGATCACGGGCAGAGTCACCAGTTGAGACTACGCCCCACATTAAACAGCCGTTAATCAAGGTCCTGGAGCCAAGCCTTGTCAGTTATTACAGCTGCCAACCGATGGAACACTTGCAGAACAACACCAGTTTTCCTAGAAGTGTTGTCAGTGTACCAGTTACCGCAGGGACATTTCATAACGGGTTCACTGGAGGACTCCATCCCTGAGTTTACAGTCAAGTCACATATCTAAAGATCTAGTCTGCTAAAGCAAATACGGGACAGGGAGCACAACAGGCTTGTGCCATATACAAATGGGATTGGCAGAAACCCAGAGGTTGTGTTTTGCCATGTCTGAATGTTTTCATTTTTGAAGTGGTCAATAGCACCCCCTCCCACTTAGCCCATTAAGTTTTCAGCTGTTTTCTGGGGCCAAATTTCACTGGGCGTACCTGGTGGGATTTTTGACCTTTCCCCTTTGAACAACTGCTGCCACATTGGAACTGTGCTTGAAACCCACTCCCCGCCCCAGTGCCAAGTGATTGGGATGTAAGCTCATACATATAGCTCAAGGCAGCCTCATCTTTGCCTAAGCTGTAAAAACTGCTTTGCTGGTGGTTTGCATGTGCTTTTACTAAATAATAAATACTCTGCCAGATAGCGTGTCTCAGGGTTACCAGGCAAGGGTCCATCAAATTTACCTGCTAACCCAGCCTTTCTCAAACTTGGGTCCCCATATGCTGTTGGACTACAACTCCCATCACCAATGACCACTGGTCCTGGTCGCTAGGGATGATGGGAGTTGTAGTCCAACATCTGGGGAAACAAGTTTGAAAGAGGCAGTCTAACAAATTATTTTGGCTGGAGATGCCAGAGATCGAACCAGGGATTTTCTTTATGTAAGGCAAATGCTCGGCAGATCAGCCTTCATTTAACAGAGAATTCTCATTTGTGGTGACTGTTTTTCTGCAAAGTGTACACCGCCCTGAAGGTATATAATGATAAGAGGGAACCCTTTTACATGAATATACAGTTGCATGAGCTTGTATGCACATGCTGGTGTGTGCATTGCAGGGAAGGGCTAATATGCTTTTCTCATTGAACAATTTAATTCTGAAACCATGTAATGGAGGTAGTATTTTTTAGTACTTGGAAGTAAGCCCCATTTAACTCAACAGGACTTACTTCTGTGTAATCAAGTACAGGGTTGCCCTTCTAAATCTCCCCCTGCCCCCAATTACTCCCTGGTCATAAAATAACTTAAGAAGAGTTTGGATTTGATATCCCACTTTATCACTACCCGAAGGAGCCTCAAAGCGGCTAACATTCTCCTTTCCCTTCCTCCCCCACAACAAACACTCTGTGAGATGAGTGGGGCGGAGAGACTTCAAAGAAGTGTGACTGGCCCAAGGTCACCCAGCAGCTGCATGTGGAGGAGCAGGGAAGTGAACCCGGTTCATCAGATTACGAGTCTACCGCTCTTAACCACTACACCACACTGGCTCAAGAGCTTAAGAGCTGAATAGCTCAGCATCCTGTTTTCACAGTGGCCAACCAAAAGCAGGAGTCCAGTGTAGCAGTACACTCTCCTCACCTGCCATTCCTAGCAACTGCAGAGATGGACTGCTTCCAACAACAGAGACAGAACCTAGCCATTGTGGCAGGTAGCAACTGATAGCTTTTATGCTCTGTAAATTTGTCTAATCCACTTTTAGAGGCATTCCACTTTGTGGCCATCACTGTCTCCTGTGGAACTCAACAGTTTAGCTCTGTGATGTGTGAAGAAGGTGCCCTTTCAATCATAAGTGGTAGCAAACTGGATGATCTCAGACTTTTAAACAATGGCATATTATCAACACACACACACACACACACACACATTGCATCATCAGTTAAAAATAGGGCTGCAAAATCTAGATACTTAAACAGCAAGCCAATATTTTGACTTTAAAAAACAAAAAGCAACTACATTTAAAATAAACATATTTATAAAAACTGCAGAAAAGCAAACACCATTCTGAGGAATTTGCTCTTGTATGTGAAATACAAGAAGCCTGGTGCATTATATGCACACCTAAAACAAAACTTTTACCTCTTTAAAACTGCTTTCATTTTATGTGCAAATTTATATAGTTTTAATTGCTCAGATAAACCCCACACATATAATTTACTAGGATTTTTTTTACAAAACAGTGTCCAAAAGCCATTCAAACAATCTGCTTTGTGACTCTTGTATGTTCCTATGGCATAATGATGCTTGTGTGCCATGATTTAAAGTCAGAAACTCTCACTCTACAACAGGTGTGGGGAACTTGTGGTCCTCTGAATGTTACTGGACTCCAACTCCCATGAGACCCAGCCATCCTCCCTGACCACTGGCCATGGTGGCTGGGTCTCGTGAGAGCTAGAATCCAAGAACGTCTGGAAAATCACAGGCTCCACATCACTGATTGACAAGAACGGTGCACCATGGGCTTTCCCAACCTGGTGCCCCCCAGATGTCCCAGACAACAACTCACAAGGTGCTGGAGGGCTCAAGACTGGAAAAGCTGATCTACGAGATCTTGACCTGACCCAATGGCCTTCTTCAACACAGCAAGCACTGGGGGCCTATTTCCATTAGCACTGTGTGGTAGCAGTGGGGAAACTGTCCATTTCAATGCCCCTTGGCTACTTCAAGCCAAGAACAGGCAGTTATGCACACCCATCACCATGCCCAGTTTTTAGCCTTTCACTCTGTATGCTGTTTTTCAAGCGTTTGTGACCGATTGCCAAAAGCTGAACCTGCCCTTTCCCAGAGACCGCCATGTGCTGAGATTCTGCTCTAAGGAGGCACGTCCTTCAGTTACCACTTATGCAGGAACACCTTCGATGCTGGCAAGCCTCTCAACAGCAACCCGAGACAGTTAAAAACAAGCCACGAATAGGACCGTCGGCCACTTACTTGTTGCTCAGCAGCAATAAGATTTATTTTGGACTTTTGATGGGCCAAGGCCTGTTGATGTGCAACACATCTGCAGGGTTCGGGGGTCACAGAGGTAACTAAAGCCATGGAATCTAAAAGCTGTGTTGGCAGGAAATTGCCACAGCATTAGTTTACACCAGGCATGTCCAAAGTCCGTTTCGGGGGCCCAATCCAGCCCGCTGGTCGGTGTAATCTGGCCCCTGTGGCGGTTAATTTCCTGGGGTAAAATCCTAAAAAAACCTCAACAGCTTCAACCCTAAAAAAGGATCAACAACTTTGGTTGGCCCTTCAAAACTGGCCCTCTTTGAAAAAAGTCTGGACACTTTACACAAACCAGAATTAAATGTGCTCCCTTTCCTGACATATCAAGGGAGCCACGTACTTAGGTCAGCTTCTTGTTCTCACTTCCCCATACTGAGCTCTGCCGCAATCGACAAACAACAGTTTTGATCAGGTCAGCTGTTCTGTTTGTCCCTCTCAGTTCCCTCTCTCTCTCTCTCTCTCCCCCCCTCTCTACAAGCCTCGGTTAGAAAGTCAAAGGTCAGAGCTGTTGACACCAGCGTGACTAAACCCCTTTCTCTGTCCAGGTTACAATTTAGAGGAGTGAGAGAAGTGTTGGTCAAGGTGACATTTCTGGACTTGGCTGTAGACTTGCAAGCAACTCAGTAGATGCACTATGGCCAGCCACACTCCACTTCCCAATTTATAGTTGCAGTTCGCCTACACAACAATGGGGTGTGTGTGGAAGAGGGGGCTGTTGCTAGACTCCCATCGTCCCTGACCAGTGACCATGTCAGTTGGGGTTGATCAGGGTTGGAGTGTAACATCTTCCCCACCCTCGCAGCAGATGAGAGCTTTCTAAACTTTTCACGTTGGCATGCATAATTTTGCAACATGGGAATTCAGTTCTATTAGCAAACAGGAGGTTAAACTAACCCCTTTCCAGCCCTGGGAGGAGCATGGGGAGTATTCACGTGACACACAGTTTGGAAAGCTCTGCAGCACACCATCACCTCTCCTCTCCTTCCCAGCAAAGCTTTCAGGTGAATTCTGCCTTTTCCACGCTTACTCCCCAACAGCACAGCTAACAAAGGAAACAAGCAGCATTCACATAAGCACACACTTTTAGATTTAACGGTTTCTGGCCATATTCTAGGAAGGATCCAGGTGTTGGTTTGCTGGGTTTAGATGTAATGGCAGACTACCATTTGCCACCAAGTCAAAAGCAAAGCATGCAAAGATAATAGGGAGAAAAGTGTGTAATCTATCACAGGGTTTCCCCACCCAATGCCAAGCCATAAGATTTTGAGAACTTCAATTTTAGAACCAGAGCTTGCATGTAGGTTTGATTTTATGCCTAGTTCCTATTCCTTGAGAATAACAACTGCAAACCTTCCTCCAAGAAGCAACTGCAGGCAATTCATTCATTGTATTGTATTATTTTAATTTTACAAGGTTGTTATTGTACTTCACAAGATCTTAACCTATTACACTATTTGTAAGAATGGATTCCGAATATCAATTCAATTTGTCCATGGCAAGTCTGCATTTATATGCACGTTGTTCATACGTTGCGAGTTTGTAAAAGTCTTCAATCCAATCGTAGAAGGGAGATGCATTTTTATTTTTCCAATTCATCAGTATCAGGCTTTTTGCTGTGGTAAGGGCACGTAATGTACTGTATTATTTTAATTTAATACCAGCTCTTTACCCTCAGATCCCAGGACGAGTTACAACAATTTAAAATACAACAATAAACACAGTTTAAAAAACTTATAATTGCAAAAGCTACTAGGGCCAAGCAAGAGACTACTAGGGTAACTCTCATCTACTTTCACAGTACATATTATTCAGCAAAACTCATTTTACCCTGTAGTCAACGCCTCAGATCAGTAGCCAGCTGCCAAACTTCACACAAGATGGCAAAGCTCAGTTTGTATGCAAAACTAAGGGTGAATGAGCAAGTGTTGTGGCTATACAGAGCAAAACTCGCAGCCACTCCTCCTCTGGTCCTGCTGCTGCTGTGCTGCCTGGAGCAAAACGATGGCTTGGCTTAGCACTATGTGCAAACTCAGGCTCATGGTGCGTTTTCCACAAATAAACCATGTGCAGTTAGCGAGGAACAATTCTTGGCTGCAGCTCACGGTTGGTTTGGAGAAAGGCAAACTACAAGTCCCGGTTCACATGCAATGTTAAGTCAAACCATGGCTTAGCGCTGCTGTTTGTGGCAAACTAGGATGTAGAATGCTTTTGAAGTACAGTGGTACCGCCGGTTATGAACTTAATTTGCTCCAGAGGTCCGTTCTTAACCTGAGGCGTGCTTTCGCTAATAGGGCCTTGCGCTCCTGGCACGCGACTTCTGCTCACATCCTGGGGCAAAGTTTGCTACCAGGAGCACCTACTTCCGGATTAGCGGAGCTCGTTACCCGAAGCATTCGTAAGGAGGATGGTACATAACCTGGGGTTCCACTGTAGCCAGAAGAGCAGTTTTGACTTTGCTGGATGTGCCACAAACATTTACAGTTGTACCTTGGATCCCAAACACCCTGGAACTCGGATGTTTTGGCTTCCAAACGTACCAAACCCGGAAGTGATTGTTCCGGTTTGTGAACGTTCTTTTGGAACTCAAATGTCCGACCGGGCTTCTGCGACTTCAGTTTTTGAACATTTTGGAAGCTGAACGGACTTTTGGAATGGATCCTGTTCGACTTCCAAGGTACAACTGCATTTCCTTTAGCCTCCAGGCTTCTAAATAACCATAAACCTGGTCACCTGAAGGGAATAAGAGTCACGTCCAGGCAACCAAGATGGATAGCCTTTGTATACAGCAATTTCCAAAGTGCTTTCCATGATGGAATCCACAGTGCATGAAGCAACTGAGTTTCTCATAGATAGAAGACAGCATTGTCCCCGTCTGCTGAAATACAGCTGAGCTGCTAATGATGCAAGCCTACGCACAATTGCTACAGAGTGAGTACCATTGAACTTACTGTGCTAGACGAATATGGGAAGGATTACACTACAAGAAAATGTCAGATTTGTGCAGAAAGGCTGCAGAGTTATTAACTTTAAAGACTAGTTAAATTCAAGTCAAATACTTAAATCAAAAATGAAACAATTGTGCATTTAGTTTCAAATAATAATAATCCGCATAGCACTGATTAAATCAAGAACATACTTCATGACCTCAGCACAACCACTGGGCATCTTATCTAACCTGACACTATAAAAGATAGACAAAAATAATTTGGTACTAACGTGAAGTATCTGTCACTTAACAGCAGCCATTCTATCAGGCTGAGGGACAGAAAGGAAGCAGAACTATCCCATATGGTCTTCGGAGACACCAGATGTCTTTGGCTCTCCCTCAACTCTTACCTTGCAGCAGGTGTATCAGCAGGTACCTGAATCGTTTATATGCCAACTAATTGTTCTAAGAATGCTGCAACTTTAAAAACTAGTGCCTGAATTTACTTTCTTCTCACCCCAATTCCTTCTGCCTTTTTGTTGTGCTTTTTAGACTGCAAACACAAGGGCAGAGACTGTCCTGTTTTTTTATTGACCCATAAGCCACTCTGTGAGGATTTTCTGCAGAAAAACGGGGTAAAAAGGCTTTAAATAAAGTAAAATTATAGTGGTGCAGTAAAATATTCTAGGTTCTAGGACTTCTGACTCTGAGAACCCAAGGCTCTCATTTCAGGTTTCTACTAATTAGCAGACAGCAATAACTTGTTAAGTATGTTTAATTCCCAGCTTACAAACTCCAGAAGAATAGCCATGCATTTTGTAGCACCTAAAGCAGGCACCCCCAAACTCGGCCCTCCAGATGTTTTGGGACTACAACTCCCATCATCCCTAGCTAACAGGACCAGTCGTCAGAGATCATGGGAATTGTAGTTCCAAAACAATTGGAGGGCCGAGTTTGGGGATGCCTGACCTAAAGAGTAACAGATGCATAAGGTCATTATGGCATAAGATTATGTCCAACACAGCCCACTTAGTCAGTTGCATGAAGCATCACCCTGCTCTGAATTTGAATATTTGAATTTTGCATAGAAATGTCACAAACTGTACCCGTATCTCATATTTTTTGACCCCGTGCTTACTATTTCCCCCCTCTATGCCTAAGAGCTGTATACAAATACACAGCCTGCCAATCAAGGGGTAATAGTTCATGCCTCTCACAAAGTGGTCTCTACTATGACACAACAATGTGGTTTCTGGTCCACAACAACCTTTCAATCTAGAGCAACAAGACTGTTTAAACACATTTCCAACAAGTTAAACACTGTAAGCGATGCTAACACCCAGGAAGTTTATGCACAGTCTGGAGCCTTCCATGAACCGTCACAGAAGCTTTTACATTGCTCACTAAGCAAACCACTTCTGTTCTTTGCAAGATACCTGCTCCATTATATTTGTGCGTTGCTACATGCTACAAAACAGTTAATGTTATGAAGCAGTCTGGGTGGCTGCCAAGGAATCATGCTTCACACAAAAACAAACAAAGCCAGGCATGCCTCTTCCACGCCCCATGTCCCTGGTGCGCGGATTCAGCTTGCTGATTCTTGCAAGGCCACGGCACCTGTGCATATCTCACACCAATCCTTGACCTGTGTGCTTAGCAGGTGTGGGGCAACCACAACGGAGGTAGCAGGGAGAAAGACGGCTGATGAGCAAAACTTGGGTGTACCATACTGTATTTTCTCAGGCATTGCTTCCTGCCAATTTTTGCATAAAAGCGCTAAAGCAGGGATAGGGAACATGTGGCTGTCCATGTTGGCCTACAACTCCCATAATTCCTGTCCATTGGCCTCTCTGGCTGGGACTGATGGGAGCTGGGGTCAAACAACATCTTGAGAGCCACAAGTTCTCTATGAGCTATAGCAGGGTTTCCCAAATTTGGGTCTTCAGCTGTTTTCGGACTCCAGTGCCCGTCATCCCTAGCTAGCAGGAGCAATGGTCAGGGATGATGGGAACTGTAGTCCAAAAAACGGCTGGGGACCCAAGTTTGGGAAACACTGAGCTACAGGGTTGCAGGAAGCTTCACCAGTTGATTACAGTTTCAGGTACACAAGGCTATTCTAGCTACCGGTACTTTACCCTCTGGTCTTCAACTACTCATATCAACAGTATGACTTTCAGACAGAAAAGGACATGCCCAAAGAATTAAATTTTGCCTTTGCATGTCTGCCACACAGTTTAACTCGCTTCAAACAATCTATTAAAAAAGCAACAATTGCTTTTAGTTGACAACAGCGTACAGATTTTAAAGCCTAGCAACACTTCTGCATGAGGAACCAGAGAAGTTTGCACACAGATGGATATTAGTCAAATAAAAGAAATTACTAGCATTCCTCAGCACGGCTCATTCTCTTGGACTGATATAACAATAAAGCTACTGAACAGTTTTTATTCAAAAACAACCCATTAGAATTACTACATCGGCGCTTATAACAGAATGTTCTCCACGCTGGAAGGATCTCTGTATTTTTTACTTCCAGTAATTTATGAACAGTTATGGCTGTGGACATCTGCTCAGCAATGCTAATAAATTGGAAGGGGCAATGGACTGAAGGCTGCTCATTATCTTTTATTCTTATCATTCTGGGGAGGTTTCGGCAGCCTTTGATTAAACCATTGTACACAGATAAACTCTGGAAAAAAGTTATACACATGACAGCTTAGAGGACTATGGCTGTCCTTTATGCAGGCAAACATAATTTGCTGTTCACAATTTTGTATGCTGTTTTATAAACTGGAATTTAAGTCCTCTGCACTGTGCTAGGCGACTTAAGGCTGGCATTCTAACCACGTCTACTCAGAAGTAAGTCCCATTGAATTCCACAGGTATTCCATGGTATTAGGATTGCAGCCTAATCAAACAAATACACTTGAGCCTCCAGGACTGCTCTCCGCTAATGCCAATATAATCATTTAGTATCAACTGTCTCATGCCTAACAGAAAGCAACAGCTTTTTTTCTGACAGACCCGTAGACATAATTCCACAAATCACGCCCTGCTCAGCCATCACCCAGTTCCAGAAAGTCACATTCTTTTCAAGAGATTTACTACTGTCTGACATAACAGTAAACACAGAGAAGACAGAAACAGTCTTTAACTGAACCATAGTGCTGGTTCAGACAAAAGAGTGCTGCCTCAGCTGTTGCAACCTTATTATTTAGAGATGTAGCTCTTCTACTTTCAGTGCATAGTCTTCAGCAAGCCCCCAATATGAAACACAATGCCAAATTATGTGCCCTGTGTTCAGGCATTTTCACCGGTGCCTTAAGTCACTCCAAGTTAAATTCCGCACCTAAGTGCATCTAAGAAATTCACTACTTTGTTCTCAACATCAGGGGTGGCAAAAAGCCTAATAATCTGCATGGAGTGCTGGCAGGACCCCTGTAAATTGAGAGTCGCCTGAACTATGCACATGATCCCTAGCCCAAATTCTTCCAAAGAACAAATATGTTCCACTCTCGTATTCTCCGGCAGTCCCTCCCCACTCCCCAACCTCGGGGTACCCATTCTCTGCCCCTGAACACAAAGCCTCTTTGAAGGCATGCACCAACCAGGCTTAATCTGCACCGTTTGCAATCAGTTGTTTTGGTTTCAGCCATTTGTGCAGTTTCCTGCACTGAAGCCAAGGACAGAAAGCTTTTAAACCAAAGACTTGTTTCACAGCATAAAGACAAAACATTTCTCCACACAATGAAGATCATTTCTGATGTTTTAGGCTTGCTCTCTTGAGTTAGGTAATTAGTTCCACGACCTCAAATTAACAGAATTATACACTATCTTCCCCTGCCCACCTTCCAAACTCAATATTTATTCCTAATTGGTTATTATAATTCTAAAACAGGCAGTATCATGACTCAAGCCTGACCATAACTACTGTCCCCTACTCCAAAATCCCCATAACCAAGGATCCTCCATTTACTGTTGGCACAAAGTGGCAGTTCATCGTTTCAGGGAATGGTTGATTTCCAACAGGAAAATGCCACGTGTGTGTGTGTGTGTGTGTGTGTGTGTAATCTTAGCAAAAGGACTCCAGCATATTCAATCATTTCTCCCCACGTAAGGAATAGTTTGGCCTTTAGTGCTGTGGTTAAGGCAGAACTCTGAATTTCACGGCTTTTACATCCTCTGGCTCCCTATACTGACTGGCCAATCTGTTAACGGAGAATCACACTTCATGCATGTGTGACCAAGGAAATCTTGTCTCCCTCTTTCTCCGCCCGCCCCCGACTTGAATATTACTTATGTGTTATTAAGAAGAGGGGAATGACCCAGGTCTGGCTGAAGTTCACCTTCATATTATCCACACCTATTCTCCAATTCTTTCAAAGGAACAGACCCTGCCCCTCGGAGGATGCCCTGGGGATCCCAGTGCTTATTGCAAAAAGGATGTGGAGTGGCAGGGGAGTCTCTGCCCCCAATCCTTTCCTACCACCCCACTTCCCTCAAGAGCTCACACTGGTAAGGATGCTCAGAGGCGCTCTTGCTCCCCTCTGATCAAGCCGCCTGCTTACCCGCCCGCAGCTGTCACTCTGCACATGCCCAGAGGCACTACTAGAGCTTGGTCTGAAGGGGGACCGCCACACCGAGCCCTCCCTGGGAACGGAACTCTGCACATGCCCAGAGGCACTACTAGAGCTTGGTCTGAAGGGGGACCGCCACACCGAGCCCTCCCTGGGAACGGAACTCTGCACATGCCCAGGGGCACTCCAGAACTGCTTCCCACTGGAAGTGAGGGGGTGGGCGGAGGGGAGTCCCAAGAGCCAACGCCCGCCGGGGGGGGGCTGCTCAGGGGCGCTCTGCACATGCTCAGGGGCGCTCCCTCCCTCCCTCCCCTCGGCCGCTCACCGCCCGGCGTGGTCCCGAAGAGGGTTCCTCCGGGCGTGGTGCTGTAGTCGCCGGGAGGCAGCGCGGCTCCGTCGGGCAGGATCAGCCGCTTGGCGGGGATATCCCTGCCCAGCGTCGGCCCCTGGGGCGGGTGAGGGCGGCAGCAGCTGGCGGCGGACATGGCGGAGGCGCTGGCGGAGCAGAAGACGCGCGACCAGACGCTCGCTCTCCCTCTCGGTCCCAGCGCCCCACGGCCACGCCCACTCGGCTTACGGCGCCGCGCAAAGCACGGCGGGAAGCGTAGTCCTCAGGGGCGGAGGGACGCAGCGAGCTGCCGCCGGCCCCCGCCCCTTTGCCCTACGTCACGACGGAAAGCGCAGTCCTCAGGGAGGGAAAGCAACAGGGAGCGGCCTCTGGTCCCGCCCCTTTGTTTACGGCGCCGCGCAAAGCACGGCGGGAAGCGTAGTCCTCCAGGGAGAGCAGTGCGCAGGGAGCGCCTTTGACCACCTATCACGGTGTCGTTTGCACCAGAATGGTCTCAAACTGGCATAGACTCAGGACTCGCCTCTGGCTTCCAGCGTGCAACTTTTTAAAAATTATTATTATTATTATTCAAATTTTTAAATTAATTTTCCAAAAAATTTAAAACAAACACACATACCTACATCCTGTTTATAATTAATCCAATCTTGGTAACATTGTTAAGTGACTTCCTCAAATCCCCCTGGTTGAATTCCATTATATATCATTTAAACAGTTTTCCAAAATTGATCTTCTCAAAGAAAAATTATCTTGATCGCTTAACATCTTTCATTCCTTCTAATCTGGCTTTAAACATCTTAATTTCTATCCTTACATATTTAAATCCTAAGCCTATCTCGTATTTGCAAGCTTTTCCAATTAGGTTATTTTAACATATTTAGCTAAATAGTCTTTAAATTTGATCCATTCTTCCTGGTACTCCTCCTTCTGGTCGCGGACTCTTCCAGTCAGGTCGGCTAGCTCCGAAAAGTCCATCATCTTCATCTGCCGATCTTCCACTGTTGGTACTTCTTGTGTTTTCCAATTCTTCACTAACAAAATTCTTGCTGCAGTTGTGGCATACAAAAATAATTTAACATTTTATTATTATTATTAATTGAATTTCTATACCGCCTCTCATCCAAAGGTGCTAATGCAGAAAGAACAATGCGGGAGGCAGAAGTTATGAGTTTCCAGTCTTCAGCTGCTGCGATTCTCCAGCGGCTTGACTTCACCTGCGGAGACGCACTGCATTGTCTCTGGACAACAACGTCCGAAGACCACAGCATGGTTTACAGTATAAAAACAGAAGATACATTTAAAAAAATAAAATTTACATTTTGTTGGAGTGATTTATGTTAAAAGAAATAAAGTGATACAGAAAAAAGAAGGAAAGATGAGGGGGAGAGAAAAAACCAAATATACATTTAAAAGAATGGAAATTGTCTATTGAATATTTACCAACAAACTGTAAACAGATAAGAAAGAACATTGGCAGGATTATTGTAATAACCTGCAGTTTCATAAGAGTATACATTTAAAGTAGATGAATAAATGATTAAGTTAATTTGGAATATGCAGAAAATATAAAAATTAAATTCAAGGAACCGCAGAAAGGGGGAAGGAAGTCGAGTTTCAAAATCATTTTAATTGTAAAATTATTGAAATGTATGAAATTAAAAATCATAAATAAAAATTATAAAAAATAAAAAGATACATATAAAGATATAGATGATAGATGGATAGATATAAGCAATGTGTCCCCATGATGCACATTGTTAATTCTAAAATGCCAATTTGCAGGGAGCAATAAACACAGACTTACCTTAGCGTTATGGCGGACCTTCAACTTATGTGTGATTTACTTACACGGAGACATTGCTCATGACGGAAACCCCACCTACCTGCAGGGTATAGATTGCACATCTGCTTAGCCTGAAGAAGATCCTGGGTTCAGTCCCTGGGTAGGGCTGTCTGTGCCCCCCATCTGAAACCCTAGAGAGCTGCTCCAAGTCAGTGTGGACAATATTGAGCTGTAATAGCGGTCTGACGTGGGATAAGCTTCCTTTATTCCTATTGTGCTAGGATGTCAAGACACATAAAAAATGGGACAGGACTCTTCCACTTTTAATAGTTGTATTAGGGTCCTAGTTTACAAAGGGCAGCCTTAAAAGAGTCATCTTCTTGAAGGGCTTTCCAGTCCAAGTTCAACTTAATGAACTCTAAGAAGGAAGAACAAGGAGAGCTCATCAACAATGGACAGCAGACACACAGGTCATCTGGTTATAGGTCATCCCCAATATGATGTTGTTGGCAGTGGTCTGCCTTAAGAGACAATGGAGTGCACCCCTAGGTGTTTTGTTTAAATTACAGCAATTATTTGTAAATGTGCATCTACACAGGCAGGTTAGTGCATGCAAATTTTATGCAAATCTGTTTTTTTGTGCTCTGAAAACAGGCTTTATACTCATATATAATTTTTTATTAACTTTTCTGTTTTACAATTTGAAAAACTTATTTTACATCCTTTAGATATCAGTGACTTCCCTTCTCTTTCCATGGTTCATTTTACATATCATAAATCCTTCCATATTTTACAAAAACTATACCATTCAGTATTCTATTATTGCATCCATCAAAACTTATTTACACTGTTGAATTTATCTTAATGCTGCCAGCGTTTTCAGCTGTACACAATTATTTTCCATATATTCAATAAACGTTTTACAATCTTCTTTAAGCATATGTTCTTCTTGTTCTTTTATTCTATATATTAAGTCTGCAAGTTGTGCATATTCTGTCAACTTAAGTTGCCATTCTTCTTTGGTTGGGACCTCGCTCGTTTTCCATTTTTGGGCTAACAAAACACGAGCCGCAGTAGTAACATACCTAAATGACCTTTTTTGACACATGAGAATTTCAGTCTGAATTATCCCCGACAGAAAACACTCTGGGTTTTTTGTTTTTTTTTTTTAAAAAGTACTTTTAGACACCCCCCCCCCAATTCATTATGGATTATTTCCCAATACTCTTTCACCCTTTTACAAGTCCACCACATATGAAAAAAACATTTCCTCTGCCTCTTTGAATCTCCAGGACTTATCTGATTCGGACTTATGCATCTTAGCAAGCCTACTCAGAGTTAAATACCATCTGTGAATCATTTTCAGGTAGTTCTCCTTCAAAGAATAACAAAACTTTTATGCACATCTGAGTCCTCTACTGCTCTCAATTTTTTGGTAATCATTCCTCCATGTCCCTTGTAATTTCCCCTATCTTTTACGTTTTTAGACATTTCCATTCTCCTGCCCCTCCCCTGCACCAACCCTCCCCCCTCAATTCATCTCATTCTCTTATTGCTGCTTCTTTGTTCCAGGTCTTTGGTCTGTTCCATCCCCTGGTGGCCCAGCTCACTTTCCCTGTGTTCTCCTAAGAAAAGTTTGGGTGGCCTTTGGAACTACTTGCGAATCCCATGCAGTGTCAGATTTTGCAGCTTCCCCTTCTTTTCACCATTCTTTTGCTCCACCTCTTCCCCTCCCCTCCATCTCCCATTCTTTGCTCTCTGTGTGACCTTGCCATTGTGTCAAACTTCACCTGTCGTGGTGACGATCGAGGGTGTGTGGAAGAATCAAATCCTTACTTATTGCCATTCCCCAAGTCTCTCTCACACAAGAAGAGCCAAGAATGGAGGAAACATAGTGTAGGATTGGCTCACTAGTGCAGAGGTGGGGAACCTGGGGCCTTCCAGATACTTTTGGACTTCATCTCCCATCAGCCCCAGCTGGCACAGCCAGTGGTCAGGATGGATGGGAGTTACAGTCCCAAAACATCTGGAGAGTCACATGTTCCCCAATCCTGCACTAGCCTTCACATTCAAACATTAAGAATGTAAATAATTTTATTAAGATTTCAATAAAAAGTTAAACAGAAAAACATAAAAATAAAAGTACAAAAATACACAATACATAATCCAGAAAGAAAAGAAAAACACAAACAACAAAATACAAAAGAAACAAAAAAACCCAGAACAATTAAAAACAATATCACTTTTCCATTTCCATTTTTGAATTTACTTATTTTCTGGACTTCCTCATACCTCCCTCTTTTGTATTCCAGTCCAAATTGTTTGTCCAGCAATTTCTTTTCCACTTTTTTAATCCCAGTCTTTAATCTTAATATAATATATAACACTTAAACTTCTTTAATCCTAATCTTTAATCTTAATGTAATATAGCATTAAAATTTTACCTCTTAAGTACCAAATTTCCATTTCCTTAAACATCTTTAATCCTAATCTTTAATCTTAGTCTATCAATAACTTTAACCTGTACAGCTGGAAACCACTTATTTTCGATCCAACATCACTCTAACATTCCTTAATTTTGCAGTGTTTCTGAAGATAATCTTTGAATTTCTTCCAATCTTCCTCCACCGACTCTTCTCCCTGGTCATGGATTCTGCCAGTCATTTCCGCCAGTTCCATATAGTCCATCAGTTTCATCTGCCATTCCTCCAGTGTGGGAAGCTCTTGTGTCTTCGAATACTTTGCAATGAGTATTCTTGCTGCTGTTGTTGCATACATAAAGAAAGTTCTATCCTTTTTTAACACCATTTGGCCGACTATGCCCAGGAGAAAGGCCAAGAATGTAGAAGCTGTTAGTCGCCACTGTTAGCTTTAGCTTTTACGAATTTGTCAAATCCTCTTTTGAAGCCATCCAAGTTGGTGCCTGTCCCTGTTTCTTGCGGGAGGAGCAAATGCCACCATTTAACTATGTGTTATGTCAAGAAGTATGGGGTGTTTGGGTACCTCATGTACCTAGAAAGAGAAGACTCCCAAGACCCAAACCAGTTAAGAGGGGTGTGGTGATCCCCTGGGTCTGTTATACTATTTGGAAATACCTCAGGAGTGTAATTGGGTAACTGACAGAAAGTACCACCTTGTTTAAGAACCAAAGTATAGTGGTACCTCGGGTTTAGAACTTAATTTGTTCTGGAGGTCTGTTCTTAACCTGAAACTGTTCTTAACCTGAGGTACCACTTTAGCTAATGGGGCCTCTTGCTGCTGCCACGCCGCTGCTGTGCAATTTCTGTTTTCATCCCGAAGCAAAGTTCTTAACCCAAGGTACTATTTCTGGGTTAGCAGAGTCTGTAACCTGAAGC